TTTTGGATTTTTAGTGAATATAATGAAATTTCAGAGAGGGGGGACTGGGCTTTATAGGGGGGAGGCAAAAATCGCCCTCCCCCAGAGCGGCAAGGGGGCCGCCTGCAAAATTCCATGCCCCCTCGCCGCCCATTTGCAGGCGGCCCCCCGCACAGTACAAAATCGCCCTCCCCCAGGGCGGCAAGGGGGCCGCCTGCAAAATTCCATGCCCCCTCGCCGCCCATTTGCAGGCGGCCCCCCCGCACAGTACAAAATCGCCCTAGCGGAGGGCGGCAAGGGGGCCGCCTGCAAATTTCGTTGACGGTCGTCGCCCGAGAGCGAACGGCCGTCTGCCACGTCATTTTCGCCGCCCTCTGGGATGGCGATTTTTAAAAATCGCCCTCCCAGAGGGCGGTAGGCGACTACTTCCGCCAATTTTCAAAATGGAAAATTATTTTTGTAAAACTTTTAATAAAAAAAAATAAAAATAAAAAAAATTCGGGGATGACGGGAGCGCAGAAAGGGGAACGCGGCCCGCTAGATCAGATGGGCCGGTTTGTTGTTGTGTTGGGCTCCGGTAAGAAGGCCTACTACTATTGGATCGACAAGCGTTCAGCCCGCGTACCAGCTGCTTCTGCCGCAACGCGAATGTCACAGTGACTGCCCCAGCGCGGTGCGTGGGCTGCTGCTACGGTATCTTGCGCGACAATGCGAACAAGAGCCCAAGACACTGCGACTAGACGTCGTCTCACGGAAAAGAAGCTACAGTACTATCTGCGGTCTGATGCTTCCTTCCTTTCAACATGTTTTTGCCACCTCCCTCCGTTCTAAAATATATTTTCTCCGTCTCTAAATATTTCATCTCGTTGACTTTTTTAAACATGTTTGATCGTTTATCTTATTAAAAAAATTAAAGTAATTATTAATTTTTTTCTATCATTTGATTCATTTTTAAATATACTTTTATATATACATATATAAATAAGACTAACGGTCAAACATATTTAGGAAAATAATTTTAGTTAGATGGAACATATCCTAGGACTATATATCTAAACAGATCTGTCCAAATTTATAGTATTAAGACGTGTCTTACGCAACCAAACTTTCTTATATATTAGGATAGAGGAAGTAACATTTAGAATTTATTAAAAATATAACAGCTTATCCAATAACATTTTCTTTCTAACCAATTATGAACCTTCACTATTCAATTTTTTTCACCGACTTTCATTTCTCCATTATTCACAGCCTTTCCACATTTAATTTTATCTATTTTTTAATAATTATGTTATATTCCGTGACGGATGTAGTAACAAATTGGAGTAGTACAAACCAGTCCTGTATCAGTCGGTATCGATGGTAAAAAGCTCGTTGGCGTTTCAAGGAGCGGTCACATCAATCTGCCATTTCACTTACAATTTGTCCCTCGCTGAATTTTCATGTTTGAGTGTGTTCAGTTCTAAAATTAAAAGTTTGGTTGAAATTGAAACGATGTGATGGAAAAGTTATAAGTTTGTGTATGTAGAAAAGTTTCGATGGGATGAAAAAGTTAGAAATTTTAAAAAAAAAGCTTGGAACTAAACTCGGCCTTTTTCTATGCTCTCCTGCATATCTTCCCAAATGCATGCATGCGCAAATGCGCTACACGGGTATCAGATAGGCAGCGGTTAACTGAAAGCCACAAAATTTGACTAGACGATGTTGCTGCTGAGTTTCTCTTTTGTTTTGCTACCTGACTGCCTCCCTACCTAACTCGTCTAGTTGTTTCTTTAATTTTGCCCGTAATAGTTTTATCAACAACTCCTATTTTTTATCATTTTGAGCTACTTAGTCAATCTTTCAGTTAAGTTTGCACCGAGCCGCAGTGTAAAGCCAGTGTGATTGCACGCTTCCAAGACAAACTAAGGAAATGATAAGAAGTGTGTCGATTGTTGGAACCGATTCCCATTATTTGAGCGGGGTCCAGATGGAGAGGGCCTCATCGTTTAACATATTCATATGCTTATCAGCCAAAATTTAAATTTTTAACGTTAAATTTGGAGCTTATTTTGGGGTTTTTTCATCAAAGTTTACTTTTCAGCCTTTGCTTTTAAATCGCTAAAAACACATATATAAAAATTTTATTCACAAATTGATTTTTATTTGCGAATATGCCATTTGACATATTCAGAAAATAGGCCAAACGATGAGGCTGATAGTGTTGCTGAATGATGTTCATCGGCGTAGGATGCTGTCACCTTGAGCTAGCCGAGGTCATTATCCAAACACCTTGAGCTAACTGACGGGATGGCCGCTGGGGACACATTTTGGACCCTTCCCATCATTCTTACTCAAACACTTTGCCTAAAAACGCCCAGTACTTTACCTGGCGCTCTCAGTTATAGGGCTGAAACCGGATCGAATTATATCTGATCCGATTCGCTTTGAACCTATCCAAATTAAGGATATGGTATGGGTTTTACAAATCCAGTGCATATGAATGCGGATGTGAATAGGATGGTGCGGATATAGTATATGATATTTCTATCGAATTATCTGGTAGACCGATTGTCTGATAATCCAAAATTATTAACTGGTGTAACCACTCTATTTATTACATATAACATGAGTCGGCCTAACCTAACTTATCAATTAACTTAGACTCATTTGTTCGAGGCTTTTGCCGTCTCCTCTCAGAGCATTCACAATATTAGGAAAAAGCAGGTATTAGGCAATATATTATTCCTATGACTTAGTAATAAGTATTGTGGAAGTGGGTAGTAACTAATGCTAGGTAGTAAGCTTATGACCTACTCATAAGAATAAAAAAATATTAAAATCTCTCTCACTCTCTCCTTCCAACACAAGATGTGCTACTACTGCATGCTGAGTTGGACAAAAAGCAACTAAAAAACAATATTTTTTTCTCATGGGACCCACTTTACAAAGGCCTACTACTTAGCCCTGCTACTTATTAACTAGTTAGGTAATATACATTGCTGTTGCCCTCAGACTTGCGTAACCGCAACATTTTGTTTTCAAAAAAACCGCAACATTTTACTGTTATTCCAGTACGTTCCCTCAATCTCTTTTCCCTGGCATGAGACGAGATGACGAGCTTTGAACGGTCGTGGTAGGCGTGTGTCCTTGGCTGCACTGTTCCATGTCGCGCTGAAAAGATGCATCAGAGAGAGGCCTTGTGTTTTGTTCTGTTCGTGTGCTCGTGAGTCGTGACAGCACGCACTCTCGCAAACGAGATGAGGTTGCCCTAGTACGGCAGTCAAAACTCTGTACCAACTCACTGATCATGTCCTGGAACCAGAGGGAGACAGAACACAGCAGTCAAATGTTTTGTACCGTCAGATTGATCGTGTCTTTGAATGACTGCAGAAGGAAGATGCAGCTCTACCAACTCCCAACATTTCTTGTTCTTCTTGTGTTTCCATGACTTAGTTTAACAATACTACTAGAAGTTTAACAGATGCGTGACACAGGGAAATGCGATTAACAACATTACAATAGTAGCACTATATATGTTGTCCGTCACAAACACTGTCTGAATTTTGAATTGACCGCGAGTGTAAAACACAGGAGAGAAGGAGATGAACAGAGGTAACTACAAAACCAGAAGGAAAGCTGTAAAAGCTTTGCAAAATGTATTTGGACTCATCAATTGCGTCTTGCACCTCTGCACTGCAGCTCCACTCCAGCCTTCACTCGATTAACTGAAATCCCAGCAGAGCAGCACAGGCACAGGGTGGGTGGTGTGGTGAAGTGGTGATAGCTGGTAAAGCTGAGCAGCATTAGCATTAGCCAGCCGCCCATGCCTCTGCTCGCTTTCTCTGCCAACGAGCCCATTTCCACCGTCATTTTCCTGACTTTTATGAAGCTTCTGTTTCCTACCGCATGTGTTTGGGTTGGGACCCTGCTGGGTTAGTCTTTTTCCATCGTTTGCATGTAATGCGAGTGTGCACCTGGGCTCTGGACAGGAAGAAATTCTACTACTAGCAGTACTACCTGAAGTCTTTCTTTTCGGTTTACCAGCATTAGTTGACGAAACCAAACACGTTTTGTCAGTTTCAGTACTATCACAAAATCTCACCATTTTGACATCGTTAGCATAAAACCACGAGAGACTTTAAAAATAGGAGTACTGTATCCTGCCATAAAAGGCAGGAATGGCAGAAAATCCAATCCAATGGCCATCGTGGTTGGTCCGGACCCAACACCACCCAAGTACCCTGGATGCGCTGCCGATTGATGATTCCCTGCCGCCCGCGCCACAAAAATCGCTCGCAAAAATTACCCGCGCGGCCCAACACCTGCCACGCCGAACTCAACCACCCGAACCAAGCAGTGCACATCTCCGCGCCGCTACCAAACGCATAAGGCCATATTTCTTTCAGTTTGGGATTATTATAATCCAGATTATTGAGAGTAAGCTGAAAGAAACAGTCAACTTATTGATGTAACTTATTATAATCTGGAGCCCAGTTTATTATAATCTGATAAACTCATTTAGGTGAGCTTTTTCCAGATTATTGGGTGGAAAATTACCCACCATGCCACCCCACTCCCTCTTTAGACTGGCAAACCCAATAATCTAGGCTCTAATAATCTAGGAAATAAACAACTAACCGTTTATTATACTACAGATTATAATAATCTAGCTTATATTAATCTAACTCAATAATCTAGATTATAATAATTCCAAGCTGAAAGAAATAGGGCCTAAGTGTTACGCACTCCGCTACTCCACTTTCTTGTGTTGAGTCGTCGTCCAAATTCATTTACCCACATATAAAGACCAGCTTATCGTTATTTTTTTTAAGATTCCACCTTCATATATATATATTTTTTTTGTAAGCCGTCGTTCGGCGTTATAATCTTATCCTTCGATATAGTAAAAATATTTACTGGCTAACGCCTGTGTTTTTTCCTTCCTAATTTAAAAGCATTTTTCACATTAAATCTCGTGTCTTGTATGATTGATCTATTAGTTTTTATCGTTTATTTGCTTATCGTTTTCTAACATTCTGAACACAAACCAGTTTAAAACCCACCCGTCCCGTGCCCGTGTCCGTGTCTCGTCCCCCCGACCGCGCGCCTCTTGCCATTGCTACACCATGCACATCTTCCGCCTCCTGGCGGCGCGGCGCCGCGCCGTGTCGACCATCACGGCTGCTGCTGCCGCTGCGCCGGCGGCGTCGTCCGACGCCGGCCGGGACAGCGAGGACGAGGGCCCATTCTTCGACCTCGACTTCTCCTCCGTCCGGGGGGCCTCCAGCTCCGGCAGCATGTCCGGCTCCGACGACTCCGACGACGACTGCACGGACCTCGACTTCATCATCTCCCTCCACCGCAGCCGCTCCGCCTCGCCCTCCTACGACACGCTCTTCTTTGCCGCCGCCGCGTCGGAGCCCAGCACCAAGGCCAGCTTCCAGCCGTCGCATCACTTCTGCGCTAAACGCCGCGGCGGCGGCGGCCTCCGGACGCTGAGCTTCGGCGCCAAGAAGGCCGCGTTCTACGGCGGCCGCCACAGCTTCGCCCGGAGCTCATGCAGCGCGCGGTCTCTACGTCTGTTCATGGAGTCACCGGCGGACGACGACGGCGAGGAGGTCGCCGAGCCGAGGAGAGCGCCGCCGTCGAGGGACGTCATCCGGCGGTACCTGACCAAGATCTCCAGACGGTTCAGGAGGACGGCTCCCCGCGCCGCCGGCGAGGCGAGGGGGCTCCGCCGTCTACGGAAGAGCCGGTCAGCGTCGGCGGCGACGAGCCTGTCGGCGTCCAGCTCGGCGGCGGCGGCGCCGTCCGGGCGAGACGACTCCCTTCTCGAGAAGCAGGACGGCATTGCCAGCGCCATCGCCCACTGCAAGGAGTCTCTGCACCGAGGTGCGTACGTGTCATCATTCATTCAAACAGTTCGTTAAACCAAACACTGTTTCTAAATTATGCCCGATTTGTATGCGCTAATTTGGCAAAAATTTCTTCCATTTTTCAGCGTCCGTGTCAGAGTGCGACTCGTCGCTGTCACGGTCAAGAAGTGACCCAGGAAAACGCGAAGCTGATCAGAGTTGCCATTAGCTTACTACTAATCCTGATGGTTACCAAGACTAACGAACGACCCATCACAAGTCTCAATGAAATTGTGGTCAACGGCCGAAGCTTCCACCTAAATTTCAGAAAAGACGGAGAAGAATTCAAAGCACTAGTACAAATTATTGAAGTTTGATGAAAATGCGGCGCTTGAGGTTGCTAAAGATTTCTCATCTCTTTTGTTTTATGGGTGTGGGTGAGTGTGTGTGTTTCACGTCCTTAATTTTAGTTTAAGGCTTTAACCCTTGGTGAATGTTTATTTTTTTTCCTTTTTCTTTGTTAGGAGAGTGGGAAAAGTGCTCTTTTTAGGCTTCTTTATCCCTCATCTAGTGTAGAAGCGTGGATTGTTTTGTGTGCTCGCGCTCTTTCCGTGGTTTTTTTTCTCTCTCGTCTTTCTAGTTTGCTTTTGTACAAGTGACTCGCAACACGACATGTAATTACGTACATTCTTGCCATTTGACTGGCTAGTTCTGGCTTTCACCGATGTCTCTCTCGTCGCCCTTTTTCAGAACCGTCTATCCACTCAAACCCAATGTGTGCAAGTGCAAATCAATCACCCTATGCTTAACCACGTAACACATCGATCAAGCTCATTGTGTTAATGAGCAGGGTAATCTGATGCCCTTCTTTTTTTTTTTCTGAAAAGCTGAGGAGGCGTTCATGTGGGTAGTAGTGGGGGAAAAGCTGAGGAAAAGCTCGGGGGGCCTTGATGGCGTAGCGCCATGATGAGGGAATCGTGCCGCCCCGTATAGAACAGTTACGGTAGCAGACTATGCGCATGTTTACACCGCTGTCAAAATTTTTCACCCTGCTAGACCGAATGTTTGGATACATGTGTATTAAATATAAACGAAAAAAATAAAATATGAGAGAGAACTCCAAAATATAATGTATATATATGACATGTGGGATCATATACTAATAGGATATCATATCTTTATAGGTAACTATTATATAAATTAACTATAAATAATTTAAATGATTTAAAAAGTAGTGGGAACTTGATCTTACGAGTGCAGCCTTTGCTTTTGTTCTCCGTGACCTCCTCCTCCTCCGTTTGCTGCTGTTCTCGGGGATATGTATGTACTCCCTCCCTTCTAAAATGTAGCTATTTTTAGTACAATGTCTTGTTTTAAAATAAAGCTATTTCTTCACCTACCTCCTCCTCTCAACCAATCACAACCATTCTTCTTCATATACTTTCTCTTTTCAACCAATCACACACTTTCTCCAATTATTTTCATCTACTTTTTTAATACCCGTATCAATTTTAAAAATAGCTTCATTTTAGGATGGAGGAAGTATGTCCCTTTCGTTTACCTTCTTCTCTCTCGTCGTCTGGCCACAGGCAAAAGTTGCATCTTGCATGGAATGCAACGAGACCGAAGCTTTGACGACTGCGCGCCAGCCAGCACGCAGCGGGGGAAAGGAAAGACTTTACTTGTTTAATCTGACCACGGGTTACGTTTCGCTTTACTTTTATATATACCGCCTTTCTTTAATTACCTCGCCCTAATCCGGCCTAATTCTGACGGAAAGGTAGGGGATGAGATGAGCAAAGCTATCAAAAGTTAAGTGTGCCCTGGCCCTGCCCTGCCGTCAGCATTTAGCGGTGACCCCGAGGTGGTGTTCAGCTCTGATTGCGGTTATTACAGATTTTTCCAGTGCAGTGTCAGTGGTTTCATTGCGAGGCTCAAATGGGCCAATGCTGCTACTATTTGCCAGCACTCACTACTCAGTCAAGTGTACATATATGTTGTTGAGATGATTGCTTGGGTTATCGTTCTTCAAGTGAGTAGTAGGAGTATGTTGTTCAGTTTTTTTGCTTGCTTTTACCGATGACAAAACTGCATACCCCTGCAGAGGCTCGCGGCTGCAATGATGGTGGACTATGGAGCGTTGCGCGGGCCCTCGCTCTGATCCTGTGACTCCTGTGAATCTCGTTACCCCTTTGATTCAAAAGAAATTCATAGTAATTTTAGAGGATTTTATTCCTATAGGATTTTTTTCTATATAGTCATTTGAATCAAAAGAATGGATCTTATGAAATCCTATGAAATTCCTATGGATTGGCTAATACCATATAAGTTTTGGAGGAATTTTAACATGAGGTAAAACCTCTTGGAAACTTTCATTTGAGTCTTTATCTCTCCTCTAATTCCTGCGTTTTTCCTGCGATCCAATCAAACGACCATTCCTCTGTTTTTCGTGTGTTTTGCAATCCTCTATTTTACACTTACATTCATATCAAAATCCTGCGTTTTTCCTATTCCTATGTTTTCTCATTCCTGCGATTCAAAGGGGCCCTTAATCTGCTCGTAGTCGCCCAAAAACAAAAGCGACTGACAATGTTTTGTTTTGTGGGTGGGACTTAGCTGGACGAACGGTGCACTTCAGTGCTGGAATAGTTCAGTTCTCAAGACAGGGAGGAGTATATTTGACTGTAACAAGATAAACATGCCAAGAGAAAAATGGCCTCTGCTAGCTACTGCTGCACTGTGAAATTCTGCTGCAGCAACCGGATGTGTAGTAGTACTAGGGATAAACTGGCCATTGAATATACTACTGCACAAATGGAGCAGAATAAATGTGGAGTTATCAGTGCGGCAGGATGCCAAGAATCTCGAGGCCGTGGTGCCTCACGTCGACTGGGTGATGAGTGAAGCTCCGCCGCATGAATCTGCATATTTGATTCTTGACAGCGGTCGAAGGACACTGTTGTTGCCGCTGGTATAATTAACCGACCACCAACTTGCTTGGAGATCACTGAGCATATGCATATGCATTCTCCTTCTCCCTGGATATGATGTGCCTTCGTATGGAGTACTACTAGTACATATTTTCTGTTCCGTTTTTTAGGATTCAGAGGTGCATGGACGTACACTAGTTGCACTTGGTTTATGAGTAGATCTTATGTTTACAGATAGGGACGAGAAGATCTGATCTGTACAGAACCAAGAGATTGTTCCAAGCTCTGTTGCATTTCTGTTCCATGCATCCCATTGTTCAGTGCAGATGCATTGGATACCTTCCAAGGTCAAGCAGCCAGCAGGAGGAAGAGGAAACAGGGTGAATGGCTGTTTTCTCCTCCACATGAGGGGCTGGGTCAGGAAGAAGCATGCATGCATTTTCAGTTTTGAGCTTTGCCATGGAAAAAAAGAGAGTTTTTTCTCGTTGCTTTTGCTTTACCAAAGCGCAGTGCTATTTTTGCATGAGCCTATCTTTTTTTTTCCCTCTGGAGAAAGGGAAGCATGCATGCTTGTTTCCTTTTCCTCTTAGGGCATGCTACAGTAGTAGTACAGTGCTAGTTTTGTCCATGGGACTATGGGAGGGGGTGGTCAACTGCTGAGGTTAAGGGCCTGTAAAAAAACCTTAACAAATTTTGGCATTACCAAAATTTTGACTTGATTTCTTATATAGTTACCAAAATTTGGTAGCAAACTAAATGTAGCCATTTTTTTAGTAACTTTACCAAAATTTGGTAAGGTTGAAAATGACATCAAAGTGAACAGGCCCTAAGCTCCGGCAAGTTCGTGTATACTCCACCGATACTATACCAAAACTCAGAATAAGGCCTTGTTTAGTTCCCAAAATAATTTTATCCAAAAACATAACATCGAGTCTTTGACACATGCATAAGTATTATATTATTAAATATAGATAAAAAAACTAATTGCACAGTTTGCATGTAAATCGCGAGACAAATCTTTTAGCCTAATTAGTCCATGATTAGCTATAAGTGCTACAGTAACACACATGTACTAATGATGGATTAATTAGACTTAATAAATTCGTCTTGTGATTTTTAGGCGAGTTATAAAATTAGTTTTTTCATTCGTGTCTGAAAATCCTTTCCAACATCCAGTCAAACGTTCGATGTGACACCTAAAAATTTTCTTTTCATAAACTAAACACACCCTTAAGTATAGTCTACACAAGAGTGTTGCCACTATGCTACTCCTGAAATCTATCTGGTTCATCAACCACGTTTTGAGTCATTTTTGGGATTTCGGCCAAACTTTTGGGACGCGAGTGTTGCTACTATGCTACTCCTGAAATCTATCTGGTTCAGGAGCCACGTTTTGAGTCATCCTGGGATTTCGACGAGATGTTGAGCACCAGTAGATATGCCTGTCTCCTTATAATTTCTACTAGTAACTTCTAGTTGTAAATAAACGTATCTATTAGCAGATCACTAGATCCGTTTTCTGTCCCTCTCCCACAGCAGTAGAGGCATGAGATAATATAGAATACCCGTGCCCATCCCTTTGCCCTTAAGAACATTGCAGAAGTAGACAATGAACACAGATGTAGAGTGAAGCTCTTTCTTCATTATAGATCTCATCTAAAGTACGAGCCAATTTTAGATATCACACCCTGTCCCATGTATATAGGGGTCTTAGGAGGAGATATATATTATCTCTACGGTTCGGATTGACCTACAAGAAACTTATTTCCTAAGAATTTGTTTCACAACAATAGTAACCTATGAGAGGCGGCTTAGCTAGTGAGCTCGGTGGGGTATTTTGGGTTGGTGGGCTGGGGCTTCCGCTAACCAGCTCTCCCTTGGTGCCACATGCTATATAGGGCCTGTTTGGGGGAGCTTTAGATTCTGAGAAGCAGCTGTTTAGTAGCCAGCTTCTGAGAATCTGTAAAAACTCTGAAACTCAGCTTCTCCAGCTTCTTAGTTTATTTTTCAGAATTTGTAACTACAGATTCTCAGAAGCTGTGGACTGTTTAGGGCAACTTCTAGCAGAAGCAGCTTTTGGGGAAAGCTACAGCTGGGACAAGCTCCCCTAAACAGGGCCATAGGCTTGTTTGATGGCCCAGTCTTTGTAGATCAGGAAATTCAGGATACGCAAAAACGTATAGTATAGTAGGGAAAAGTCTATATGATATCCCTCAACTATATCCAGTATTTTAGTTGTATCCTCAACTAAAATAATGGATATAAAATTTCCTTCAACTATTAAAACTGGGTCAATTACCTCCTTCATGTCCGGTTTTCCAGTTCATAGATGAAAATCATACATGAACTATAGTTGAGGAGGTAAATATTTTTTTCCCTATCCAGTAGGACAAGAAAGGGGAACATTCGTCTCAACAAGCGTGCAAGACATTGTGGTACGTAGTACCTGCAACCTACTGCAATTGTAGATTTGTGACGGGAGTCAATGCTACTGGCTAATTCTACATGGCCTGCTAGTTGCCAGCAAAGATTCATAGCATTGCGTGATCCATGAACAATCAATAGCTTGATCACAAGTAAGCAAAACTTAGTTGCACACGTTTTGTACGAAAAATCTCGGCGTACTTTACTCAGCTTTCAAAGTTAGGATGAACGTGGTACATCTTATGGTACAAAACGAAAGTAATTAAACAAAAAGAAGATATGATCAACAGAAATAATTTGACAAGGGAGAGACTAGAGAGGAGAGTAATTAGCGAACGGTTCACTAGTCCGATCCGTTCGTCTCCAGTAAGGTAAAGAAAAACTTGAAAACTATGGCGGATCGCTCTCGATCGCGTCGCGCCTTGCACCGTTGCGAGATCAGTGGCTGCTGAAGTCCGCGACGCACGACGGCGAGCCGGCCACGACGACCGCGGCCGAGACGCGCAGCACGACGCGGCACCTCATCGCCACGCGCACCGCGCGCCGCCCGTACAGGCCGCCCAGCACGCTCACCCTGCCGTCCACGGCGGTGTGGCTCGCCAGCCGCACCTCGCCGCGGCCGAACAGCACCTCCCCGACCACGGCCGCGCCCACCCTGTCGACGAACACGTCCATGCCGACCCGCACCCGGCTCGTGCCCCGCGCCGCCACCTCCCCCGGCGGCGCGCTCCCCAGCCCGACGTACTCCGGCACGCCGTCGACGTAGAACTCCGTGGTGCTCGTGCCGAACCTCATGGACTCGTAGTTGGGGTTCTTGATCACGATGCCCGCGACGAGCGTCACGTTGATCCGCAGCGGCCGGGAGGCCTCCGTGCCGAACCCCACATGGAAGCGCTCCACCGTGACGGAGTCCATGGACAGGGTGGGATCCCTCACCTTGAGCACGGTGAGCGACAGGACCAGCATCGCCACGGCGGCCACCGCGGCGACCACGCCCAGGGCGCAGCACGCGCGCCGCAGCAGCCGGCTGCCGTGGCCGTGCTGCTCCGCCGGCTTAGCGATCTCGACGTCAGCATCGCCGTCGATGGCTTTGGCCTTGGCCTTGGCCTTCACCTTGGCGGCGTCAAAGACGAGGTCGACATGATCTTTGGCTTTGGGTTTCTTGGGCTCGGGTTCCGCCATGAATCGATCGTGTTTGTGGTGTGTGGGCGTGGCGTTGGCCGAGTCGGCAGCATTTTGCAATTTGCGGGGCCTTGCGGAATGCAAAGCCAAAAGGGGGTTAGGCGTTGGGGGGGAAGAGTTATTAAGGCGGGGTCCGTGTCGCAGCGGCAAATGCAACAGTTTGGTTTGGTAGTTGGGGAGTTCGGGGTCGCTGTTTGGGAACGTCGGGCTTAAATTCGGTCAGTGCGTGACACGGACAGACGCCTCCCGCGATGTAACTGCCAACGGCCACGGCCTGACGTTAAACGCGTATGGTATGGGCCAGGCTCGTTTTCTAGTCGCTTACGGGCTGAGCCTTTTTAGGAGTTCCTCTAGTTACTGGGCTGAAATGTAACGTCTGTCGAGTATGCGGGGCCGTCGGCAGGACATGGCATCGCGAAGCCCAACATCACGGAACCACTAGTGTCGCGGTCATCATATCACATGCCATCGATCGCTTCGCTCCTCTTATCGCCGTTGACTTTTCTAGAGTGGTAGAAAAGCGGTTGGATCCAACTTCCAGCACAAAGTACTAACACATTTTACACGAAACGAGCTTTTCCAGATCTAATAATAATAGTACTAGTACTGGTAGTAGTTGTAGTAGCATCTCGCACAGTTTTATACGACCACGTCAGTTCGTCTGCGGCGTAGTGCAGAGATGGGATCGCCGATCAGTGAGCGATTCGGTGCAGGCAACTGATAAGGAGGGAGGATCTCTCCGCCGACTCAGCACCGTCCGTTTCGGGACGTGGTGCCGTTTTGGCCCCGCGCCGAAGCTTCTCCCCTTTGCAGTTATCAAATTCCCCTTGCAGCCACGCAGATTTACGCCGCGCCCCCACGCAACCCAAAAGTTCAGCGTAAACTTGCCTATCAACAAAACTACAGCTCAGGCGGCCACGCGAAATCGCGAGGTTTCACGTACCAAAAGCGCAAAAATCCACTCGGATTCCACGCGGCCGAGCCACTGCACGTGGGCGCCCACGACGCGCCCCCGTATCGATCGGCACCGCGCTTTCCTCCTCCTGATCTTACCCGCTACTATATCATCATCTGCTTGCTTTCCCCCCGAGAGTCCACGGCCTCCTGCTCCTCTCGATCCAAGATAATTTCACTCCAGCGTGCGTCGGCCATGTCGAGCTTGATGGACAAGGCGAAAGGGTTCGTGGCGGAGAAGATCGCGCACATCCCAAAGCCGGAGGCGTCGCTGGACAGCTTGTCGTTCAAGGGGATGAGCCGCGAGTGCATCACCGTGCACAGCAACGTCAACGTCTCCAACCCCTACGACCACCGCCTCCCCATCTGCGAGCTCACCTACACCCTCAAGTGCGCCGGCAAGTACGTGTCACAGCTAGCTTTTGCTTGTCCGATCGATGATCCATCCATCTCACGCTCGATCGAATTGTGCTAATTGTGTATTGGTCGATTTGGATTGATTGGTCATCATCAGCGTTGTGGCGTCCGGCACGATGCCCGATCCGGGGTGGATCGCGGCGAGCGACACGACGAAGCTGGAGATACCGGCCAAGATCCCCTACGACTTCCTCATCTCGCTGGTGAAGGACGTGGGCCGGGACTGGGACATCGACTACCAGCTCGACGTCGGCCTCACCATCGACCTCCCCATCGTCGGCAACTTCACCATCCCGCTCTCCACCAGCGGCGAGATGAAGCTCCCCACACTCAAGGACATGTTCTAATTATCTTATCTCTAATCTCATCAACCAACTCCGATCGATCGAACTCTCTGTATGTGTGATGTGTCTCGCGAATAATGGCAGCTGCTCTGCACCTGTGTTCTTCTTGCCCTGCATAGTATAGCATGGCTGTATGAGCGGCTGAAAAATTACCTCTATTCCTAATGGTTGCAATAATAAGCTAGAGAACTGAACTTTTGCTTGTTTATGTGCTATGTGGGATTGCTTGTGATTGGCATGGCCGAATTGTTCAGTGAACGTTGGGGAAAATGGTACCCGTTTTGTGCCAGGTTATGTCGTGTCCCTATCCTACCTTAATCATGTAGGCGATGCATTTTAATTCGTGAGTGCACCCGTCTCGCGATCAAAATGACTCAATTGTAGCGCATTGGCACGATTTATTCAGCGAAAACACACCACTATTAAGAACTGTTTGCGTCTACATGTTAGCGGTTGCATTTGGCTAGCTCAGGAAGTCAGAATGCATCGGCCAATCGATTGCAAGTCGCAACGTTACGCCGCCGTTGGTTGGTGACTTGGTTCCAACACGAAGAACAGGACGCGCTGACGAGATGAGTTGGCTCTTTCCGATAAGCAGCACGGAGCTTGGTACATGGGCCAAGCCCAGGGCCCTAGCTGGTCATATAGCCCAGGGAATAAGTCTGTTATACGTCCCTCAACTCATGTCCCTAGTTGAATGACATCCCTCAACTGAAAAAGGGGATATAACCATTGCAAATAGATTCCCCGAGCGGTTTCATACTTTCGTAGGTGGTTTCGTTTGGCATGGCAGTTGACTCACTGAGTCATAGGTAGGACCCGCTTGCCAGCAGGCCTCCACCTCATCTCTCATCTTCCATTAGCATAGAGGACGCCGCCGGCCATGCCATGTGTAGGGAGGATCTCGCCGGCCAGCCGCGCCATGCGCAGGGTTGGAACTTGCCCTCCGCCGGCCGTGCGTGGGGGAGGACCATGCCGGCCGGCCGCACCACGCACGGGGCAGGACCTCGACCTCGCCGGCCGACGGCCGCACGCGGGGGAGGATCTTGCTGGCTGGGCCGCAAGTGGAGGAACATATTATACCCGGTTTTGCGTTTGAGGGATGCGATTTAACATAAGTTGACGGAGGCAAATAGACTTATTCCTATAGCCCAGCCTCCATACCTTGCTTGGCCCATGCAGATGCCTTGGCAGATTTTTCCTTTTTCTGAGCTTCCAGCCTGCCGTGAAAGGAGGGGCGGAGCTAGTATATGTGCCTGGAACCCGGTCAAGAAAATTTTTTAGCTATACGTTATCTATTTTCACCATATATGTACCCCCCTCAATACAAACTTAGACACCCGTATCAGCTTAAACTTGATTTAAAGTAGAATAAATTAAACAAGTAGCATCACCCTCTGTTTCGCTCTAGCTCCGCCAAAGGAAATTGAACTGTCCCACCGTCCCACAAGCCGCGCCGGTTTTCATTGTTGGGAATTGAACTGTGTATATCAGCCATCCGATCCCCCAAGATGCACCCATAACCATGGATGCCTAGACTAACCATGCGCACCGGACCAGAGGAAGAAAGCATATCTAAACTGGTACGTCATTATTGGAGATTTATGGCATTTTTTTTGCGATCCATTGCATATGTCGATTCACTTCGCTGTATTTGAGTGTTTCACTCCCTGTTTATTGGACGTTGCACGTAACTGCACAACCTTGTCGTATGAGTAATGTTAGATTTTGTGTCGAATCTGTGTACGTAGTTGGTTACAGTTTAGGACTTGGAGTTGTACTATGTGTAGGACTAGAGTAAGAGTCGGACTCTATCCTAGGATCTCTCATAAATAGAGGGATGTGCCTGTTGTAACCGCATGACGACTTAGCATAGCGAGAGGGAGCGGCTGCCGGCGGCCACCGGTCGTGAGCCGTTGTAACTCTGATACGCTGTAATATGCTGGATCGGGGAGGAGCGCCCGTAATCAGTGCCCCGGAGATGTAGGCCTCGGCTGAACTCCGTTATCAAATATCGTGCCTCGCTGTCGTCATCATGTTTGGATCTCCTATGGCGTTTTCTTCCGCGTTTGGTTTCCGATGTGATTTTGGGGCCGGTTTTATAACAAGTGGTATCAGAGCCCAAGATTTGGAACCCGGAACAATTTCCATGGGTCACATGGTGGAGAGGGCCCGGTAACAAGTTTTCGGGGTCACATGGGTTGATGTGACGGGGGAGATTGTTGGGCCTGAGGCCAGGTAACAAATCATCGGGATCACATGGGTTGATGTGACGGGGAAGATTGTCGGGCCCGGGGGAGATTGTTGGGTTTAGTTCTACATCGGTAATTGATGATAGGGGAGCACGACTTAAAAGGTGGGGGCGGTCCTCACCCATCAGACTAGTCTTTTGGGTTGTGTAGGCCCAGGACCTAAAGTTGTGGTTTCGGTTAGGCCTGTGGTGGAGCAGGTCCAATGTGACATGGGTGGCCCACGGTTGTGGGCTGGGCTGCGCACTCTAACAAGTTGTTAGAGTTTGTGTCGAATATGTGTACGTAGTCGGTTACAGTTTAGGACTTGGAGTTGTACTAGGTGTAGGACTAGAGTAAGAGTCGGACTCTGTCCTAGGATCTCTCGTAAATAGAGGGGCGTGCCTGTTGTAACCGCATGACGACTTAGCATATCGAGAGGGAGCGGTTGCTGGCGGCCCGTAATCAGTGCCCCGGAGATGTAGGCCTCGGTTGAACTCCTAGGATCTCTCATAAATAGAGGGGCATGCCTATTGAAACCGCATGACGACTTAGCATAGCAAGAGGGAGCAACTACCGGTGGCCCGTAATCAGTGCCCCGGAGATGTAGGCCTCGGTTGAACTCCTAAGATCTCTCATAAATAGAGGGGCGTGCCTATTGAAACCGCATGACGACTTAGCATAGCGAGAGGGAGCGGCTGCCGGCGGCCCGTAATCAGTGCCCCGAAGATGTAGGCCTCGGTTGAACTCCGTTATCAAATATCGTGCCTCTGTATCGTCATCATGTTTGGATACGTTTTCTTTCGCGTTTGGTTTTCGATGTGATTTTGGGGCCGGTTTTATAACAAGTAACCGTCTAGAAAGTGCCGGGAAAAAAAACTGTTCTGTTCATGTTGCAGTTGGCTTTCTTGGATATTGCACATATTTAATTTGTTTCTTAGTGTTGCATCCATTATTTTTTAAATGTTGTATCTCTTAATTCAGTTTATAAACAAGTAAAGTGAAACATTTAACCAAGAGATCAGACATTCTTTTCAAGTGATAAATATATATATATATATATATATATATATATATATATATATATATATATATATCATTCGATATATATTCTGGCTAGATTCAGATGACCGATCCTTAGTTGCGCCCTTCTTTTATTTTGGGAACACCTCCTACAATTGTTAGCTATCCTGGCATCCGAATTCGGAAGGTATCAAATGTGACAGATCTTGACCGACCACCTAATAATAAGCACAAGCTTATAAAAAATCATCAGTGCAAAGATCGTGCAAAACCGAGCAAAAATGCTGTACAGTACAGAACATAGATTTTGATCATTCTACGGGCAACACGTGTGACCTGACCAGTGTATATCTTACTAGCTATCTTCCATTCTTCCTCAATACTGTATAATGGAAGAGAAGAACATGACAGTTCATGTGTGTAGTCAATTAGCGCTCCAGGCCACCAACTAGAGCGACAGCCGGCGTCCAAGAACGGCGTCGTCATCCAAAAAGTGGTCGAGATCATCGTCGAAGGGGCCAAAGAAATCGTTCATATCCATCTCCACCGGCGCCCAGAGGTCGTTCTCGTCGTCCGCCATGGAGCACGTAGTGTCGGCGCTGTCCTCCGTCTTGGCCGCCGCCGCCGCCGCCTCGTCCGTCGACGCGCCGCCGGGAGACGGCTGCTGCTGCTGCTGCTGGTCAGGGGACGCCGGCTTGTTGTTGCGCGTGGTGCCGGCCAGCGAGTTGAGCTGCGTGGGCACGGCGTGGCAGTGCTCGGCGATGTAGGTGATGACCAGCACCCCGGGCTTCTCCGGCGACCGCTCCACCATCTTCCTCGCCATGCACGCCTTGAGGCTACTGCACTTGTAGTATCCCCTGTTCAAGAGGAACACGCATGCATATACACGATGCAATCAATCAACTGAACTCAAACGCTAATGGCAATTGGCAGTGGCACTGCTGGTAATGCGACTAGCTAGTTAATTACCGAGGATACGGCGAGCCCTTGATAGGTTTCTGGCCATACTTGCGCCATGCCCAAAGGTCGGTGGAGACGCCGCCGTCGGCAACCGGCACCTCGCACACCACTTTCTTCAGCTGGCTCTTCTTGCTGCATCGATCGAGCATGTAAATTAACCACAGCTGTTAGTGCTAATAATCTCATCAAATAAACAATGAAATATATTCATTTTTCTCAGTGCAGCATGGGCTGTGTATATATATTTGTACCTTCTTTTGGGCCTGGCAGTACGAACGCCCGGTTTCCGGCCAGGCTGCTTCCTACCCTGCCCGGACGTCGAGGCAATCGCCGGGAAGGAGATGAGCACCTCATGCTCGCCGCCCTCCCCACGCTCGCGGCTCGTCGACGGCGCCGTCACCAAGAACGGCGCCCGAGGCCGCTCGTGGTACAGGTCCAAGTACTCCAAGTCGTAAAACGATGCCGCCGACGACCTCACCGGTTGCCCAACGAACTCCGGCACCCCACCAGCACGGCCAACGAAGACGGTTTCGGCTTCAGCCCGCCGCGTCGTCGACGGCGCCGCCGGCGGCTCCGGCTCCGAGTCGGCGACGGCCGTGCCACAGCTCCTGACCAGTGCCTGGAGATCCCAATCGTTGGAGTACTCCATGATCAGCTTCTTGAGGAGCGGGTGAAAGCGAGAAAGAGAGCTAGCGTGTGTGATGGTCATGAGAAGAGGAGGAGGGGGTTGACTTTGCGACGAGCAGCGGGATACTTATAGCGGCGAGATGAAGGGAAGTCGTAGCCTAGCCAGCTAGAAAGTCAAACACAACGGCGCTTTTTTGTGCGCAAGTGGTGGGCACGAAAAGCGGCGGCGATTGATCGACGGACGATGGATGGATCGATCAGTAGTGCATGCACTGGCCGTTGAGGATAACCAAGCTAGCGAGAATGCTAGGTAGATCGCGTCAGGATCTGCACGTAACCAGCAGTCTTAAGCTTTCTAAGCCTAATTTTATCCCGTTTTCACGTGTTGTATTTAGTATTAGTAGGCGGGCGCCTGACATGTTTATGAGGCCGGGGTGTGTGCGCTTGCCACTGGCCACCACTTTCTTATTGTTCTTTATCTGACTTTCATCCAAATGTCAAAGGAGAGAGAGAGAGAGAGAAAACCGGATGTGCAAAACCGAGCTGTGGTGAGGAACAGAGAAACCATCTGGCACACCTGGCGCAGCTACATGAAGTACGGAATAAACCTGGAATTATGCCATACGCTGGTGAGTTTTTTAACAAGCGCAAAAATGTCAACATTGACATCAAGCTCGATTATCCCATTTGTTATTGGATTGACTTCCGTTAATGTCAAACGAGAGAGAGAGCGCGCAGAACCGTAATAAGGTGCAAACAAGTAAACAACGTCGATCGATCCTATCGTAAGCTTTTTTTAATAAATAAAGATACTAGCATATACCCTTGTGAGACATGTCCCTGTCTCGATCGGAATCTTTGCGACTTGGTTATTGGCCAATTTTTTTTTAGTATTATGGAGGAGGAGTTCCAAAAGTGGCTGGGAACCCGCAGCGATGGGAGGTAGTAGTGGTGCGCTCTCGGCTTTGGCTCTTCCGTGCGCTGCATGCGTCGGCGCGTGGTTGCTTGCTACAGGCGAACGCGCGTGCGTGTGCGTGTCCGCGTGGTGGTGGGAGTTGGGTTGGGTTGGGGCGCCTCGAGCTGTCGATTCGGGGGGATTTTGGCGATGCATGCACGCACCCATCGTGCGATCGATCCGACGCGTAGACGGAGGATCTCGTCGCCGATACGATCGATCCTCCTCTGCCGTTTTGGCAACTCTTTCCCTTTACCGGCTTACCCACCGTATCTGCATGCCGACACGCGCCTGTAAAAAAAAGTTTTTTTTTGTAGTACTACACGAGAGACACAAGCAACCGGGCTTTGCTAGCTGCAGAGTCAAATTAAAGGAAACAGTTTCCAGTTTGAGTTTTTGACGCACTGTTTGTTTATAGGAAAAGACAGTGAATTGAATTTTGACAGCGAATGGGGATACAGCGAAGTTACTGTGGATGGGATGCCGATGGTTAGTTCGCTCTAAAGGTCAGTTTTGGCACGCCGGCTTTTGTGAACGCAAGATCGGGTCAACCCGCGAGCTAAAAAAAATCGCGGTGATACGTACAGATGCAACACGCGTGACACCAATGAGCGAATCGGAGCGTAGCATATATAGGATGGCGCCGTCGCGTTCCTTCTCATCAGTTTGGCTAAGATTTGGGACCGACCGAGAGAGAGACTTGCGACGGGTCGCTGCTAGCTCGAGTGAGATGTGCGTGCCGTGTCTGTCTGTACGCGCGTGCAACTTGGATTTTGCCCGACTCGCACGGCGGCTATTTTGCGATAAAATTTGGCTTTAATCGATTTTGAAAACGTCTAGCAACGACGCGTCGTCCCAGGCCGCTGCCGATTTATATTCGCGAGAGATTTTTATACATGGTTTGTGTTTTTCTCACTTTGGGTTGGGGACGTCGGTTTCTGATCGGAACAGGGCCGATCGAGAGTGCGAGTACTATCGTCACTTGACATGCGCATGGCTTCAACTGAGTTCGTGACACTGTAGTGTCGTTCTTGTCAAACACTGCTCCGGTCAATGGATCGATACGCTTCCATTATTAAAGGCGTCAGGCTTTGACTTAATATAACCACCACATTTGCCTTTTGACTTTTCAACCGCAAGTCCGCAACCGAAATTTTCAATTTTGAAACATAAGGTTACGGTTAATTTTTAAGGGGTTTTCACTTGTTTAATTCCCGATATTGGCCTTTAAATCATAACAATGCGTATATATAAATTTTAGATAAATTATTTTTATCTTCATTTTTTTTTACTGTTTATCAGCTGTAAAGGCAAATGATGACTCGTTTCAGATTCTTCACAAATAAATCAGCCAGTAGGCGTGATGTCCGAGATAAATGGGCCTAAATGAGGCCGTGCCATACAATGGTCCATTTATTACGGCCTACTAGCTTCGGCCCTCCCCATCCCGCGTAACCGCCGCCGCCGCCGACCTCCCTCAACTCCGATGTGGGGAACCACGGCCGCAGCCGTGCGCCGGCTCTGCGCGGCCGGCGATGTCCGCTCGGCGCTCGCGATGCTCGCCCGCGGGACCAAGTCGGGCGATGCGGCGCTGGACGTCACCGCGTGCACGGCGCTCGTCAACGGCTGCTGCAAGGGCGGCGATGTGGCGGAGGCCCGGAGGGTGTTCGATGAAATGCCGCTCCTGGGGCTTGCACCTAACGAGGTCACTTACACTGCTCTGATGCATGGCTACTTCACTCATGGCCAAAGGGAGAAGGGTTTCGCCTTGTTTGAGGAGATGAGGAGGGGTGGAGTCGAGCCAAATCTCTACACCTACAACTGCTTGATTGGGGAGTGGTGCAGGACAGGGGAGTTCGAGCGCGCTCGTAGCTTGTTCGACGAAATGCCTGTGAGGGGCATTGTGCGCAATGTTGTCAGCTATAACACCCTCATTGCCGGCCTATGTAGGCATGGCAAGTTGTGGGATGCTGCCAAGCTGTTGGATATGATGCGCACGGAGGGTACCCGTCCGAGCATCATTACATTTAATCTTCTTGTTGATGGATACGGCAAAGCTGGCAAGATGTCCAATGCTTTGCCTTTCTTCAACCAGATGAAAGCGGCTGGTTTCCAGCCAAGTGCAGTGACATACAACATGCTTATTGCTGGCTTCTGTCGTGCTAGAGATATGACCCGGGCAAACAGGGCTTTATCTGACATGAAGGAACGAGGCTTGGAACCGACCAAAGTGACATACACGATACTAATTGATTCATTTGCTAGAGAAAATCACATGGGTAAGGCTTTTGAGATTCTCGCAGGGATGGAAAAGGCAGGTCTAGAGGTGGATGCACACACTTATGGTGTTCTGGTCCGTGCACTCTGCATGGAAGGGAATATGAAGGATGCTAGAAAGCTGTTTCAGTCAATGGGAGAGAAAGGTGTTGAGCCAAGCAATGTGATCTATGACATGATGATTTATGGCTATGGGAGAGAAGGGAGCTCATACAAGGCTCTGAAGTTAATCATGGAGATGAGGCAGAAGGGTTTGATTCCAAATTCTGCAAGTTACGGCTTGACAATCCGTGTTCTTTGCAAGGATGATAAATGTCAGGAAGCTGAGGCTCTGCTTGATGACATGGTGCGTGCTGGTTTGCAAACAAGTGAGTCGATCTGCCAGGCATTATTGGATGCCAAGGCAAGATTGAGAGGTTCTGCTAATGTTTCTTTTGTGTAGGTAGCAAGGCATGCCTTAGTGAAATTATATCTATCTTGACTCTTGAGAATTTCGAAAGATGGTGCACAAGGAAACACATCTTCAAATGGATGTATGCTGATATCTATGTATTGAATTGCAACATAGGAAACTATACGGTCATTTGCTGGGCACCATCAGAACTTCATTGCAAGCAAAAGTGATAGTCAGCAAAAAGACGAAGATAAATGCACAGAGCACTTTCTGCAAAATAAAGGTCGGTGCTTATTGGCATCCTGTGCCTTTATGCTACTGAACATTTCAGAAATGTTCAGCTATTTTTACAAAGTTATTTGTCGACATGAAAGCAGCTGGCCAGGGAAATCTCTTACTATCGAAATCCGTGCAAATTATCGAGCAATTAGCGATGCCACGTGGCACAGCGTGGTTCGTGCGTGCGCTCCCACACTTGAGAAGGACTAAAATATAAAAAACAATCTTACGTTGGAGTAAAATCAAAAAGTGCAAAGCCACCTGATGTTTCCGGAAGGGTCACGACTCTTGGTCTTCTATAATCTTGATTCACTCTTCATCTTCTATAATCGTTCCTCTTTTCTCTTGTCATTGTTTCACATTCATTCTCCATCTTGTCTGATCCACCGGGAGAAAGAGGTAGCGACCTCCGGCCGGTACCTCTGCGGCAAGCATGTCCTGCACAGAGACAACACCACGAGGAGGAGGCGGTGGCCTTCGGCCGGTATCTCTGCGGCGAGCACGTCCTGCACCGCGAGGACGACGTTCGCGAGTTCAGTGAATGGCAATCACATGTATTAGTGATATAAATATTGCAGATTTTTCATTCTTAAAAAAAACCAGCTAGATCTGTTACTTCACTGATATATATTAGACTATTTGTTATAGTATAAGTTATTGGGAATGGAAGCATTCGGAAAGAAGTTTTACTGTCCCTTTGTTATTGTAAACGCATAATGAGGACCATCTTCATTAAGAAGATAGAACCCTTGTAGAATATATTTTGTTTAGTGATGCTGGTACTACTCCTACTCTACCAAGTTCCAATATCATGAGGTTTTCTGTTTTTGTTTGACAATTTCGCCAATGATTAATTATAACATTTGAATTTTATTTGTTAAGTCTTTGCTTAGCTCCAGCTTTGGGGCTTGTATTGACTAGGAGACTACCCATGCATAAGAAGTTTCAGACTTTCAGTTGGTTAACTTAATTTAATTCCTCGAATATTTATTCCTGTGATTATCTGGTGGTTAAATTTCTCTGTTCTGCCACTATAGTGAAAAATTGACACACTTAATTTAGTGAGAACCACCCCAAGATATTCAGAGCATGGAAGCTGAGCCATGTAATTTAGAGACAAGCAGTTTGTCAGGCAAAAGAGCTTATGAAGATCCGAACAGTAATGATCAGGTAAACAATTGCTCATATTTAAAATCATTTGTTTTTCAATCATATAATTAACCTACTACTGTACTGTGCATAAGCTTGGCACCATTTCAAGCAAGTGTATTACCTTATATGGCTGCTTCAATTTCACGGTTACCTACCAGATACCCTGTTTACATGTAGTATTCACATATATACCTGACACTACATAGAAACCTCATACTTGCCCAACCTAGCTACTGCATTGTGTTAAGTACTGCATGAGAAAGAATTGCTGGTTCCTCAGTAACATACTTTGACAAGGATTCTAATTATTGTTTTTTTTTGGGAAAATAATGAAGAAGAAAACACTGACTTTTGCTATTTATAGCCCAAGCTGGATACTTTTGTTATCCTCTCATCTACCAGCCAATTTATTTTTGATGTATTTAGCACTCACCAAGAACCTACACTCATCTACTTTCCAGTTACTCTAATACAAAATTGATAGGGAGCTTTATTAAAATCTTCCATTATTTAAGTTCCAGATCAAATGTCTATAATATGTCACATACTCATACCCCGCGGCGTTGCTGCGGAAAATTAAGTTGCATAATATGTACAAAACTAAAAACAATTTGATACAATTTTGAGCCTAAAAGTAATTGAGATTGCATGTTTTTAAGAGAGAAGAAAGAAGAAACAATTTAGACCATAGATCTATCATCCAAAGGCTAGAAATAATTAGGGTGATGTGGGTTAATGAGAAGAGAGAAATAGCATTAACTACACTTAGTGGAGATGAACTATATAAGTATATAGGATAACTATTGTGTTTTGTTCAGATTATACAGTCTATATCACATTATATGCCATAGATTAATTTTTAAAATTTAATACTCTGCTGTAGTAATCATGATTGTGCAATATAGTATTTTGCTACAACTTGCATTGTTGTTAAACTGATCATTCTGTCTCAATACGGCCAAATAGTGTGGCCCATCGAGTGTTGCACGCGGCAACGTCGCGTGTTTTTTTCTAGTAGAATCTAATCTGGCAAGGAAAAGATAGTCTGAGCGCCCTCTGGTCGAGCAGACTCGTCCTGCACAGCCAGAGGCTCTGCTATGTGAAACTTGGTTTGAGCAAAACCCTTGCTCAGGTTTACTATCTCTCTCCATACTACCAATTTCCAAGCCACTAACTTCACATGAAACATCTGTAGTTGATGGTTCTGCTGTTACTTTAGTGGGGCAAGCTCTGGAAAGTGATTCTATCCGTGACAAGGGCTTGGAAATTGTTTCTGTTCATGACAAAGGTCTTGAGGTTAACTCGGCACCTGAACCTACGGACCAAGTAGAAGCTGCAGTGCTGCACAAGCCAAAGGTGAACAAGAATTATCTTTGAAGAATGAGGCACGCTCTACCCTTGTTCAAAAATGAAAGAAAAAAAACTTGGTGGACATTTGTGTTCAATTGGAAAATTTAACCAAGAATTTTGCGTGTACGACCAATTTGGATGCAACCAAATCTTGAAGGTGCAGGTATGCTGTTTTGAAAATTAAAACCCCAGCCTTGCGATTGAAAAGGCATTTCATAGTGCAAAGTTTACTTGGTTTACATGGTCCATATTGGTAGTGTTGGGTCCTTTTAACTGAGTTAACATGAAACACATGTGCATAATTGTTTTACTCATTCCCTTGTAGGAACTGGCAGCAATCTTATGTAGTAGGACAGATGAGCTGGAGTGTCTTTCTGAGCCGACGAGTTCTTTCTCAAAGGCCTGGTTTAGTTCCCAATTTTTTCTTCGAACTTTCAACTTTTCCATCACATCAAAACTTTCCTACATACACAAACTTTCAACTTTTCCGTCACATCGTTCCAATTTCAACCAAACTTCCAATTTTGGCTTGAACTAAACACACCCTTTAGTATCACATTGAACCACAACAAAATCAAACACAACCAGTGGAGAAGAATCCAAGATTTGAAATGTTGGCCGTTTCCAAGGAGGAATAAGTCCACTTTGACTCCCTGAAAAGTGACCCAAATCTAATTCATGACCCTAAACCGCAAAACCGGATATCTCGACCCCCGAACTATTGAAACCGGTGCAATTTGACTCCCTTGATGGTTTTATAGAGCAGTTTTGCTGACGTGGCGCTGACGTAGCAGTATTGACCAGTCTATGGGGTTGACGTGGCGCTTAGGTGGCATTTGAATTAAAAACATATATGCGGGACCCGTTAGTCATTCTCACACATTAAAAAAAATTGTGGGGCCCATTGACATATGGGCCCCACATGTCATCTCTCTCTTTCTTCTTCCTCCCCTCTTCCTCCCTTCTCTCTTTCTTTCTCTCTCTCCCCTTCGGGCATGGGCCGGAGTGGTGGCGGCGGGCGGTGGCGGGAGCTGACACAGGAGCTAGCTGGAGCGGCGGTCCCCGGAGTGGAGGAGTCGACGATGGCGAGGCAACACTCGGCGAGATAGGGTCGGCGTCGTGGAGGAAGTCGACCGACGGGGGTTGTCTTTGGTGAACGACGGCCGGCGCGCGCCGGCGGACCGCGGCTTCGGCCTCCACCTCAATGGTGGCCACCTCACGGCGCCGGGGACGGCGGCCACCTGGGAGAGATGGAGCTCGCCGGAGCTCCTCCGCTACCGCCTAAATCTGACTGAGGCCTGCCGTTGCCGCTGAATTCTCTGATCTCAATCTCTACTCCCCTCAATTCTCTGATCCTCAAACAAAAAAAAAAGTCTGAATCTCTACTACTCACTATGCAGCACGAATGAGGAATACGTACAAGAATCAAGAACGGACGCATCGGCTAGTCAGAAAAGTGGAAAAAATTCGTTGAAAAATTTGGTTAGGTCATGTGTACGGAGGACCCATTAGAGATAAACGAGAATACGGCTAAGCCATGCGAGAATGCGGTGGTGGAGTCCGAGTCTTGTAGAGAGTCCTCATGGTGTTCGAGTGTTCGTGAGGAGGGGATTGAATTCACAGCAAATGAAAGGGAAGGAGAAAACATTGATGTTCACACTCCACAGCCGGACGATTTTCTTTTTTTTTTTATAAAAAAAAGTCAAGTTTTCCCAAAAGGAATAATTGCTGCACACCAAGAAGTGTGAACGGCGGAATCAAGTTTCCCCAAAAGGAATCAAGTTTTCCCTTTCATTTGCTGCACACCCAGAAGGGACCTTGGCGGTCGGAGTGGTCGGGAATGGTGGTGCGGTGGTGGGCGGTGCCCTGAGGGTTGAGGTAGCGAAACCACGCGAGGTCGGCCGCACAACGGCGGTGACGGTTGTGGTTGCATTGCTGGGAATGGAGAAGGACGAGACGGAATCGCGGTAAGGCACGGTCATGGCAGTGCTCATCCAGTGGCACAAATGGCTGTGGTTGCCGCTTGCCGAATGGGGAGGGAGAGAGAGAGATAAGGGAGAGAGGGGGGGAGGATGAGGAAGGGATAGACTGACATGTGGCTCCACAAATTTTTCTTCCGTGCGAATGACAAATGGGTCCCACATGTATATCTTTAATTCTAATGCCACCTAAGCGCCACGTCAACAGCAGACCAGGTCAACACTGCCACGTAGACGCCACGTCAGCAAAACCGCTTTTCAAAACCGCTGAGGGAGTCAATTTGCACCGGTTTTAGCAGTTTAGGGGGTTAAAATATCTGGTTTTGTGGTTTAGGGTCATGGATTAGATTCGAGTCATTTTTAAGGGAGTCAAAGTGGACTTACTCCTTCCGATGATAGAGAGAAGGGGAGAGATCGTTTGCAAGGTCCCATGGCCCATGCGGCCTATCTAAATTGGACTTGAAGCCCAACTTCCAAGCAAGACCCTTGCTTTTACTTTGGCCCCGTTTGGCACAGCTCCAGCTCCCAACTCCAATTTACCTAGAGCTAGAGTTGTGCCAAACGGTCTAGATTCACCCAAAAATGGAGCGGAGCGGGATGAATCGCTCCTAAAAATTGTACTACCGAGATGGAGTGGCAAAAACGTCGCTCCGCAGCTCCACTCCAAAATTAATTACAGAGCTACCCATCCCCTTTCGTCAAAATTACAAGAAAATGCCACTGGCCTACCCCCGACCCACCCGAACCGCACCGCCCATTCCCTCCACCCCCAGAGTCGCAGCCCCTTCTCTCGAGAGAGCGATAGGGGAGGCGATACCGTGAGAGGAGACGGCGGAAGCGCACAACGGCGGCGGCGGTGGTGCACGGCGGTGGCGTAGGCGCACGGTGACGGAGGCCTCCCTCGTCCTCTCGACGCGGCGGTTGGAGTGGTGCACGGCGGCGGCGTGCTGCGGCTTTCGGCATTGTTACAGCTCACAGCAGCGGGGTGATGCAGCACGGCGATGGGCGGAATCAGAGCACGGGGACGGCGGTGGCTTAAAAGGTTCCAGATTTGTGTGCAAGGTATTTTCCAAACCCTAGTGAGTTGGTTCATTACTATGTGGATTGATTGTTCATATTTGCAAGGTTTTCACATCGGTGTGCATGTTTCCAAATCTGTGTGCAAGGTGTCCAGATCTGTATGGTAGAAAATGAAACAAGAAAATTAACTATGGATGCATATATGGATGTTTGGATGTACTTAATCTTACGATAACTATGGATGTATATATGGATGCATACAGTTGTCTAAAGTTCATTGTGATGCATATATGGATGTAACCATGCGTGCTGCATATATATAAGCACAAGTGTGATGTGAGTGTCTGAATGTATCATATGAGAACTAGTAACCTCTATTCAGAATGTATTTGCGTTTCAGTTTCAAAACATATTTCAATTTCAGTTCTGATTGAAAATGACAAATGTGTTGCCTTTCAGTTTTGGATCTGTGATATGCCATATGTTATGCTTGCAATGAACCTCTATTATAGATCTCTAGCATGAGATTGACCAATAAAAGGTTGTCAAATGTCAGATAGATCTCTAGGATGAATTGATTGAAGTCTGAATTTGGTTGGACTGTTTATATGTTCACAAGTAAAACATATGCAGTCAGGTCAGAAAAAACGCAAGTTATGAGTTGTTTGCCACTAGAATGTCTTCAAAAGTTTAGAGAATATTTGAGCTCCACTTGATGGCTAGTCATTCTACTCCCCTGCTTTCATCCCAGACCAATACATGTATTTGTATTTTAGTTTGACACCGCAGGTTCTTTTTTCTATTGGATTCATTCACCACTGATTCAGAGTGTTGCTTGTTTTTCATGCAGCAAAGTCATGCCAATTGCCAGGACAACAGAAAAGAATTTATGTCAATCCTCTATCTGGAAGAACCTTTTGTTGCCTAAAGATACCCAGCTGGTAGCTAATTGTATGTTGTGAACTGATTGTATGTTGTGAACAAAAGACCTCTCAATGCTTTGCTGCTAAAATATTAAGGGATCATGACAGAGCATATTATTAATGTTAGATCTATACCATCGAGCGAGTTATGTACTGGACCTTTGTTTTATGTTTTGATGACAACCCTACTATTATTAATGTACTGAACATTTGTATTATTTGCTAATTATGCCAACTATTTTATCAATTATCATTTAACTTGAAATTTTGTTGAAATTCTAAAGAAAATAAACAATTATCAGTTATATACCACAAAAACAGCAAAAATCACAAGGGTACTATTGTCAACCTCCCTCCTATACTCTCTTTCAGGAGTTCTAGAGTTGACAAAGCTAGCCAAACACTTTTCAGCTCGCTCCAGCTCCCACTAGAGCTAGCTCCCACTGGAGTTAGAGTTTGGAGCCCTACCAAATGGGGCCTGCCTCTGAGCAAACTCCATTTCTGGTACCCCTCCATTCCCCTTTTCTTGACTATACTATTCATCCACAAACTTTGACCACTTGCCTTTTTTTAAAAAAAAAAAGAGTACAAATATGTTATACTACTCAAGTACTTTACATCTTAAATATAACTATACTACTTGTGTTCACCAAGGTGTTGTAATTTTTTAAAAAACATTAGTGGTTAATGATAAGATCACACTGATCAACAGTGTCAATTGAAAAGGAACGGAGGGAGTAGCTTTTTTCTTGATGAAAACTTAGGGTGCGGTTAACACTTGACACCAAGGAGTAGAATTTCACGACAAGAAAAAAAAAAGAATAGCTACTAGTACAATTTAGTTAGCCAAACAATCTAGCATTAGCATCCTCCACTTAGAAGACGACGAACCATTCGCCGTAACACCTACGAAATCCAGTTTATTTAACAAAGAAAGTAAACGTAGGGGCAGTAGGTTAGCTAGCTGCTCAGCTCGCACATGAGTGTGAGATCGAGAGAAGAGAGAGGGTAGCGTTCAATGCAGGGGAGAATCTGCTCTGCAATGTGCTCTCTCCACGTACGGACAAGCCCAGCGTCGTTTTGTGCTTGTTCTACTAGTGCAACTAATCACTGACTAAACTCCGTATTAAAATGTCGTGCTCGTCGGAGATTGCTGGGAGAAACTTCCATCAGCTCGCCGCCAACTTGGCCCTTAAAACCTCTTCATCTCCAGCTGCCCATGTCTACCTAGTTGCCTACACTGAATCTATGTTCTTTTTTAAAAAACAGCTCCGGTGATCGTTTGTACTTCGAATCGTCGCTAAATTGGTTTAAAACTTATCCCAAGTTCTGTTTTTTTTTTAAAAAAAAAAGTCTGTTTCTTCATTTGATTTTTTCTGATTTTTTTTCATGGCTCTCAAATGGGAAGTGAAGAAATTCCTGAAGTGAAGTTTAGTGAGTGTTGTCTATGTGCAACTGCAAAGGACTAGGAAGGCAGGGTGTGCGCACGAATTTGGTCATGACAACAATGATGGTGTCCGAGAGGAGGACAAGAGATGATAGGTGTATCCAGTTATCCACTAGGCATCCTGCCCGTCTTGATGCTAATTAAGTGTAGAGGCCCTACGTACAAATGGTCCAATGCAATCACCAGGTGTACGGCTTAACTTGATTCTAACCACACTATACTGCATATAACATAGTAGAACAGAGTTCCCAAGTTTGGTTAAGTGTCCTTCTCATCAGAACAGAGATATTTCATGCGTGCACAAGATTACTGTACATGGAAAGATCAACGATTTCTCTGTACTGGAGTGCATACTATGTATCTTGCAACAACTCTATCAGGATTCAAGTGATGGATTGATGGATGGATACTTGTTAGTGTTCATCACTTGAGAGAACTGATCTGGATGAAAGTGAAACAATGATATAAGGATAAATAAATTCTTAAGCGGCTACTAATAATAAATTAAGTTACATGTTCCGGAGAACAATCGATGCTTGGAAGAACAAGCTGTACATTGCATTTGTTACAAGGATGGAGATCGATCGATCGATCGATCGATCAGGGCGTGGCGAAGACGGCTTCCCAGACGTCCTCGAAGGCGGCGAGGATGGCCGGGTGGTGGCGCCTTGAGTTGAGCGACAGGTACGACATCAGGAGGTCGCCCATGGCGTCGGCGCCACAGATGCGCCGCTCCACCACCATCTCCACCATCGAGCTCCGGAAGTCGGCGTACGGGTTGTGCGACCGCTTCACCACCGCCATGCTGCCCGCCGCGGCCACGCCGACGACGCCGCCGCCGTGCTTGTCGTCGGCTTTCTTCGCGCCGCCCTTGTTGTCTTCGTGCGGCTTCGCGTCGCCGGCATTGGCGCCTCTCGGCGGCGCGCGGCGAGGCACGCGGCGAGGTGGGTTCTTGTGGTGGCGCTTTGACCCGCCGCCGGTGCTGTTGTAGAAATCGGAGGTGGAGTCGGAGGAGATGCTGAGGGAGGAGAAGAGCGTCGACGACCTCGTCTCCGCCCCCTCGCCGCCCTCCCCGTCGCTGCTGCTGAACGGCGGGAGCTCGTCGTCGGTGACGGTGGAGGACGAGCAGCTGTACGACGGCGACCGCGGCCTCCCACCGCGAGCCTTGCTCCTGATGACAGCCTTCACGTCCTTGGCCGGCGCACCGGAGATGGCATGACCGCGGCGCCGACAGAGCGGGCGCTGGTGGGGCCGGAGCAGTCGATGGAGATGTGAACAAGAGCCCGCGCGCTGCGCCGGCGCCGACGCCGGACACTGCCATCGATCTTGGGCCTCGGCTGATGGGCGTCGTTGGCGGCGGCGGGAGGCGGTGCTTGGCGCGCCGCGGCGGCGTTCCCGGCCGCCACGGCGACATTGGTGACGAATGCCGTGGCCGATGTGGTGGTGCAGGAAGAGTGGAGTAGGATCTGCGACAGCCGCTGCCTCAGCCGGACGCCGACGCCGACGCCATGGCGCCTGGCCTTGCTCATGTCCATGACGGACACAATGCACAAGTGTGCCTACTAGCTCTGGATTCCTCTCGTTGTGCTTGCAGATGGTTGTAGTAGCAGCTGGTGTCGCTCAAGTTGCATGTAGTGGCTGGGCTTAAAATACTACTCCAGTTGGGCGACGAGAGATGGCGAGCGATCGTCTGATGATGTGGCAGCCAGATAGGTACAGATATGTTGGTGTCGTGGAGCAACAGTTGGCTTTTGCAACGGGACGTACGCCACCTCATACATGCATGATGGGAGCAAATCCTCCGGATAAATAATAATGGCACGGCATACTATTCTTACCGTAACGGGGAATGCCAGCGGACGGAATCCTGTCCTCGCATTGATACGGTATGCTTCGGTGTTAGTACTCAACATCCGGGTGACCTCGCACTCGCTTTTAGAAATCTTCAGATCGGATCAGAAAGCCCCCAAAACAAAACCAAACACTACCTATACATCTTCTTTCTTCTCCCATTTATCTCGTGTTTCTTTTCATCTCTAAAAAGGCGACCCATAGCGAGAGAGAAAAAGAGAGATCGAGCGTACAGGAGGACGAAGAATCAAAGGAAGATGTCGGTGGTTAGCGACGATGAGACGACACCTTTCTGTCTTTCTCGGTGATGCCTTGACCCTCGTCTTCGTATGTAACATCCTCATCCTGCATTTTCTTCCTCTTTCTCCACCCGATCGATCAATTAGGTGGAAAAAGCTTCAGTTTTTTTAATCAAAATTGAGGCACCTCGAAGACACAATTGAAGGCTATGACGACTTCGCCACCACCTTCACCGCGTGTCACTACGCCTCTATGACCTTAAGTTCATCACCAACAAGAACTTAAAAAAAAAAGAGATATATCTTATTCTCTTAGTACCTACTCTCCCCGTCCCAAAATATAATAACTTTTAGCCCTCAGGATTTGTCCCAAAATATAACTTCTTCACCAGCATTTTCTTTCCAACTAATCACAAGTTCACAACCATCCACCATTCACTTCTACCTATTTTCTTAATAACCAACCTCCACCATTCACTTCTACATACTTTCTTAATATTCATCCTCCACCATTCACTTCTACCTACTTTTTTAATAATCGTGTCCAACTCTAAAACTTCTTATATTCTAAGACGGGGTGGCATCTATTTATTAGACCTGGTATTATGTATGAGACATGTTATTCTATAGAGATCGGGCATAATATCTTATAGATTACATGCAATACCAAATCTAATATCATACTGGAGAGGTGGTGACGATGGCAAGAAAATGGTAGTGTCTTTTTTTTTTTTGGAGGGGGGGGGGGGGGAGGTAATGGTTTTAATCGAACTAAGTGATCGAACTATTTAGAGAAGTAAAAGTAGTGTACGTACACTGATGGAGCATTGATTATTCGGTGGCAGATTAGAGACTCGATAACAGTGTGGTGACTTAAATGAGTTCCTCTTGTTTATTCGTAGTTAGAACATCTATTCTGCGCTAACAAAATCAGTCCCCAGCATTCTTACATCCATGATGACGATGAGCAATGATCAGGTCCTACTCGACCATGTACCCATAATAAACTCAATATGATTGGTGAGGTGACCGAGGTTGATCATCTAACTAATGATCATAAATTATTGATCGCAACCTATCTCTGCATTTCAAGGGTTACAGTACCAATACTACTAGCCTGAATGTATGAGCTCGTCAGTGACAGGAAGCTCAGCTGAATCCACACTGTGATATGATCGTGCAACTGCAAACCATATATCCACACTGCTCTTCGCTGCACCGTGACACATACACTGATACACGTCGAAGTGCAGCTGCTGCTAAGCTCTGCTCATGCCTCATGGCACTCGCTTCGCTTGTGACGCGGAAACCGATGATTTCTCCGTGCTCTTGGCTGCCTTCCTTTTGCTGCCGCCCGCTGCATGCATGCACGCATGCGCGCGATGCCGGAATGTGCGATCTGGTTGAGTGGTTCGCTGATCGCCACCTCCAATTGTTGCAGGCAGCAAGCGGCGGCCCATGGAGCAGGTGACACCGGCCACCACCATTACACGCGCGTTTCAGGTTTCATCGGTACCACCCTGAGAAATTCCGAAACCTCGAGAAAACATCCTCTCGATCGTTTTATGCAATGGTTATAGAAAATATATTAAAAAAGGACAAGATAATGAGTTGCTTGTATAACAGTGTTTATGGTGTGTATCTTTTGTCTATCAATGAAATGAGGCAGCAGGGACTTGGAGCACAAGGAAACGGCGGCCCCCCAACCTTATGGCAAAAATAAAGGAAGAGGCAAGAACCTGGATAATGGCAGGCGCAATGTGACTTGGAGAATTCTTACCAACTTAATCATAGCGCTTATATAATTTTGTACAGCTCTTTTTTTTTTTGCCCCTAGGGGTTGTATTTTTTTACGCCTATATCTAATGAAATAGCACAGTCTCGTGCTGATTCCTTTCAAAAAAAAATGAGGCAGCAGGTTTGTTTGTTTTTTCTTTTGGAAAGTTTACAATTCTTGAAAAGGTATCAAGATATTACAATTTTTTAGTGTAAAACTTGATACCTCTAGATACTAGGTATTTCGAGGTAACAAAATTTTTAGTGTAAAATATTGGTCCTCCAGATATTTTTTAAAGGACCGTAGAATTAGTATCTTTTTTTTTATCGGTGTGTATCTTTTCTTTATCAATGAAATGACGTAGGAGTAGAACTTTTATATTTTATTTTAAGTTCAATATATCACTCAAATGTAAGTTATACCTTATCAATTTGTTTTCTAAATTTTTTTATAACTATTCAGATAACAAACAAAAAGGCATCGAGACTTAGAATCCATTCCCAGTATCACCATCCTGATTGGATGACGCCGTCATCAACGCCCCCATCATTCTGCTGTTTACCGCTGCAGCTAACGCAAGTAGCAGCCGGTAGTACCAGGAATCCAAGATGCTAGGTGGATGGTCCAATCTCCATCCAGGCTCCAGCACATGGAAAGAAGAGATCGAATTGGACAAAGAAAAGTTCAAGAGCAGCATCGAGTGAGAACAGAGTGCAAGACAAGCGTATCTCTTCAACTTCAATGGCTGAAATCAAAGGTGCCGGCCGGCCGGCCGGCCGTCTGGGAGGATGCTTGCACATGATGGTACAAAGCTGGTTGTTACACCATAAAAACATGTTTAAGCTTCTGCAAGCAGAGCACTAAATAAACTTCACTGACCATACACCCAACCGGTTGGTGAGCTTTGACATATGTGCAAAGAGAGACCCCTTTCTGTCTCCAGATTCTCAGGTTTTTAACTAGCAACTGTTCTGTCACGGGAGGCACAGGCGTGTATACCTGAATAATCTGAATAATCCTCGTCGCCGCATTAGTCCCAGATGATCTCCCTCTGATTGAGTAACACCCTCTGACCTAAAATTGTTTCATATTTAGCAGTTAGCAGGGAAGATCACATCAAACACAAGCAGACATTCACATACCTACATCTATCACCTATCTGATTGTTCCCCGTATCATCTCCCTCGCTTTGATTTCAAACATAACCTTTTTTTAAAGATCGACATCGAACAAAAGTGAGCAATTAATTCAGGAAGAGTGAACAAACAAACAAACCCAACGGCCCCAATTTTCACTCAGCTGTCAAGGCAACTTTTGTAACCTTCACACAGCAGCTTGTAACCACATGATATATCAGGGGTAGGATACATGATACATCACAGTTCAATGTTGAAAGCCTCCAAATTCCAATGCAGTAGGAGGAGGGCATGATTGATTTTACTGCATTATTAGCGCATCGTTTCAGTGAGTGTCTTCTGCACTGATGTCCCGCGATTACAGGCCAAAAAACCATGCATGATCAGAGCTAAGTCCAAGGACACGAATAGTTACAGTCTTACATAAAGAAAGAAACGGCCAACAAGTAAGCCTACATCTCACCGGAAGAAAAGATTAATCTAATGTCGAATTCAAATGTAGTACCAGCAGTATACGTACTTGGAGCCAATGTACATGCCAATCAGTGTCCAAGAACCGAGGACAATGTGACGCAGGCAAGCGTCAGCAGAGTCCATCACGAGGATTGTTGCCTTGGATCAGCCGCGTGCGACTAGCAACGGCGAATCATGAGCAGCAGCTACTACTCCTACCAGTGTTATAGCTGGACGAAGAATGGCACAATGGCAGCTGCTGGCTGTTGTCGTCGCTGCAATGGCTTCGCTTCACAGCCTCACAAGCTCACAGGACCAGTTCGATCAGGAGCCTAGCTTCTTCCATGAACCTGTCAATACCACGACAAGAGTTGCCAAAGGGAGATGGCTACTGTGAGGTCCGTGCCTCTGCACGAATGTACCTGGGCGAGAGGCAACAATATGCTTCGGCTGGTTCAGACAGGCAGGGTGTCCGTGATGTCATCAGCTTTGCAAGCACAGCCAAAGCGTCCTCTCCAAACAGGGGAGGTTCAGAGAACAATCCCGGTGATCGTCCTGGCGTTTAGCCATGAACAGTACCTATTTACGACGGAGTACGACTAGACGCCGGCGGGCGGGGCCGGCCACGAGCCGCGGCGTTTTGGACACGCGCGGGGTGGCCGTGCTGTGATACGGTTGGTTGCCGGCTAGCTGGAGATCTCCGGCCTCATTCGGTGCACTTGCGCATACCGCTCTCGCCCGTCCACGGTTTTCTTCTACAGAATGCAGTGAAGTGCAGGTGATGCAGCGTGTCGGCCGCCCGGTGTTGCGTTCCCTTCCCTGTGCCGGATCACGGCCATCCCAATTCCCGAGGCGCAGCCTGGTTGTGAATGTTTGAATGGAAACATATTTGTGTACTGTTGCCAGAGTTCTATACAGATACACTCTTCAGGGGGGGAAAAAACAAGAGACTGACAAACAAGCTGCTGCAGCGAGCTGAACTGTAAGCTCAAAGTGTTCATAGAGAAGATGATGATAGCATGACTCTTATAACGAGAGCACATGGAAAGGATCCAGCAAAGGGCAAGAGGTTTAACGAGCCAACGACAATCAAGGACGACTCAGATAGAGCCCTTAGAACTAACAACCAGCGAAGGAGGAATTCCTGGATCACTTCTTTATTTCATTCAACGTAATGCGGAGTTACAAAATTTGGTAACACCCACAGGGGACAAAAAACAGACGCTAACAAAAAGTACATCAACCCTACACCTACAGTAAAAAAATACTGTGTGACCTCTTTCTTTCAAGCTGCATTATGTATACCAAACTCTATGATTCTATGAGAAAAAAAAAGAGAGACCAGTCTGTCGAACAAAAAAACGGCCTACTGGTCCATGGGGGAGAAGGGACCGTTCTCACAAACTGCTAACTAATCATATTCACACTGCACGAAGTCGCCTCCATTTAAACAGAAATGTCAAAACAGCACTGATTTCGGGATTCCCTTATTTACACTGGAATGGATCTGCACTCTGCATCAAGCATACGTGTTTGATCTGACCCTGCGGAATAATTCGTTCACCATGAAAAATTATTCCAGGGCGTACAACTGCTGTTTGTCTTCATGCCACTTCTTCACAATGTCATCCAACTCTGGAAATGCAGCTAGTACAAGGAGCTCTAGGACTTCAAATGCTAGCTGCTTCAAACAAACTGGAGACTGTACAGAAAATAAACTCCAAACATCAGTCAAGGATCATATAGTTACTGATGCTACTGTATTTGACCTTAAGGTTGTTTCCTAAGAATTTTCTTTTCACAAATACATGTTTTTTAGTTTAAGAGAGACACAGAGAGAGACATCAATATTTATAGCCGTGTCCCATGCGTATGTTACAAAAACTTTATGATTTATAATAATATCACGAAATCATCTTTTACAATCAACCTGTCCATATACTCTGGCCAAATCTACATACCTTTAGGCAGTTTAGGTCAAAGTGAGTACGTGCATGCCACAAGGACATACATTTGTGGAAAAGGTATCCCAGTTTCGTATAAATATTATTGCTTCAACAAACTCCCAAATTGGTTCAGAGAAGTTTAATCAAGTCACATTATTAGATATACATTTACTTTTCAAAAACATTACTACTCTACACAGGTAGATGCTGATTGAGCTTGTTATTGAAGGTCTCTATGAATTTCTGTGAGATACACTAGTACCCTAACTTCTACAAAAACATGGTTAAACTCACAACACCCCCAACATGAGGCATGTGATGTTAAGACTGCCTACCTTAGCTGCTTAAAAAAAAATAATGATTTCAGTGTTTCTTTTGAAGAAAGTTGTGAGTTCTAATGGTAATATCATGCAGAATGCTCAGAAAATGGTAAATTTGCATCCAGTATGATCTACTTTTTTTCCTCGCAAAAAAAAAGGTATGACCTGAATCCTCTGGGCATATTTACCTGAAGAAAGAAGTAGACGTCCTGAGCACATCTTTCGTACTCCTTTCGACCAACCAGACTCACTAACGCAGATGGTGCTTTCTCTGTGCAGATAAAACAGTAAGATGGTAGTGTTAAAACAACATGCGGACTTTAAAGACTAAAAGCAGTTATGAAGCATTCAAATTCAGGCAACAAGTCTGTTATTAGAAGGGAATCATTACATCTCTACAACTACGGAAGCAAACTAAGAGGGAAAACAATATATTTTAACAAAATAAAGTGGTGTAGCATCACCCATAGAATAATATTACGTATGAAGTTCACCTATCATTAGTTCATGGACAAAATTTGCACGATGAGCATCCTCTAGTCGTTGTTCATCAGTCAGATAGTTGGCCATGCCGTTACTCTGGGAACCAGGTGGAGGTGTTGCTGCTTTTCTCTTAGGATGTTTTGTCAGGAAAATTCCATCTGGCCAGAGTATCTGCACAGAGTGAAATTAGAAAATTATGCAATTCAGACCAAAGACTTATAAGACTTTCTAGCATTACCCACATTCATATATATGTTAATGAATCTAGACATATGTGTGTCTAGATTCATTAACATCTATATGAATTTGGGTAATGCTAGAAAGTCTTATAATATGATTTATTTAGCTGCATCAAAGAAAACAGTTCCCTTTCACTCTGCTGGCACCTTGGCACCTGCATTGCTAAGGATTTGACACTTACTTGTTCAACCCGCTTAACTGCAAAAGCAACAATCCTCCCCTTCCTAAGTAACTGGATTTTCTCAACAAGCCAGTCATCAAATGTGTCTCCCATTCCCAGTTGCAGTATTTGCTTCACTACCCAAAATGCTTGCCTCCTAAAAATAAAAAGAAGAACGACAGTAGGAACTATTTTACTTGGGGGTTTATTCTACAAGTGCAAATACTAAAGTTAGATACGCTAAAAGTTAGAAATTATAATGATGTACCTGATCCAGCCACCATCTTGGAGCTGAAAAACCACATCAACCAAATGAAATAAGGGCACACTAAGATTTGGAGCCATCCACTGCATTATAGTAGTTTTGAAGTTATTAGTCAGGCAGGTTAGCTGGTGCACCATGTGCAATTAATTTTGAAGTTATAAGGCAGGCAGCTGGTGCACCACGTACAATTAAAGTAAAAGAACAAAAATGGAGGAACAAAAGACTGCTCAAATGCAAGAACGATAACAAAATGTGGCAGTAGAACTAATTACTATAACTTACATCATTAGGAGCTACTGAGTATCCATCAGACTCCAAACTTTGAGGCGGGTAGTCAGTTTCACTTGACAGTGTCTTTTTAGAATTTCCCGAATTTATTATAAATGAATGCTCGTTCTGTTCAGGGTCACTTCCAGAGAGGTCTTCATGAAGATTGGCATTTGTGTTGCCAACACCAATTCCTAAATTCTGTTCCGTGTTCCTCTTCCTTGATCTCAAACCATCAACAGCATCAAAGTCTTTATCCTTCTCCTTCGGCATGGTATCATCTTTATGTACATGCAAAGATTGGCTAGCAGAGACCAAATTCCCATTCAAAGCTTGGGAAGAATTGAATGATTTTGTATTCTTCTCTTTTGATCTTTCATCTAAATTGACTGTGTGATATCACAGAATGGGCATTAAATAGCATGAAAACGCAAACGGTTTAAAAAATAGATTAGCTACTCAACTAAAAGGGGATTATTCACCTGACAACGTCTGGATAACTGAGAGAGTGTCAGTGAAGATGTATGTCTGCAGCGAGGACATTTGACAAGTTATTGAATTATAATATACCAGTTTCAACGGGTGAGTGCAACAAGATTAAAGAAAACACTAACCTGTGAATCAACACTTAGAAAATCCCAGACCTCTATACAGCTTGAAACAGTGGGAATCTGAAGAAGCTTCTGTAGAACAAATAATCATGTGATTAGAAGTGTGTTTTGTTTAAATGAGCATTCAAATTTCATAAGCATGCATTATGTTCAGACAACGAAACACTTGAAGCAAAACATGGAAAAAAAATAAAGTTACCATATAGCAACAGGAGAACAGAAAACAAAGCTCACAGATGTTTACTAAATATATAACAAGCCAACAAACTAACATCGATGAAGATGTAATTAGCTGCACATGCATGCTTGCAAGTCTATTCATACGTCTGAAGAATTCTAAGAAGCACACTATCTGGTATACCTCCGAAGAAAATAGCAAGAAAACTCTCTGCTGCTTGCGATATGTTTGCATCGTTTTAGGCCTCATGAAAGTTGGTCTTAAGTTCGAATTATAAGGTATGGAGCGATTGAAAAAATGAACTTGGAATCTTCAAACAGCACAAGAAAAACACCTTTAGATATATGTCAAGCAACTTGCATCTCTCTCGAACAACAGGGACCTCTAGCCCTGACGAAAGGAAGTGCTTTGGAGGCAAGTGAAGATTGTACTGAGAATATTCTTTCAAACGCCGATGTAGCTCTTCGAAATGGCGAAATCTGATAAGGTCAAAAAATAGTGCAAGTCCAGTTAAAAAGAAGTATCACCACGTTTGAATAATCATAGGTGCAATATCTGTTACAGCTCACGTGAATACAAAACTAGAATATAATCACCTCCTCTTGATGGACCAACTATTACCATTGGCATCAGTCACAGAAACAGAATATACAGCAAACATGCCAGATCCACTTTTCACAATGCTAGCTCCTACCACCTGAATAAGAAATTGAATAAATATATGTGCCATCTATAGTTATCAGGACCAGGATAACTAAAAGGAGAATGTAATACCTCACATTTCAACTTCAAATAAGAGTCTTCTAGCACATTAGTGGTGGAATAATTTGATGAATATGAAGAGTCAGTTGATGCCAATGACAAAGATGAAGCATTCGCACCACTAAACATCCTTGACATACTTTCCACCTCAGTATCATCATACAGTCCATCCGTCCTTGAATCATCTGCCGATGTATTCAGTATATTTAAATCATCCCCCACCAATAAAGATGATCTCTCCACCTCTTGCCAGACAGGAGGCTTTTGAGAATTTGACCTTGACCTTTTTCTTCCTGAAGTTTTTGTCATTTTCAACTTGCCAATATGACTTCTGTTCTTCTTTGCTTTATGGAAACCTGGAGATTCAAGTGGATGGTGTATATGTGATGAGGTGGCATTTCCTTTACTTTTGCTGTCCCAAACTCTCGTTACTGGAGAGTCAAGCCCAGTCACATTGTTATTCTCATCCTCCTCAGTGGCATATGAACTCTCACTGTCCACTCCAAAGTCTTCTTGGCTGGCATGATCTGCACTTTCTCTGGATAAAGCCATCCTCAGATGATTGGTGCCATTTAAGTATGCAGCAGTAGTTGAGTGTTTAATCAAATGTTGGTCATCAGAACGAGACATAGTTGTCTGCCTTTGTGGAGCACTAGGATAATGACCAACAGAAGTGCTGTAAGGAGCTGACTGCTGCACTGGAGAAGTGCCTAGAGAAGAAGATTTGGAAGGTACTCTCGCAACATGTTTTACATTTTCTGATTTGTAATTCTTCCCTTTAGTCCACATGTTCTCAAGGTGCTCAGGTGCTAGGGCTTGACTTTTTTGCTGGGAGCTGATATCCATGGTCTGTGCCCATTCTCCCTCATAACATTCTGCAGTTGTCCTGCCACTACTTTGGGAATGCAATGACATACTGGAATTCGAATGACCATGGGTAGTGGAAGATAAAATGCTAGACTCAAGTGGATGTGAACTATTGGTCAAAGAAGTACTAGAGGAATTTGGTTTGAGGTTAGATGGATGTCTAGTATTACTGAGTTGCGTATCTGGTGCAGCTTTGGACTGATCCTGACTAAATCGCACAAGTTCAACCCCTGAACTCGTGGGATCTATTAGTGCAGCAAGTTCATCAACAGTTGGCATAGGAGGTTCCCTTTGCTTAACCATTGTAGCATGCTCCAATGATTCTGCAACTCCTCTTTCTGCCTTGTTGGCATGAGAAAGAGCCAACAATTCAATTCTTTCATTTATAAACCTGCAAATTTACATCTCAAAATGATGACAACAGAAAAAAACAGAATCAAGTAGAGCAGGAGCAGTGGCTCACTACCTTGGGTTTGCTAAATTCACGACAGGTCTCATGACTGCACATGCAAGAAGTTCTCGTGCAGTACATCGGAAGAAGTAACACTGCAGATCCTGAGGTTTTGCTGTTACTGATATCAACCCATCAGCAAGACTTTGTAGGATCTGCAAGGAAAAATAAACATATACTATGTTATCATATGATCTTTGATGCTTAAACAGATAAACAATGGGAATACAATTTAATATGTCATACCTCCCAAACAGTTTACACAAGAGATCACCAGGAATGCATATGATTAATCTACCGGATTTTTAAATATGTATTAACCTAGCAACACTCAGCTTATACCGTGCGCAGATTCAACACCATGGGCAGCTGGGTAATATACAGGTATATATGAAATTCAAGAAATAATCATAATCGATTATCGATGTGAAGAAGCAGGAGTGTTATGGTGCATATTGTTATCATCCGTGGTACTTGTGAAACATAATCAAAATTCCAGCCCTAGCGGTCCATCAAATTTCCGATCACATTGAGATCTGAAAACACAATAACTTACTACAAGAAACTGGAAGCTTCATGATCCATTCGGTCTTACCTTGTGCTCAGCACTGGCTGAAAATAAAGCTGGATGCAACTTGTTTTCGGTTATAAGGGTCAGTTTTAGTTCAGCATCACGACGCTCCGTCGAGAGATTAACAAACTTCTCTTTTCCAATCTTGGCTTGGCATAAATGATAAAGCTCCAAATTTTTGCATATAAGATCAATCAGATCCCTGAAAAAGGTAGAGAAGATTTTACTGTAAGACATCCATTGTTCTTAAATTTTGCACTGTTTCATGTACTTCATGTGACAGATCAGACTTTTCACAACCTGGTTAGCAGAGCGATAAGGTTAACGTTTCTTGCCCGGACTGATATCTCTCCCAGGACATTATTAACTATATTGATGAGTTCCTCTGGACCTTCCTTGTCAGGTGTTACACGGGAGTACCATAGATCTGTTACCCACTCTGTGACAAGGTGCCTTGTGAACTGTTCAATTGCAGCTTCAACTGGAGGGGAATTCACCTTGCTCTTCCAATCTGACTTTCCATCCTTTTGAATAGAGGGGATTTTATTTGGTTCAATACTTTTTGTTTTGGTAAGTGCGCGACTGGCATCGTTATCTGTGGTAGTTGTGCTCTTTCTACGGAAATCATAGTCAAGTGATATGTAGCGAAATAAAACAATCAAAGCTGTGGCAAATGGCAAGTTAATCCAAACTGAGGAGCTTGTCACTGCAATGGACAAAATTAGTCATTACATTAGTTCAGTAGAATACTGGGTTAAACAAACATGGATCTTAGCTTTTCTTCGAAATGTAGCACTTTTTTTCAACTTCCACAGAGGTATGCTTTATGATCCCTGGCATAGGCAAAGCCACAAGGCCAAAATTGAACTGACATACTTAGTGCTTATCTCGCTTGTCTCTACACTCAATCATGCAGTCTAACATATAATTAGTGTTGTATGCAACATTATACATTAAACAAATTTACAACTACCAACATGCCACCACAGGCATGAACCCATAGAATGGACAATCAGCAACAAAATTTCTGATGTCTCTAAGAAGTAACACATCATATAACACGAAAAATGATCCGCTCGGACACCAAGTGTACCCCAAATTTACCAACTGCTCAATGCAGCAATTTACAGCACCTGTGGGACAAACTAATCTCTCTACTCGAAAAACAACAATGAACAGAAAATGAAGAGCTCAACGCAACAACCGCTGGAACAAACGCCCTAACAACAGCGAGTAGAAACGATGGTGAAACAAAAATCAGTAGTACATCACTACCGCCGTTACCGCATCTAGGGAGGATGATTACCCGAGAAACACGGTTCAAATCAGATGCATCGGAACGAGCAACCAACATAAACCCTAATCACGGAACTGGTGACCGAACAAATGCATCGGCAAACAAAAATCACCGTCCCCTCCCTACCTATCGGAGAGCTCGAAGCTACCAGCAGACAAGCGCTATCTTAGGGTTTGGGAGAACTCACGGGACATGAGGAAGGCGAGGCCGAAGGCGAAGACGAGGAGCAGCACGGCCCGCTTCTTCCCCTCCTCCGCGAGGTCGCGGACCGTGTGCGCCCTCCCCGGGCCGCCTGCCGTCGCCATCGCCGGCAGCTCCGCCGCGCGGCTGCCGGCGGCGGGGGTGCGGGAGAGGAGGAGGAAGGGGAGGTGGCGGTGGCGGTGGCGGTGGCCGGCCGGCTGTTGATTTTGGGTTTGTGGGGAGGGAACGGCGGCCGGCGAGGCGATCCTTTTCCGGGGACTTTCTGTTTTGCGGGGACTCGATTTTTATGTTTTTTTTTCTCATTTGTTGTTGTTGCGGTTTTATTTCCATTTCTTTTGCTTCGATTTCTAAGTTGTACTGTATATTCGAATTTCGAAACGAATCCAGGTCACTGCATCATGGGACCCATCAAAAATGGTGAGTTGGTTGTGTATGTTCACTTTACTACTACAGTTCTGTGCCAGGTAACACTTCAACAATGTGCCAGATTTTTTTTCAACTTAGACCAATACAGGCAATACTTCCATTAATCGGTAGAAAGAACGGTCACGTTTAACAATATATTAAAAGAAAATTGAGAATTTGGTTTAATCAGGTACAGTAGTTTACCAAAAAAATTATTAACTGGAGTCGAACGGTTTCATAAAATAGTTGGCGTGAAATAGAGGTGGACCGACAAATGGGTCAAGACTCGCTAGCCATCCTATTTTAGTTTAGACCAAATTTGTGCTAGTATGGTAGAATATTACTGGATTTTTGATATTTTAGCTCTTTTGAAAGATGTATTTTAGAAAAAACCTCTTGTAAAAATCTTATCCTCAAATACAGACTTCTACCTCGGCGTCAGTGAGATTGACACTGAGATGGTATGTCTTAGCGCCAAATACGTTGGCATGAATGGTAAGATTTAGGCGTCACTCACTCAGTTTGGCGACCTCACCATCTAGGCTTTACCTCAAGGACTAAAATACATATAAAAAAAGGAATATTTGGGAGTACTTACTCTATTCCAAAATAAGCCAACCCCGTACTCACATCCTAGTACAAGGTTGGTATATTTTAGGACGGATGGAGTACTGTTTTGTTCAATGTTCTATGTCGTTGCTCAAAGCCTAGGTCTGCCCCTAACGTTGAAGGTAATAATTGTATTTCGCAAGATTTTGTTAATAAAAAATGGCACTTTCATTAATTACCAAGCTGACATTTTAAAATATAGGTGTCTTTGAAACGTACTCCCTCCGTTTCACAATGTAAGTCATTCTAGCATTTTCCATATTCACATAGTTGTTAATGAATCTAGATAAATACGTCTAGATTCATTAACAACTATATGAATGTGGGAAATGCTAGAATGAATTACATTGTGAAACGGAGGAAGTATAAGAAGTTTGGTGCGATTTTACGAAGAACTAGTTCGATCTCAAGAAAAATCCCCTAACTTTTTTATATTTCAAGGGACGCCAGTGAGCCACCAAATTGGCCTCTCAGGATTTACATCAAAGATGCAACAAAAGGTCGAAAACTTGGCCGTCCGTCTCTATAGTCGTACAATTTGCAAGAACCGTATGGTGGGAGTTGAACTGTTTTATCTAAATACTAGTCTGTGAAATCCCAATGCTCCAAATAGCCTGGGAGAGATGAAACTGAGGCATTTGGAAGGCAGCTCATGAACCTAAGGTGGATCAACATACATGAATAATCTACCCGCCCCTGTCGTTGTCGTTTCTCCCATGAAAACAGTCGTGCACCACCCTCCTAGGACATAGTAATTGTTCCAGACAGTTAGGGCCTGTTCAGATTATAGCAAAAACAAACCTTACCAAATTTTAGCATTTTGGTAAGATTTCTTATATATTTACCAAATTTGACAACAAACTAAACGTAAACATTTTTTTTGGCAAATTTTAAAAAAAATGATATAGTTGAAAATGGCATCAAAGTGAACAGGCCCTTAAAATACACGAACACTGGTACAACCCCGCTGGTGCCTCATTCATAATTGTTCCAGATCTATCCCGCCCATGTTACAATCAGTGGAGTGGATATTCTAATTGTACCCCAATTTCCATGGAAAAATCTTAAGGAAGATCACCGTTAGTAGTACTAGTAAAGAAAACTCACCAAATTCCTGTAACCACACAGTAACAGGATATCCTTGCAGAAACACCAGTAAACTCGACATTGGATGAACAGAATTACAGCAATATGCATCAATCACCCAAATTTCGAATAGCATCAGATATAAGCTTCAAGCAGTGTGTAAATATGTGAAACTCTGATCTATGAACCAATCCGGTAGTATCCATTGAGATCGGCATAAGACGAGAGCATCAAACAAACTCAAATTCATGTATAAGACAGCAACAAGTTGTCCTAGAAACTCCAGTAAATTTAAACACCATGTGGATGAACAGCAATGCAGCGATATGCCAGTAATCACTCACATTTCGAAAAACAACAGATATAAGATATAACATTTCAAACGCTGTAAACTCTGAATTATGGAACCAGTGCAGGAGCATCCATTGAGACAGGCGTTGAACAAACAGCAACAAGATCAAATGAAACGACAGTAGAACTGTAGAAGCATGCATCATTGCCAACAAGAACTGGAATTCAAGATACAGTAAAGAAAACAGGTATTCATCTTTGGAATTTCCAGCCTAAACAGGCACCCAGAAGAAGACTGAAACTCCCTTGAATTGCTCAAAGCTATTGGCCAAAAACACTCTCCTGAACAAGGTCCACACAATAATAGATCAAGAGGCATCTCGCAAGGCAAGCACCGAACCATGGTATTCGACATGCCTGGCACGCATCAGAATCAAACGCAGGCATCACCAAATTCATCACAAAGGTTACATGACGATCGATGCAAGTACTAACTTCCCAGTTCCCAGCAAATTAACAGTGCAGAATATTGCTAACACATAGCGAATATACTAGTAGCAAAATAGTACTAATTGCAGATCAACTACGCAGTAAGTACGATCATGTAGCAGAGCCCAAGAAAAGCGGAGGCAGAGTCGAGTGGGGGTCGAAGCGGAATCACAGCGGGGAGAGGAGCTGTCCGATGGAGGGCTTGGGGTCGGAGTTCATGCCGATGACGATGACGAGGGGGATGAAGCCGTAGTACGCCGCCACCTTCGCCGTCTTCATCGTCCACGTGCTCCACTTCCGCACCGAGCGCCTCGCCGCCGCCGCCGCCGCCCGGGACGGATCCTCCGCGGCGGGCGGCGGAGCGCCGCCCCTCCTCCCCGCGGGCTTCGTCCTCGCTCTCAGAGGCCCCTGCGCTGGGTTCGCCATGGCGTGGGGTGGTGGTGGTGGTGGTGGCGCCGCTCCTTCCTCCTCTTCGTCGCCGTGCGGGAAAAGGTAAAGTGAAAACTAAACAAAACCCTACTGGAGCACTCGGCGAGAGCGAGGGAAGAGAGCTGCTCTTGTGGGCCTTCGGACGTAAGCGGGCTGGTCCGGTGGAGAATACCTGGGCGCGTGGAGATAGGCGCTTTGCGGGAAAAAGTGCACCCAAGGTCCCTCAACTTGTCATCGAATTACAAAATTGTCCCCCAACCACAAAACCGGATATCCGGCGTCCCCCAACTAACCACAACTGGTCATAGTCCCTCGGCGGTTTTAACCCCGGTTTCGTCCTATGTGGCGGCTGACTCAGCGTGGGACCCACGTGGGCCCCACATGTCAGGCTGCCACATCAGCCTTCTCTCTTCCCCCTCCTCTCTCCCTTCCTCATCTCTCTCTCTCCCTTCTCTAACTCAGCCAGCGGGAGGAGGAGGGCGGCGGCAGCCGGCGACAGGCGACGTGGGGGGAGGAGCGGCGCGCGGGCTCCTCCGCCGGCCGCCGCCCACGAGGCCCACGAGGCGGAGGGACGGCGGAGGGTGACACGGCGGCGACGGCACGGCATCGGCCTCGTCGGAGGCGAGCGCGGCGGCCCCACCCTCCTCGACCGCGCGGCGCGCGCGGCCGCTGAGGCGCGCAAAGAGGGCCCCCGCCGTGGCGTCGAAGTCGGGCGTGGAGACGGCGAGGTGGGCGGCGGCGGCGGCAACGGCGGGGGTGGGGATGGGAACGGCAGTCGGCGAGGGAAGGGGAGGGGAGCAAATCGAGGGTGGCGTGGGAGACCGGGACGGGAAGCGGAGCGCCGCCGATGGCTGCCGTCACGCGGGGAGGACCGTGGTGGTCATCTGCCTTCCCTCCTCCCCCACGTGCCGTGCGCGGCCATTGCCATGACCGTGCGTCATCGTCGGGGTGAGGCGGCTGGCGGCTGGTGGCTGGCGAGGGAGGAGCGCGGCGAAGAGGAGGGCAGATGCGGTGGCGGCGGCGTCACCGATGCGGCAGGGAAGAGGGACGGTGCGGCCGACGGGGAAGGAGAGACGGAGAGGAGGAGGAGCGGCGAAGAGGGTCGGCGCGGCCGACGGGGAATGAGCGGCGGGGAAGGGGAGGGCAGCGGCAGGGCAAGGCAGCGTCGGCGGGTGTTCGCGGTGGCGGAGAGGCAGCGGCCGCAGCAGCAGCAGGCGAGCACGGCTGCGGATGGGGAGCGGCGGCGCCGACGACTCCGTGCCGCCCGGCCTCATCGTCGTCGGCGGCTTCGGGAGGGGGCGCCACGCCGCCGGCTTCTTGTCGCTTGTCCGCTAGGCCGCGGCCGGACCGGAGTGGCGAGCGTGGACGACGACGAGGCATGCGAACTGGTGAGCGGCGTGGACCTCTTCATCGGTGGCGACATCGACGACGAGGGCAAGGGCGTCCGTGCATACCTCCTCCGCCTCCCCTGCCGGCCGCAGCTGCGCGCCGCCATCGCCGACGCCCGACGGCAGCGACTTGATGGCGGCGTTGTCGAGTCGATCTCCGCATGATGGCCGCAGCCGCACGCTGCCATCGCCGACCGCACTAGGGGGACGGGGAGGCCGGCGAGCCCGCGCGCCGCCAATCGGGAGCCACCGTCGCCGGCCGCGCGCGTTGCCGCTTGTGCGAGAGCAGAGAGCGAGGGGGAGGAAGGAAGGAGAGAACACAGAGAGAGAAGAGGGGGAAATAGAGTATGTGCTGATGTGGCAGCCTGACATGTGGGGCCCATGTGGGTCCCACGCTGAGTCAACCGCCACATAGGACAAAACCGGGATTAAAACCGCCGAGGGACCTATTATAACTGGTTTTGGTTTGTTGGGGGACGCCGGATATCCGGTTTTGTGGTTGGGGGACGATTTTGTAATTCGATGACAAGTTGAGGGACCTTGGGTGCACTTTTTCTGCGCTTTGCGGCTTGGGAGAGTAAGTCCATCTTTACTCCCTCAACTATAGCCCCAATCTAATTGATATGATCATATCCCTAAACTACAATACTGGATATCTTGACCCTCCCAACTATTAAAACCAGTGTAATTTGATTCCTTTAACAGTTTTGGAGGCGGTTTCGATGACATGGCACTTTGACCTAGTCTATCCCGCTGAGTCATCTTGTGAGACACACGTCATTCTTCCTCTTCCCCTTCGGCCCCTCCTCCCCTGGCTCCCCTCCGCCGCCTGACGCGGCCTTCCTTTGCCGGTGCCACTATTGTCACTTTATTTTTTTAATTTATTTGATGACTTGGATGTCACAGAATGCCACTACTGTCACTTTATTTTTTAATTTATTTGATGAATTGGATGTCACATTTTTAATTTATTTGATGAATCGGATGTGCCTGACGCGGCCTTCCTTTGCCGGTGCCACTACTGTCACTTTATTTTTAAATTTATTTGATGAATTGGATGTCATATTTTTAATTTATTTGATGAATTGGATGTCACAGAATGCCACATCAGCGAAACCACCTTGCACCAATTTAAATAGTTAGAGGTCGAGATATCCAGTATCGTGGTTTAGGGATACGAATCAAATTTAGCCACTAGTTAAGAGAGACAAAGTGGACTTAAATTTGGCTCATCATGAAGTAAAAACATCATGAATAACAACAAGCACAACTAACCCAAACACTATAACAAGAATACTGTGAAAGAACAATAAGAAAGCACCAGCGAAATCAAGTGAATCCATCCTGTTCACATGCCTCTAATTGCCTAACTTTATTGAAGATGGCTCCTAATATCCTTTATAACTTCGAACTCTCAGTCACATGGCTTAAGATTATCTAGTAATATAACATATGGTGCAAAGTAATCTGAGGGGTAGCTAGAACGGAATCTGAGTCACATTCTATGTTCTAAACCACTCACACAGCCAAAAAACCACATGCAAATTAAACACCACCTAAATGCAAATATTTAACTAATACTAAGTTATAACTTAGTTCTCCATCTTCACCAACGCTGTGCTTGGAGCTTCAGTGGTAGCCGGTGGGTACTGCAGCCAGTCCTTCGCACAGAAAAGAGCCTCCACAGTTTCAGGACGCAGGGAGCTTCTGTAGTCATCAAGCATCTGGCTTCCCGTTGCCGTCGCCGAAAATATAGAGCTACCACTGCTCACCATGGACATGGGGATGGCCAATACATCACGAGCCATCTTGGAGAGTGTTGGGAACTTAATGGTGTTAAGCTTCCACCACTCCAAAATTTCAAAGTCTTGGATGCGGGGCATGAGGGCTTCTTCCAGGTATTGCTCCAGCTCAGATATTGAGGGCTGGCTCGTCGCAATTTCTGAAAGATAGATATCGAAGTCTAAGAGTTCATCGCCATTGGGTGGAGTCACTGCAGCACTATTGTCCGTTACATGGGCATCTCTGTTAGCTTCCCCCTGCGTGGCATACTCGCTGTAAAGCTCATGGATAGCATCATCCACCACCTTGACATACTTCGCGGCCTCGACACTATGAATTTTTGAGTAGCTGAACTCAACAAGCTTCATCTTGAAGCGTGGATCCATGACAACAGCAATGGCTAGCACGAGGTTGCAGTCCTTCCAGTACTTGTCGAACCTTTCATGCATGATTTTGGCAGTGCTCCTGAAAATTGGGTCTTCATGGGCAATGGCATTTGAAAGCTCTGACTGAAGCTTCCATGCCTCATGGAAGAAGATATTTGAAGTTGGATTTGGTGCAGCCATGATGTTGTGTGCAGAATCATAGAGCAGACTAAGATAACTGCATGCCGCCTCGACCTTCTTCCAGTCCTCTGTGGATGGTGCTTCATTGTAGTCACCATCACACGTCTCTAATGATGCAAATACCTGCTGATAATCCAATGCAGCCAGAAGCATAAGATAAGTTGTATTCCACTGGGTTGTAACATCGAGACAAAGGGTCTTTGCACTGGGGATCTCCAACTGCAGAGCAATTTCCGCAAACTTATCCTCGTGGACAGAAGAAGCTTTTATGAACTTTATACTTTCACGGATATGATAGATCACACTATGAACAGAAGCAATGACATCTTGTGCGACTGTGTTCAGTATATGTGCATAACATCTCACAACAAACAACTGGCCCTTGATCATGATGTTGTCCTTCTTGTTGGAGAGATAGTTTATCATGTTTGCACTGTAGATATCATGTGACGAGGGATCATTATCCAATGTGATGGTGAATAGCTTGTCCTTCATGTTCCAGTCTGAGAGGCTTGTACTGATAGCTTCACTAAGTGAATTCTCTGAATGAGGCGAAGAGACCATCATGAAGTTAACCATTCTTCGATGCACTCTCCATTCAGTGTCAATAAATTGTGCTGCAAGTGAAATATATCCAAGAGTCTGACTAGTTGCCCACAATCTTACAGTGAGGCTGATTCTTCCAGGCACAGTGCTGAACACATGCATCAGGTTTTCCCTTTCTTTCTGATAAACAGAATGCACCTGTCCTTCAATTGTATCAACATCTATCACCCTGAAACGAGGCTGCAAACTCCCAATAAATGCAGTGAAGCCTCGCTGTTCGACAATGTGAAGTGGGTAGTCATGCAAAATTATCATCTTAGCCAGATTCGAGCAGGTGCGGTCTTGATCAAACATAGCATTTGCATAGCCAGTAGATCTGTAATGCCTTTTAGCAACACGTTCTGCACAACCCTCACCATCATTGTTAGTTACTGTCGCTAAAGGCAATGAAAGTTTCATATCCTCATTTTTCAACATGGGACATGAAGCCAGGGTGATATGCCTCTTGAGATGGCTAGTACCTGAAATTTTTGAGCCGCAACTGTATGCGAAGGTTTGCTTGCATAGATTGCAGGATGCTCGTGAAACTCCCCCAGGCATTTCTTCAATCGTGAAGTGCTCCCAGACAACTGACTTTTTTCTCCGGCGTCTTGATGCGGTTGGCGTGGTCAACTCAACACCGACCAACTCATGACCATGGGCCATCTTATCACCATTGACCATCTCGTTGACTTGTATCATGTCATTAACTTGAATGATTTCATTATTATGGACCATCTCACTTCCTTGAACCATCTCACCACTCCCATGGACCATGACGTTCTCTTGAACCATCTCGTTACCATCGATCATCACACTGTCATGAACTACCATCTCATTGCCGTGGATCATCTCATCACCATCAACCATCTCACTGGCATGCACCATTGCATCATCACTGCCACTTGGTTCACACATCCTAAGAAAGACCAGCTGGTGGAACCCAAAAACCTGTTGGTGTTAGTACAAATAAAATCAAGCCATGTCCAATGTAATCAACATCTTAAATTAATCAGACCCAGAAATAAAATTAAGAACAGAACAGAAGTAGTTGGTAAAAAAAAATATCGACAGAGTTGGTGGGGTGGCAAATTAACTGCCTCCACCACCACTATTTTGTTCTTTAAAAAGAGTATAGATAACCAATTTGCCAATATAATTATCAAAGCATAATAAAGAGTATAGATAACTAATTTGTCAATATAATTACTAAAGCATAATAAGATCTCAAACAGGTCACAGCATAAGTAGAAGTAGACACCATAAATCTTCGCATGATCTTAGCAGTTAGCATAACGAAGAGTATAGATAATCAATTTCTCGATTTAATTATCAAAGTGTAATAAGATAGAATGTCAAGATAAGACCTCAAACAGGTCACAGCATAAGTACAAGTAGACATCATAAATCTTTACTGACACGATCTTAGCAGTTAGCACAATGAAATGACACAGTTGCTTCGCCAAACAGCTCAACGAAACAAATGACTGATTTCCCCGACGAGATTCAGAAATCACTACTTCAAACTGAACTTTGACAGACTAACAGTAGATCTTTTGGAGAGAGAACAAAAAACTTTTCAGCACAACAAATCGCACAGTGAACACGTAGCAAGAGGTAAACAAAATCATCAATGGAGGCTGGGCAGATCCAAGAAAAAATAATAGTGGGGGCTGAACAAATTAGGCCAGCATAAATCGAAACATGTCTCACGTATAAATTGGCTACATGTCATAGTTCAAAGTAGACATACACCTAACTAATGATATGTAGGATCGCTGGTATTTGTGTTGCTGGGACACTAGAATAATGCGTAATACGTGAGCAGTGTTCTTTTTTGACATGTTGACAATCTAAAAATGTATAGAAACCAATTATAAATTTGAATCACTACCTCACTGAACATGAACCATTGAGACACTATTTTAGACTGTCTATGCGTATTAGTATTTTAGACTGTCTATGCGTATTAGTATTAGAGGTTTGCGTATTACTATTAGAGGTTAGCAGGTTACCGATTTCAATTTCAATTCCAATCACCGGGTTGCTGATACACGCTGCGTCGTTGCCGGCCACTGAAGTGCTGCGCCGCTGCCTGCCCACCTTGCGTCCTCGCTGGCTCACGGCTCGCGACCTCCCCACCCGTGCGGCGGCGCTGGACCGCCGCCTGGCCCGCCCGCTCACGTCTCTCCGGACGCCGCCGCCTGCTTGCGGCACGCACACGGGCCACGCGCTGCCGGCCGTCTCGCCGCCGGTCCACGGCCGTCGCCCGCGCCTGTAGGTTAGGGGTTAGGGGTTAGGGAGAGGGGAGGTGGCGAATTGGGGAACGCAGTCAGCCGACTGGGCCGGGGCCGGCTGATGTGAGCTGACACCGTGGGCCCTTTGCTCGGAGTGGACCGGACCAAATTTTGAAGACTGAGCGGTCGTGGGCTGCTCTTCGTAGCCGGCCCAAATCGCGAAATCCTTCTTCATCTTCAACCTTCAGCCTCCCCTCCATCCGATCTGTAGAACCTCCAGCCCTCACATCCCATGGATCCATGGAAGAAACTTTTAGTGGATCATCAGCCCTCTACCAATGGCGGCGGCGGCACAACGGACGGATGGAGGAGCAGGACGATGCCGGTGCCAGCCTAATCTCGAGGATAAGCTTCCATAGGGAGTTTAGGTCGGTGTTCCAGCTCAGCCATAGCAATGACCTTGTGCTGGTGCCCACGAGTAAATATAAAAAAAAAAACTCAAAAAACATCGACGGATATGATACTGATACCACCTCAATCACAACATTCACAGATCGGCAAAGATCAAACGCAGATACAGTTACAATGCAGACACCAAGCATAATAATTAAGAGCGACGCTCCGGTGCTTTCTACTTGTAGTATTATACTACAAGTAGAATTGATCTGAATCGTCGGTTCACAAGGGCATATTAGTACATTACTACTTAGTGCTTAGGGGTAATGGTGGTATTTGGGATTTTATCTATTCATCTCGCTAGGCACTCGGCGACTGGACGACGCTTCCATTCGCTGCGGCAAATCCTCCCACCACCGTCGATCTCCTCCTGACGGTAGCCATCTCCACTGCTCGGCAAATCCTCGCGCCGCCGGCAGTCTACTCCGGCGGCCATTCTTTCCCCACTCATTCTCCATTTGTCTCCCCATTTTGCCGCGTGCAAGGGCACCATCCGATACATTCCGGCGGCGGCGGCGCCGACGGCCGTCTCGCCAGTACTTCTTTGTTCACCGGTGCTTGCCTGTTTAGATGTTTTTGCAGCTTCTAGTCAGAGTCTTGCCTGTAATCCTTTTCTATCTGTATTCATTAAGTGCATCCTGGACTGTATAACTTATATATACTAGTTCTAATGCTGCAAAAATAACTTATATGTACTAGTTCTAATGCTGCAAAAATATTGTTCGAGGCAACAGGTGTGCCCATGTCCAATTTTTTTTTCTGGTTGTTAAATCAACATGCTGGTCCAAATCAGATTTTCGCCGTGTTTAGTTCCTAACTTTTACTTGAAACTTCCAACTTTTCTATTACATTAAAACTTTTCTATACACACAAACTTTCAACTTTTCCGTCACATAGTTCCAATTTCAACCAAACTTCTAATTTTGGTGTGAACTAAACAGAGCCTCTATGAGCTCATGAATTGGTGGGGCCTTTTTGAAGTCTGAAGTCTGAACTTGAGCAGTAGCAGTAGCAGTAGCAATAGTATGCTTAGGGTGTGTTTAGTTCACGCTAAAATTGGAAGTTTGATTAAAATTGAAACGATGTGACGGAAAAGTTGGAAGTTTGTGTGTGGGGGAAAGTTTTGATGTGATGAAAAAGTTGGAAGTATGAAGAAAAAGTTAGGAACTAAAACAAGCCTTAATGTGACTTGAAGCAATAAGAAAATAATTCTGTTTGACATTTTTATCTGCAACTTTGCTGAACGAACAAGGAGAAAGGTTTTCTGTTAGTGTTCACCATATAAGGAACAAATTCGATCCTACTTAGCACGTATACTTCATGTACATTGGTCACTTCGCCGCGCTGCCACCGGCGCACGTACATGGAGATGCAATCGAAAGCTGTAGCGAGGGCGACATTAGGCAGGCATGCAGGCGATCTAAGATGGCGAGCACGCATCTAACCACATGTAGCGCCAGCACGAGGAGCTCCACGAAGCCCGAGGCTGGGCATCGTACTGGACCAGCTAGCCCCATGCGGCAGTCCACGCCGGCGAGGTGTGCTGCGAAGTCATGCGAGTTGACGGCGTTGACAAGAGCCAACGCCACAGCTGCCGTGAACACCACGGTCAGGAGCATCGTCACGAACACGTGCGCCCCGGCGTTGGTGTACTTCTATCGAGTGGCGGAGGCGGCGGCAGGGAGGAGATACTCGGCGTCGTCTCCGGATGCAATTTGGGGGAGTTATGCGATTCTCTTTGGCCGACGTGAGGAAAGATTGAGTTGAGTACGGCTAGGGCCAGTGATTGTAAATGATGATTATACCCCTCCACTAATATTTGTTCTTGGACAATAATAGCCATCCACGATTCTACTACCATTAAATAAGGTGGTAGTAGAAATTGATCTAAACCCTTTGATCAAATGAGATTAGTGGTTCAGATTATTTTCTACTATAAGTAGAAAGCACCGGAGTAGAACTCATGTACCACTACTTTCTTCCTGTTTCCTAAACTCATCTGTACACTCGCCTCTAAAACAAACCTGAATACAAACACACCATCAATCATCTGGTGAGGGAATGAGAAATGCTGACAGTAGAGCTTTTCGCTACACACTAGGGCAGCTTTGTTAATCTTTGTACCGGTTCCATGCAGCTTCTCCAGACAGCCAGAGATTAATTTTAGTCATCACTCTTTTTCCTTGGTTTGATGTAAGAAAAGAAGTTATTATCTCAGGTTTTTGGGATGGTACGGGACGAAACTCCATGCAATAGTTTCATGAATCCGAGGAAACTGAGTTTTCCATCAGGATGTCTGATCCAATCTTGGAGAACAACATGTAGGGGAACTGAAGGGCCGAGTCCGAGTTCCTGAAAATAGCATGTCATCACTTGTGAGAAACATTTCATCGTGCACAACCCAAGCTAATTTAGTGTTAAGGATCAATATATACCGATGCGAGCTCGTCGATCACAATTGGTCGGTTACCCTCCTTATCAAAGAACTCGTACGCTTGCCGGGCATGTTGTTCCCAGGTTTCCAAACCTTCCATCTGGTAAACGCTGATGGCAGCAGCAGAAATCTCCTCAAAATCCAACTTTCTGTACTGAATATTGGATATCTGGCATCATCGATAGGGTAAGGGATTACATAACTGCAAGTGCTACTTTGAAAAGTAGAAAAGGAAAAGGAGAGTTTGGACTTCATGGCAGAGTTCTCATCCTTTGACGAGAAAAGGGAACTCTACAAGACACAAGTAGAAACGCAAGCCTCCCCAAATTACCAAACAAGAAACACCCGAAATGGGCACTAATGTGCTTTTTTCTCGTCTATCTGTCCTTTGTAAGCGCGCTGGGTGAAGCAACTAACTTGTTCGTCAAAGTATTAATGACCAAAACAAATTCTCATGGAAGCATATAGTAAACCTACTTCATCATTTATAGTATCTCTTTCTCCCACCTAATATGATATATTTAGCAATCTATCTATCTATTATATTATTAAAGGAATAGATAAAGGAGCCTCCACGTTCGCTCTCATGGCCTAGAAATTCTCACATTAATCGAAGAAAAAGAAAAGGCAGAGTCCATATAGAAATACAATTTAGAAATAGCTGAAATTCGTAATTAAAAAAATAAGGAATATTAGAAGAGGAGACTAGAGTCCATATAGAAATACAATTAGGATATAACTGAAATTCGGAATTACAAATAAGGAATATTAGAAGTAGAGTATAGAGTCCATATAGAAACACAATTAGGAAATAATATAAATTCGGAATTAAAAATAAGGAATATTAGAAGTAGAGTATAGAGTCCATATAGAAATACAATTAAGAAAAAAATAGAAATTCGGAATTAAAAATTAAAGAATATTAGAAGTAGAGTATAGAGTCCATATAGGAATTTAAAACTAACTAAAATTCAAAATAAAAAGGAACTTCCACGTTGGCTCTTATGACCTAGAAATTCTCACATTAATCGGAGAAAAAAAAGTAGAGTCCATATAGAAATACAATTTAAAAATATCTGAAATTCGAAATTAAAAATAAGGAATATTAGAAGAGGAGACTAGAGTCCATATAGAAATACAATTTAGAAATAGTTGAAATTCGAAAATAAGGAATATTAGAAGAGAAGACTAGAGTCCATATAGAAATACAATTAGGAAATAACTGAAATTCGGAATTAAAAATAAGAAATATTAGAAGTAGAGTATAGAGTCCATATAGAAATACAATTAAGAAAAAAAATAGAAATTCAAATATTAGAAGTAGAATATAGAGTCCATATAGGAATTTAAAACTAACTAAAACTCGGAATAAAAAGGAGTCTCCATATTCACTCTCATGACCGAGAAATTCCCACATTAATCGGAGAAAAAATAACTATAATTCGAAATTAAGAAAAACATGGAAAGAAGAGTTTAAAGTTAATATAAGAATATAATTTAGAAGTAACTGAAATTTGAAATTAAAAATTAAAGAATATTGAAAGATGAGTTTAGAGTCCACATAGAAATACAATTAGAAATAATAAAAATTCAGAATTTTAAAAAAGAAATATTAAAAGACAAGTCTAGAGTCCATATAGAAATATATATAATTTACAAATAACTAAAATTTGATATTAAAAATAATTAATAACTAACACATATATAAAATACAATATGAATATTATACATTAGTAGTTTCGTAAAGTTATTGTAAAATTTAAAATTATGTTGTCATTGTAATATATTTTAATAATATAATGAGAAAACATATATGTTATTATACGATAGAAAATATAATGATGCTAGCCGCGTAATCTGCACGGGCCACCATGCTAGTTAAGTTAAAAAACAAAAGCATGGCAACCGAACCAAATGAGCTCAAGAGGTAAACCGTTGAATCCACACAATGATGCTTTGAACATAAAATTGAAAACATCAGTCTAGCATTAAACAATACAATCAAGCAGAAATATAATATGAATTCAATCAGGTGTAAACACTAAACAATGCAGGAGAAGATTTAAGTGTTAATTAATTAAACCCAAGCGAGGAAAATAAACATGAAAATTGACTCAAAACCTCAGCGAAGGAGAACAAGTCGTGAACTGGACAGAAAGAAGGGATTGGATTGACCTTGAAGGCGACGTCACCGTCGTCGCCCTTGAACTCGCCCTTCTGCAGGTGGCAGCGCAGGTGTAACCAAACTTGTACTTGGCGGCGAAGTGCTTGGAGAAGCCGAAGCTCTTGTCCATTGTCCAGCGCCATGCCGGGCTCGCCGGACTCAGGGATGGACGCCTCGTTCGGCTACGGCCGCTTGAACCAGCCGCACGCAGGTGTCGACGCTGCCTTAGCTATGTGACATATCACAAAGGCACAGAACAATCACATGCTACAATGGATTATAATGAGGGGAAGTACAAACATAAGGCACCAGCTGATAAATATTATGCAGCCAGCGCGCACACTACATGCAATATCAGGTACAACTCTGATGGCATACTACAGACAAAGCGTACATAACAACATGAACGAGTTAACAGAGTTCGATACAACAAATTACACCCTAGGAGGATAAGCTCAGATCACAATCAGTTCATAGTCCCTGCCTAAAATACGCCTAGCAGTTAACTTCACAAATAGGTACCATTGGTACATGCTGTTGCTTCACAAAAGGGGGGGAATCACGGCGATCCTATGGTGCATCCACCTTGACCAGCGCGGTACTCGGCGCCTCCGGGGTAGCTGGTGAATACTGAAGCCAGTCTTTGGCGCAGAAGAGCGCCTCCACAATTTCTGGACGCAATGAGCTTCTGTAGTCATCAAGCATGCGAGTTCCTGTTCCAGCAGAGAAAATAGAGTTGCCGCTGCTCACCATCGACATCGGAATGGCCAAGATATCCCGGGCCATCTTTGAGAGAGTAGGGAACTTGAGAGTGTTGAGCTTCCACCAGTTCAGAATGTCGAATTCCTGGATGCGCGGAGTGAGGGACTCATCAAGGTACTGTTCCAGTTCAGATTTTGTTGGCTGGCTTGTAGCTATCTCAGAAAGGTACATATCAAAGTCCACAAGTCCATCGCCGGTCGAAGGAGCAGTTGTTTGAGTACTATTCTCGCTAGCAGGTGCATTATTACCTTCCCCTTGCTCAACATAGGCCGGCGTCAAGGGGAGGGGCTGTGCAACATACTCCTTGTAAAGCTCATGAACAGCGTCATCCACCACCTTAACATACTTCGCAGCTTCAACACCATAAATTTTCGAGTAGCTGAACTCAACAAGCTTCATCTTGAAGCGTGGATCCATCACAACAGCAATAGCTAACACAAGGTTGCAATCTTTCCAGTACTTGTCAAACCTCTCGTGCATATCCTTGGCAATGCTGCTGAAAACAGGGTCTTCATGCCCTGTAGCATTTGACAGCTCTAGTTGAAGTTTCCATGCCTCATGGAAAAAGAGATTTGAAGTTGGATTTGCTGCAGCCATGATGCTATGTGCTGAGTCATACAATAGCTTCAAGTAATTGCAGGCAGCCTCAACTTTTTTCCAGTCCTCAGCGGACGGTGCCTCGTTGTAGTTGTCATCACTTGTCTCTAGAGTAGAAAAGGCCTGCTTATAATCCAAGGCAGCCAGCAGCATGAGATAGGTAGTGTTCCACTGAGTCGTAACATCCAGACAAAGGGTCTTGGTACTTGGGATCTCTAGCTGCAGAGCAATCTCTGCAAACTTCTCCTCACGGGTAGGAGAAGCTTTTATGAACTTGATGCTTTCACGGATATTGTAGATGACACCATGGATTGAAGCAATGACATCCTGAGCAACTGCATTCAGGATATGGGCATAACACCTTACAACAAACAGTTGGCCCTTGAGCATGAGGTTGTTCTTGTTGGAGAGATAATCCCTCAGATTTGCACTGTATATATCATGTGATGAGCAATCATTGTCCAATGTGATGGTGAACAGTTTGTCCTTCATATTCCAGTCCGAAAGGCTTGCACTAATAGCTTCACTAAGTGCATTCTCTGAATGAGGAGAAGACACCATCATGAAGTTTAGCATTCTTCGATGTATCTTCCACTCAGAGTCAATAAACTGCCCAGAAAGTGAAACATAGCCAAGAGTTTGGCTAGTTGTCCACAATCCAATGGTGAGGCTGATCCTTCCAGGCATAGTGCTGAATGCTTGCGTGAGGTTTTCCTTTTCTTTCTGGTAAACAGCATACACCTCCCCCTCCATTGTCTCAACATCTACAACCCTGAAACGTGGCTGCAGACTGTCAATAAAGGTAGTGAACGCTGGCTGTTGAACAATGTGAAGTGGGTAGTCATGCAAAATTATCATCTTTGCCAGATATGAGCAACTGCGGTCTTGATCAAAAGCAGCATTTGCATAACCAGTATATCTGTAACGCCTCTTAGATGGGCGCTCCACAGTACCCTCACCATCATTGTCAGTCCCTCCAGCTGGAGTCAGTGCTAGCTTGTGCTCTTGGTTCTTAATTTTAGGGCATGAACCCAATGTAATGTGCCTCTTGAGATGGCTAGTACCCGCAATTTTTGAACCAGAGCTGTAAGCAAAAGTTTGCTTGCACAGTTTGCAGCACGCCCGTGTAGCCCCTCCAGAGACAGCTTCAATAGTGAAGTGCTCCCACACTAGAGACTTCTTCCTACGGCGCCTTAATGTTGGAGGGGTACTGATCTCAGCACTGACCAATTCATTTCCTTGGACCTCGTCACCTTGAGTTAAGTCCTCAGCAGGGACCAATTCATCACCCTGAACTTCCTCAGCTTGAGCTTCCTCATTGCTTGGGACAATCTCATTACCTTGAACCACCTGGTTGTCGTTGCCAGTTTCCTCAGCCATGCTTCTTGGCTAGTAGCTAGAACTCACAAAGTCTGTCAAATAGTAACATGGTGACAGCAGAAGTCAGAATAACAATCATTTGGCCAAAAAAATAATCAAATTTGACTTATACACGGTTGTTTCAATAACAAACCAGTATCACTACAGTGGCCTATTTAACAAAACAGGAAGATAAAAGAAAGACAACACGATTTCTTGATAACAAATTAGCAAACCAGGTTATATATAGTAACTGGAGCACAGGTGAAACAACAAAATTATAGATGTCATCCAGGAATATATGGAAACTTAGAATGGGTAACCATCTCTTCTCACTCCTCAGTAAAAATGCTTAAAGTACACAATTTAAATTAAATTTTATTTGCCACCGAAAATGCAAACTTCATTAGCAGAACCATGTGCTACGTTTGTTTCGCTGACAAATTTCAAGAAAAGAAGGGATCACATGCAAAGCTAATTGGACCAGAATGACTCGTGCAAACTTAGTTGCTAACTTTACTCCCTATAACTAAGATCTTGCTTATTATCCTCATGCAATGCAAGTCAACCTAGGAGTGCATAATTCAGATCTTGCTAATTATTCTCATGCAATGCAAGTCAACTCATTCTTGTTCCTCGTGGGCACCAACTCAAAATAATCAAAATAATCGGTGAGAAGGGAGAAAACTATGTATTGCTTGAGTTGGCGGGACACTTATACAGGACTTGAAAATCAAGCTCACCTAGTTAGCTAAACAGCGGCAGGAACCTAACTTAAGATGCTAAGAAGCTAGTACAAAGTAGCAAGAACCTAGCTGAAGAGGCTAAGAAGGTAGCTAGTGGTACAGCTTTCTTTGGACAAAGAAAGATAAATTTCTCTGCACGACCACACAAGCACACATTCAGATTCAATTATCTAAGCGCAGCAAGTCCAACATCACATATCTCCTCCAAAACGAACGAATCAAGTCGCCCTCTCCGGATCTCCCAGCGGATCCAGCCCCACGGCGAAATTCATGCCAAACAACTCGAGATCTCAGCGAGCTCCAACGATTTCCAGGCAGGCCGCGCTTCCCCCCGAAAAGAATCCCTAACCCAACAACGTAGCCAGCACACCACCACCCACGGGGAAAGAGGGATTCTGAAATCGGTAACAAATTGGGCCTGGGTAATACTACCACACCACCCACGGGGGAAGAGAGAAAAATCTCCTCGAAAATTACGAAACAAATTTCGCACGGACCTTTTGGCCCAATCCAAACCCCGCGCAAACCCCCCCCCCCCCCCCTTCCCTCCCAAATCCCGATTAAAAAAAACCGCACGAAAAGCCCAGAAATTCAAATCCGCCCGAACTGAACTCCAAGCACGCGCAGATCTGGAAACGAAATTCAAACCCCCGACACGGGACCTCGCGAGGCAGGAACAGAAGAGAGAGAGAGCAGGAGCAGGCTGGGAGGAGCTTACACGAGGAGGAGGAGGGGGAGAGATGGTGGTGGTGGTGGCAGATCCGGACTTGGTAGGGCTCGGCCCAAGAAGCTCCAAGGCCGGGAGAGCGGCGAAGCAGATCTGGTAGTATTCTGCGGGGAGGAGGAGGAGAGGGGAAAGAAAGGAAAGGAAATGAGATGGGGCCTGGCCGCCTGGGAGGGTGGGGGATTAGCCGCGCGAATGGAATGGCGGATTAGGAGTAGTAGGTAGGAAGGGAGACCCGTGACCCGTCTCGGTTTTTGCCGCTCTTGGGACTGGGTGCGGGGGTGCCGGGTGACGCGAGAGAGAGAATAAAGTTTATTGGGCTCACGGGTCGCGCGGCCCAGCCTCCAGTCATCGGCTAATTGACCTGTTGGGCTGATATTGGTTAGGGGTGGGCTCTACTATATGGGCTTCTCTCCTCAATGCACCACTATTTGGACTTTTCCGTTTATGTGGAGCGTAGTGCGCCAACCTCTTCAGACTTCAACCATCGTGCCTGTGGAATTATCCACGTGTATGTTTTGGATACACATTATTCACTGAATGAACCGGTTGGATGGCCGGCGTAATTACGCAGCTAGCACTATACAAAATTATCTATTTTTAATATATTTTTACTTAAATTTATTAAATAGCTATCACGTTGTCTTGAAACTTTTAAAGACCAAACCTTATAATCCCTGTAATTCTTTTTTAATAATAGAATGTAACATTTCGGCCTTTACTCAAAGAGCTACAACCAATTATTACAGAACTCGCACATAAGAAAACTCACACAGAAAGTTCACGATAGCAGAAACAAAGCTAAGCAAACACAAACTAATAGACACCAAAAGAAGAAAAAGATCCCCTAACTACTGAATTCTATTAGAGAACCTCCACCCGAAGTTGGCAAATAGATGCATAATTTTCGTCTCAAGTTTATAACATTCATCCCTATGTTTCTGATTTTGTACTCTATCTATCCCATAATGTAAGAGATTTTAGGTGGATGAAGCTTGACAAACGTCTTTCCAAATTCACTGGGATGTGCCACATCCACCCAAAACCTCTTATATTATGGGATGGAGGGTCCATCACTACCCCCTACTTCTTTGCCATCTCTTCTTTATTTGTTTACTTAATCTATCATTGTTTTTTATTCATTATCTTTGGAACCTTTAAAAATTGGACCTTAAAGTTTTTAGAGTTTTATTATCTCGTTGGGTTTCGTTTTTATAATCTTAGAAGTCTTGTCAAACGCGGCCACTAATTTCAGAATTTAATTTTTTTTTATTTTAACTTTTAATTAATCTTTGTATTGTGTTTTATATGGACTATTGTTTTAATATTCCTTTTTTATTTTTATTTTTAGTTGTTTCGAATTTGTATTCCTACTTGAGCTATCCTTTTTAGAGGTGTTGAGCTAATAGTCCGTCAAAATATTCAGTGCAGTAGCTGAAAGAAAAAAGCCCGTGACAATCAACTTGCGAAGTAAGGTCAGTTTAGTTACCAACTTTTTCTTCAAACTTTCAACTTTTCTATCGCATTAAAACTTTCTTACACACACAAACTTTCAATTTTTCCGTCACATCGTTTCAATTTCAACCAAACTTCTAAATTTGATGTGAACTAAACACACCCTAAAGTAAAAACAAGCCCTAAATCTTTGAGCAGAATGAAAGGAGATTCTCTTTTTGCTTTATTCACTTTCAATCACATATATAATCGTCCAAATTAACTTATTAAGTAACACGAGAGATGACAGTCGAATCAAATGCTGAGGAATAAAGTGTTGTTTCAACAGGAATCCAACCCCTTATCCGTTTGTCCCATGTATGCGTCCCAATCCGGCTACAGCAAAATTAAAACATGTGGGAGTACCAATTAAGAAGGGAGAAACTGTTAATGACTTGACACACGCACAATTCAAGGATCTCATGCAGATAGCGGATTCGGCATATATCGCCGGCCGGCCGGCCGGCCGTGCACTACCAAGCGCATATACTAAGAGCAAGTTTAATAGTATAGCAGACTACTAACTCTAATTTATCTATAGCCAATTTAATAGTCAATTTATATAATATGTGCTTACTATACTTATTAATGTATGGTCCCACCTGTTATACACACATTGCATCTTGAAGTCTGTGCTGCAACTAGCTATAGATTTGTAGCCCGCTGCTCTTCTCTCTGATCGTTTATCTCATTAAAAATATGTTTATAGCTAGCTAATAGTCTACTATTGTACCTACTCTAAGGGGGTGTTTAGATATAGGGGCGTAAAGTTTTGGCGTATCACATTGGATATTATATAGGGTGCCGTATTAAGTGTTCTAATTATAGAATCCGTCAGTAAACCGCAAGATGAATTTATTAAGCCTAATTAATCCATTATTACCAAATGTTTACTGTAGCACCAAATTATTAAATTATGGAACAATTAGGCTTAAAAGATTTGTCTGGCAAATTAATCGTAATCTGTGCAATTAGTTATTATATAACCATTTTCATATATATATATATATAAATATATATATATATATATAATAATGTTTTATGTAGGTGTTTAAAAGTTTGATGTGATATGATGAAAAATTTTAGGATATGATTCAAACAGAACCTAAAACGTACTATATATATATATATATAATATTTTATGTAGGTGTTTAAAAGTTTGATGTGATATAGTGAAAAATTTTAGGATATGATTCAAACAGCACCTAAAACGTACTCTCTCCCTCTCCCCTCGCCACAAACGACGACGACGACGCTGGTGCGCACGCGCATCACGTACATCCATCTGTCCACCGCCAACGCACACAAAAATCCCCAAAAATTCCCAGGCTAGCCAAGGAGAGGATACGATGCATCGGAACGCTGCATCTGCCTCGTTCCCGTTGCGATCGAACGTCCACTCGCCGCCGTCTCGCGCGGTCGCGGCGCCCAAAAGCGGCCGGGGGCGTTCACACCGCCACCGCGCGCGTGCGAAAATCCTAGGATCGATCCCATCATCCCACGGGCCCACACGCCGCCCGGCCACCGTGTGTCGCGGCACGTGTCGCTGATACCACCCGGACCCACCTACCAGAGTCGCCGACAGGTGGGCCGACAGTCGTAGCCTGCCGACAGGTGGGCCATCAGACGTCAGGCTAGCTAAAGACATTGACCTGTGGGCGCACGAGGTAGACTGTTGGCTGCGCGTGTAGTCGTGTAGATATTGCGGCTGGATTCCCATACCGATAGAGAAATCTACCCCAGAAAGGTTATGAGTGTGTATTGGAATGTTGGGTGTACATGTACAAAGTGTACAATACTCCATAAAGGTTTGACCACCGCTGACGATAGCTTGATGGATGTATCAACGGTGCCAACGACAACGAACAATGGATGGTATATGTTTGTGTTTCAAAAGAAAATAAATACCAGTGACATGTTGTACGTTGTACCATGTCATAGTATTAATATGCTACGATAATACTCCCTCCATCTATTTTTGATAGGCATATTTTCAAATATAAAAAAAAAATTATTTTTGATAGGTATATATCAACCCAACAATCTATCCTCTTAATGAACTTCTCGGATTTAATGCGTAATTCTTCATTCTTCCACACAAGATTGGCTACATGGGCATCGAGAAATGTAAATATTAATAAATCGCTTGTTTACAAGGAATAACTGGTAGCATGTTTAAATAGATGATAAGTACATTTACTTATCCTTGGTCTATGTGCCAAGATAAAATATGACTATCAAAAATAGATGGAGGGAGTAGTTAAGTATAAAATATTAGATCCGGTGGTTACGGATGTGGAGCATATATACATGGGCATGTTACGCACACTAAGATTGATGAGGGAATGGAAGAAGAACTACTCCATTTTTAAAATATAGGCCCTTATCGGTTGACCACAACTTATTATAAGCCATAATAACTTATTAGCGATCAAAAATTAATATGTGTATAAAACTTTTATACACATGTTCTCAGTGACTTAAACAACCAGTGTAAAAAGAAACTGCTTTGAAAAATATCTTAAAATCAATTTCAAAATTAGGTTTAAAATTTAAATTTTGGCATTGTTTATTCTTTTTATGGCAATTGATGGGACTCGTAGAGAGTATATGTCACTGTTACTTCATTTAGTTCTTCGTGTGCATGGTCAGTAATATCTCCATCATCCCAAAATATCAGGGATAATTTGGTCTCAAAATACATGAGCAAAATTCATATTTTTTAACAAGGGTAGTATTTTTCTACTAATACATACGTAACTTTTAGATATACGTGTGGCAATTCGTTTTATTCAAAATTTCTGTGCAAATGCGTAAGATATAAATAATGATGTGCTTTTGGTGAAAAAATAACTCACAACAAAATAATGATAATTATTTTTTAATAAGATGAATGGTTAAATATTTATCTAAAAGTTAACGGCATCACCTATTAAAAAACGAAGATAATATTATGAAAGTGCTTACAAATGACAATAGTTTCTATGTTTTAAAAATAAATATTCTAAAGACTATTAAAAGTCGGACCAAATAAAGTCAATAGTGTCTTATTATATTTAAAATAAATTTTACTTTTGGTCACCTTAGTTAAACAAAGCTTCTTACTTCTTATTGGACTAGGACTAGGTCGGCCATCTTTCCACGTAATAACAGCCCCCAATATAGAATCCTCTGTAATTTGGATCGGTGTTCATAACTTATTCCCTGATACTTCAATTGTCGAGTAGTGAATTCTGATCTTGCAATGATCCTATATAGCAATGAAATTATATTTAATTTATAGAAAATATGGAGAAAACATTTCATATTAATTTTTGTCAATAATGCGTGCATGGTTGAAAAAGAGATGGGACAATTTGCCTAACACCATTGAAAAATTCACGGAGCTGAAAAAACCATCGTACGTGTCATTGACATGAGGGTCCTGGTCTCATATGTCATTCTCACATGAATGATGATATTTTACAACTCACGTGCACGTATCACATATTGCATACAATGGTATTTTGATTTTAGATTTTCCCAAAGGGATTAAGAAAGATACCACCTCCTCCGTCCCAAAATATATGATGCTGTTGACTTTTAGCATAATGTTTAAACATACATTTTATTAAAAATATATATAAATAATGTTTATTTTGTTGTGACTTGTTTTGTCGTCAAAGAAATTACAATATTAGTTTATACTTTTACATATTTATACTAATATTTTTGAATAAGACGAATTGTCGAACATCGTGTTAAAAAAATCAATAGTGTTATATTTTATGATAGAGGGAGAACATAAATTTATTCAAGCTAGTAGCAAGCTTGCATACAACCGGGCATATGCTAGTAACGACAATATATACTACATGTCAATATTGTACGTACCTTTGACTCGTTGTGCTATGTACAGGCTCTTGACTACTCCCAACTGAGCTTAGCAGTGGTCAACATTAGGTTAACATTACATTTTTACAATTTGCACGTTGTCACTTGTCAGGTTAGTTCACATTATTTAATCATTGAAAGCTCAATCTGTTACATTTGCAGGTACACTTGATTAGTTGATTACCTGTCCTAATTCACAAAAGGACCGAGTTTGGCAGCAGACAAGAGATGTACCACCAGCTCAATCCACGACTCCACGTGTAACTGAACCTGGGCCCGTTTAGTTCCTCAAAAAATTTTCCCAAAAATATCATATCGAATCTTTGGACACATGCATAAAGCATTAAATATAGATAAAAAGAAAAACTAATTGCATAGTTATGAGGGAAATCGCGAGACGAATCTTTTAAGCCTAATTAGTTCGTGATTAGCCATAAGTGCCACAGTAACCCATATGTGCTAATGACGGCTTAATTAGTCTCAAAAGATTCGTCTCGCGGTTTCCACGCGAGTTCTAAAATTAGTTTTTTCATTCGTGTCCGAAAACCCCTCCCGACATCCGGTCAAACGTTCGATGTAACACCCAAAAATTTACTCTTCCTCAACTAAACACACCCCTAGTGTACTAGTGTCCTGCCCAAAAGTATTAACATTTCACATGATAAAAATAACAAAAGGCTATAAATAGAGCATAGCTGCAGACGTACGTGCGTGGTGCACAAGTATACACGTTAGCTAAGATAGTACTCATATTATGTTTCAGAATATAAAACGTTTCTACTTTGGTCAAAGTCAAACTGCTTTATATTTGACTAAGTTTATAGAAAAAAATAGTAACATTTTCAACCAAGACAAATTTATTATGAAAATATATTTAATTATCGATTTGATGAAACTAATTTAGTATTATAAATATTACTATATTTATCTATAAACTTAGTCAAACTGAAAATAGTTTAACTTTGCCAAAGTCAAAATATCTTGTAACTTGAAACGGAGGGAGTACATATATAAAAAAAATAATGTGAAAATTTCTTGAGCAGCCTAGCTCTCCTGGAAAGAAAACAAAACAAAATCTTAAGCAAAAAATGATTAAATCGATCGATCAGGTTAATTAAGAAATAAGCACGGAATAAGACAAGCATATAAACATCAACTGTATAGTGGTGGCAGAAGTATTTTAACACACAACGCACGCGCACCAATCTCATTTCTAGTTTACTCCAAATTAAAGACCAGTCAGAATTTTCGCCTTTGCAAAACTCCTCTCATTTCATTTCCTCCCAAGAGTCAAGCTAGCCCTTCTTGCTTGCTCCGTTCAACGCCTCTTCCCCAGCTTCACAGTACTCCATGTCTGGACCTGGAGGAGGAGGTCATGGCCTCTACGAGGATCATCCTGCAGCCGCCGGCTTCCTCCCCTTCGACCACGACGACGACGTGGTGGCCAGCTTCTTCTTTGGCAGATCGGCGGCGTCCGGAGGAGGAGCCGGCGCCGGCGCCGGCGCTGGAGACGATGATGGTGTTGGGCTCATCACGCCCTACTCCAGCATCACGGATTATCTGCAAGGCTTCCTGCAGGACCCCGTGTACGCGTCGTCCCCGTTGGGCGGCGATGCTGCCGTGAAGCACGAAACGGTGGTGGATCATCCCAGTCAGGCCGGCGGCGTGGCGGCGGCGCCGGCCACGCCGAACTCGTCGGTGCTGTCGTCGTCCAGCGAGGCGGCTGGAGGGGACGATCTGCGCCGGTGCAAGAAAGGTCGTCGGCCGGAGGACGAGGAGGAGGAGGAGATTGACGATGAGGGATCGGCCGTTCAGAGTTGCAAGTAAGTTCAGTATTAATTTGATCTTGTTTTGTAGCTAGATCCATGCTGAATTTATGTCTGATCGATTTATCACACGTGCATGGCTAGATAGATCTTGGATGAATTAATTAATTTGGCTTCGGTGTGTACATGCATCTACCTACCTAGTTTTTAATTCATCGATCGGTACAAATTAATTAACTTTACGGGTCTGAATACGAAGATTCCGTGTGTGTATATACCGCGTGTGAAGTGTTAACGTCGGAATTTAGGGTTTGTTCCCTCCCTTCTTTTCACAATAATTTGTTGAAACCGATCTTTTCACAATAATTAACAATATATATATATATGAATTAATGATTAACTGACGAGACTAGCGATCGATGATTAACAAATGATTCACGAGACAGTAGCAATCATGCACCGGCTGATATATATGCGCAAGAGGCCAATATCTCAACTGAGACAGCATATGTCGATCTCGATCGATCGATCTGGTGCGTGCAGGACGAACAAAATGAAGAATAAAAAAGGGGCGAAGAAGGAGCGTGAGCCACGTGTGGCGTTCATGACCAAGAGCGAGGTCGACCACCTCGAGGACGGCTACCGGTGGCGCAAGTACGGCCAGAAAGCCGTCAAGAACAGCTCCTACCCAAGGTCAGCTAGCCAAATTTTCACTTGCATATGCATTATTCTCCATCATAATTGGCATGCATATATTTGACAGAAGCAGCTACCACAGCATTAGCAACAAGCTAAGCACACATTGGCATTGGTCTGAGTTTTTTTTTTCTCAGAATATCTCGATGGATCCATATGTTAGAAGTATATATCTACGATGGACAGTTCTTCACCTAATACCTGCGTCTTCTTCTGTGTCGTCACTTGACTCTTCTCTATTCCAACGAATGCAGGAGCTACTACCGGTGCACGGCGCCGCGGTGCGGGGTGAAGAAGCGGGTGGAGAGGTCGGAGCAGGACCCGTCCATGGTGATCACCACATACGAAGGGCAGCACACGCACCCGAGCCCCGTGAGCTACCACATGCACAGGCAGCAGGGGCTCATGCATGTGAGCGCGCGCGGTGTCATGCCCGGCGCCGCCGGCGCCTACCAGTTCGGCGCGCCGCCGCCGCCGCTCCTTGGCTTCGACGAAGCCCTCGCCGCTCGGGTGCGAATGACGATGAACCAGCAGCAGCAGCAGCAGCAGTTAGGCTTCGTGCCGAGCATACACGCCGCCGCCGCCCGGCCGACGATGCCTCCTCTTCATCTCTACACCGCGCAGCAAGACCTCTTCCTTCCGTGACAGGCAGTCACCACGGCTATTGATATTAGATCTTTCTTATTTACGGTTTACAGAATGCATGCTGCTCGAGATAAATTTGTGCGCGGCTATATATATATGGTTACGTTACCGATGACCAAGTGAAGTGTGGGATGCATGTTTTGTGTCCTCGTTTTTTTGGTTGGTCTACAAAACATGTTTGTTTGAGTTGCATTGCTAAGTGCCTAGCTAGCTATATAAACACTGTCTTTAATTCCAAACTGTAGATCATGAGGAATTTGGGTCTTGTTATTGATTTGAATTCTGATGTGTCACGCCCCGAACTAGTACCGACCGGAACTAGTCTGTGACGCTCCAATTTAACCTGTTAATCAATACCAGTCCCAGGACACAGTGCTGGTATCACAGGAAGACAGATTATCACAGCAACAGAGGTCTCTTTATTATAGAGTAGATGTACAGTCATGTTGGGCTGCGGACAGATCCCGAGCTCACAACTGCATTACAAAAGGGAAACGGAAGCCGGGACTTGGACCAAACAACACAGGCGCGACTTGGGAACTAGGCCGAAACCCTAAAACTCATCGTAGCCGGCTTGCTCCTGGAAGAACTCCTCATCAGCAGGATCCGCTTCGTCTTCTTCAGCGACTGGGGGGGGATTATTTATATAGAGCAAGGGTGAGTACGGGGAGTACTCAGCAAGCCAAGGGAAATAAGTGTTTAATGCAGGCTTCAAGGAAAGGCCGTTGTTTTTGCAATTGATTTTAGTTGAACTCCTTTCTGAAAACAACTAAGTGAGTGCTTCTCAAACGACACGGTTGAGACAGTGCGTCTCGTCCGGTCGGAGTATGTGTAATGTATCGGTCTTTAGACTTGATTCAAGGTTGGCATCCGGCCAACAGCTTTTCAAACGGCCACCCGGGCCTACAACTTTCAAACGGCCACCCGGGCCTAGCTGATCCCATCAGCTGCAGATTTTTCAAACATCGAACCCCTTTCCACAATAGCAATTTCACAAGCAGTAGTCAAACAAAACTACGCTAGGAATCACCTCACATCCGCCCATGACCGTGGGCACGGCTGTTCGAACAGTTTGTTAACCTCTGCAGAGGGGGGTACACTTTACCCACACGACATTACTAACCCGGATCACCCAGCCCGTGGGGATCAGCCACGTCGGGAGACCTCCAAGCTTTCATGACAAGGCATTTCCAAAGCCGATACAGGTTTACCATATGCCGACGAGAGGGGTCCCAGACCAACAACAGGTTAGGTCCCAGACCATACTGTGCCAGGAAGCCCAGGGGTCCTCCCCGACACCACCCCAGCGAATCCACATGTCTCTCGACATCAAGGCTCCCCTGATAAGCTAGTTACTCAGCCAGGGGTGTCCCATTCCACCCATGTGGTCGTACTTGTCTTATGTTTAGATGAAATTCCAAGGAATCGGTTCTTAAGTGCGAGAGCGGGAAAACCGTACACCCGGTACGTTCCCCGGTCCGCGGTTTTGGAAATTCATTTAGTTCACAAGCACCGACCTAGGTGTCGGGTTTTCCAAGTCTTTTGTAAAACTCAAGTTTTACCCAAGAAGTTGCTCAGATTTTAAATTTGAAGGCGCCCTTCGGTACTCGCACAGATTGCATGATTTCCGAGGCGCAACTGGGTGGTTACAAGGGCACATGGTATAACAATTAACAAAGGAAGGATCAAATGCAACAAACTAGGTAGATCCGCCAATCTGCCTTGCAGACGGGACAACAGATTAAGTGCGATCCTATCAATGCATAATATTTTGCAAGCAACATAATTAAATTTCAAATATAGGCTCAAGATGTTCAAAGGTGGCTTGCCTTGCTCGAGATCTGGAGCTTGATCCTCGAAATCCTCGCACTGCGGGTCTTCGGGCTCCGGAACTACACGCGAAACGGGACAACTCAACAAACGGCGAAAATGAAGCCCTAATAATGACCTCTAAGCGTGCCATTAGATAGATCTCGAGATTTGAGGAATTTTGGAAGTTGAACGGAGTCAAACGGATCTACGGTTGGGAAGATATTGAATTTCTAAGATTATTGGATTTTTGGTCTAAAGGAAAAGGATTTAATTAAATCCTTTTTGGAAAAGAAAAAGAAAAGAAAAGGGAAAGAGGGAGGGATTATAGACTTCTCCTCGAGCGGCTAGGGCGCGGCCCAAGGGAAAAGGAGCGGACTGGCCGAGCTAAATGGGCCGGCCGGCCCAAGGCGGCCCAAGTGCGCGCGGGGGAGGGGAGGAGAGAGAGGGCCGGTGGACCGGGCTCACCGTGCGCGGTCCCGGGTGGGACCCGCTTGTCAGCGGCTCGGCTCACCGTGCGGAGGGAGCACGCGGCGCACGCGCGCGGGCGGGGGAGGGACGCGGTGCACGCGCGCGGTCTGCGGAGGAACGGATGCGGCGGGCCCACGCGCAGCCTCACGGCTCGCGGTGGAACGCGTGCACGGGAGGGGCTGACCGGGGTCGGCCCGTCCCGACCTCGGCTGAGCTGGCGCCGACGTGGCGCCGACGTGGCTGCCACGCGGGCCGGCGGGAGGTAGACGACGACGCCGGTCGGAACGGATGGCGGACAACAGCGGCGAGCGGCGGAGCGAACCACGGCGATACCGGCGAAAGCGAGCACACCGGGTGGTTGCACGAGACGAGGGGAGACGAGCCAACGGCTCGGATTCGCCGGAGGAAGCTTGACGGCGGCGAATCGCGGCGGCGGCAACCGGTGGGGAGGGAAGAGGGAAACGGCGACGAGGTCACGAGGGGCCGATTCCCGGCGGTGAGAGCATCTACGCGGCCACGGGAATCCGATGCTAGCGTCGGATTGGGCGGAGCTACGCCGAGCGAGGCTGGCAACGAGCGGGTGCTACGGAGCTCGAGCGGCGATGGCAGCGAGCACACGGCGGGCGACGGCAACGGTCGGGGCGGCGCTGGCTAGCTACGGGGAGGCTACTCGTGCTACCACCGAAAACTAAGGGGGGGAGATGGAGCGAGGAGGAAGAACGGAGGGAGGCATCACCGAGGTGAGGAGGGGCGCTGTGACGAGAGGCCGACGGCGCGGGAGGGATCTCTCCGGCCTCGGGCCGGGGAAGAGGAGGAAGACGAGCGCCCGGAGTCCCCTTCCGCGTCCTAGTGCGCACCGGCTCCTCCGGCACACACGCGACGGCTGCGGTCGGCGAGAGGGACGGCAATGGCGCGGGCGAGAAACAGGGAAGAATGGGAGAAAAGGGAAGGGAGGGCGCTTGGGTTTATAGGGGGCGGCAATGTCGGTTTGGAAACCGACTTTGGCGGTCAAGGCGCGAGCTGTCGCTCCGGCTAGCGGCCAAAACGGCGACAGGAGGGAGGGAGGATGACGCCGGCGGGAGGAAAAGGGGAAAAAGGAGGGAGAGAAAGGGGGGCTCGCCCCTTTCTTCTTTGGGAAAATTGGGAGGGGAGCGGGGGCGTCGCGGCAGAGGGAGGAGGGCTCGGCCTCCGTCCCTTGGCGGCTTGCGCGCGGAGTGGCGGGGCCGAGGCGATGACGACGGCGATGACGGCGGGGCGGTTTGGAGCGGCGCGACGACACGGGCGACAGGCGTGGGCTGGCGCGGCAGAGGGTGACGGCGGCGGCGACCAGATGGTCGGCCACTCGGCACGCGCGCGCGGCTTGCAATGGGAGGGCGCGGCGGATGGAGAGGCGCGGCTCGAGCACGCGCGCTGGCTGCGGGGCCGAGCGGCTGCATGCGCGGCAGGGCAGCGGGGCCGGGCGGCGCAAACGCGAATGACGCGTGGGGAGCGGCAGCGAAGGGGCGGAAAGGAGGGCTTGGCTCGGCGCGGGCGGCTCTCGCGCTCGCGCGCGGGGCGCGCGGGCGGAGCAGAGGGAGAGGGAGGCGCGCGGCGCGGCGGCTCACGCACGCGCGGACAGAGCGGGGGGAGCGGAGTAGGGGCGCTCGGCGCGGCTTGCGCGCTCGCGCACGCAGCGCGCGCGGCGCGCGGGCGGGGCGGAGCGGAGCGGAGGGAGAGGGGGAGAGGGAGCGCGCCGGGGGAGGGGAGGGGGAGATGGGCCGAGAGGGAATTGGCCCATCGACCCCGGGGGAGGCAAAATAGACTTTTGCGGAGGAAAAAGATTTGGAAGAATTTGGATTCGGAATTGAACTCAACGATAGATCGGGGATTGAGATCTTGAGATGGCACGGACACTAGACGACAAGCGAAGAAACAAATTTCGCAATTAGGGTTTTTAAGAGATAATTTTCCCGCTAGGCGCCACGACGGAACGGGCGCTACATGATGCTATTACCTTATTGATCTATTATCCAGTGGATCTATTACCTTATCTTTTTGGCTGTGTATCCACGGACAAAGGCCGGAGATATAATTTATTTCCATTATCTTAAAAAAAATTGTCCAGTGGATGGGCCGGGCATTGGTCGATGGAGCTAAAAACGGGGATAAAGACGAACAGGCGTTTTTGGCAACAGCTCCTCGATCCCCAACAGCCGGTGCAGTGAGACTAGTCGCGGGAGTACGTGCGCGGCCGTCTAAACACACGATCGAGACGTACGCGCATGCAGTACGTCGGCGCCTGGCTGCTCGGCTCGCCAATGTGTCTGCTGCGCCGGTGGGTCGGTGGGATCGACACAGTACGTCTCGATCAATCGTGCAACGCGCGTCCATGCTCCATATATCGGCACGAGGTGCCCGCGCGCGCGTAGACCACGACGTCCGATGCGAGAGCGCTGCAAGTGGCCGGCGAGCTCCTTCCTTGCCGATGGGCAGCCACAGCCCACACGGCGCGATCCGCGTGGAGGGAGTTCCCACTCAACCTCCCTTCTGCGTAGGGAATGAGATCCTCTGCAGTCACTGCACTTTACCTTTGTTACTGACATATGGGCCCAGACTCATATGGGCCCACATGTCAGTGACAAAAGGTAGAAAGCAGCCAATGCGTGTCCATGATCCATACATTGGGTGATGAGAAAAGGCTGGAAGGCTGGCCTTGTTTGGATGGGCCCAATTCAGGCCTATCCACGTGTGGGACAGCACTAATTCTCTTTACTTTTGTTTGCTATAAAATGAGGGGGAAAAGAAAAATATGAGATTACTTGGACTGTAAAATATAGCGTTCCGGAGTCCGAAGCAGAGGTTCACCAACATTCCCGAGCGAAAAAACGAGGTTCTTTGTTTTCGTGAAAATTGTTTGAAAATCATTGATTCCCGATAATATCCGATCAAATTTTATCAATTTTTTCCCTTAACTAGAACAGAAAACCAATCGGTTTGTGTTCTCGAGCAGACCGAACATCCGGTTTTCGAAAGAAAAGAATTTGGCTTTTTTTGGTTTTTGTAAACCCTGCTCCGGAGTACAGGAGAGCAAAATAGGCCTTTTTCTGATCGAAAATTCGAAATAAGGAGCTCCGTCTTTATAAGATTTGTCTTTTGCTTCTAAGTCCTTGTTATTGAATATACTGCATTGGTAGTTTGGTACAAAGTGATCCTTCGGTATTGCCCTCTGATCTTGGACTGAACAAAAAACAAACCTGAATAAGCTGCCTTCTAGAGGAGATAATCCCAATGAAATCAGGATAGTTTATCACGATGAATTCAACCACACCAGAAGAAAAAATTATAGACTCAAATGCTTGTATTCCTCGATGTACTCTGCTCGATTCTAAAATCAGATTAGAGTTTGACACCGCAAGAGATGAGGCCACAGGTTGGCCTCCGCCGGCGCCCGGAGTGCGGAGTCAGGCCGCGCGCTTCATCCCGCCGTGGCGCCCGAATAGCCCCGCCTGCAACACCCAATCCTCGATCATCTCCTGCGCCGCGCGGCCGTTGTCCGCCGGCATGAGGTGCCCGGCGCCGTAGACGACGACGTGGGAGAGCGGGCCGGAGCGCTGCACGTACCCGGCGAGCTCCTCGCCGATGCGCCACACGGCGCGGTCGGCGTCGAGGAAGGCGGGCAGGCCGTCCCACTCCAGCTCCCGCATCCACGCCTCCGTCGATACCACGCCGTCCCTGAGGTCGCGGATGCCCTGGTACAGCAGCACGCGCGTTCCCCGCAGCAGCGCCTCCACCTCCGGCTTCACGCTCTTCATCACGTCCCCGTGCATCGCCGCGCCCACCGCGTCGCTGCACTCCTCCCACTCCACGTCGCCGCGCGCGCCCAGCGCCGCCTTCACCTCCGCCCGGTTCACGAACTTCCCCACGGGGCCCGTCTCGTAGGGGCGCTTCTTCGCCGCGTCGAACAGCGTCGCCAGGCCCGTCGCGTTCTCCAGCCACGACAGCACGAGCCCCCTCGCGTCGGCCGCCTCGCTCCACCTCGCCGCGTTCGTCAGCTCCACCGCCCTCGCCTGCAGCGCCTCCAGCTCCCGCTTCTGCTTGGCGTTGATCAGGCCCATGAAGTAGGCGGTGTCCGCGTGCGTCGCCACCTGCGCGACGGGGTGCGTCAGCCCGTTGCCGATGGCCACGCCGTGGAGGTTAACCCGCAGCCGCGTCGGCAGCGTGGGGTTCACGGCCAGGATGTACGACCCAGCCGCCGGGATATACTTGCCGGCGTAGCTCTCGCCGGTGAGGAAGAAGGGGCGGGAGCGGGAGCCCGGCTGGAGCGCGAAGAACGACTGCAGCGCGGCGAAGAGGTGCGCGGCGACGACGGACTGGTTGGTGGGGATGGCGGCGGGGGACGGCGCGGCGCTGAAGCCCGTGCCGAGCGGGTTGTCGATGAAGAGGAGACCAAACCGGCGATTCCACGAGAAGGGGTTGGGCGAGAGGGAGAGCGCGTCGCGGTTGACGAAGTAGGGGCCGAGCTCGAAGAAATTGCCGGCGAGGCCGGAGCAGCCGGGGCCGCCCTGGAGCCAGAGGAGGAGCGGCGTGGAGGCCGGCGGCGTGAGCGGGTGCGTGGCCTCGTAGTAGGCGAAGAAGAGCGAGGCGTTGGTTGTCGTGATGGGGAGGTAGCCGGAGTTGGTCGGCAGGGCTTCCTTCGGGAACACCGCCGCCGCTTCAGCTGAGGGTGTGATGGCTCTGGCGCTGACGAAGCCGATGAGCAGGAGCGAGACGAGGAGAAGCGGCGGAGCCATTGGTGAGTGACCGCAGTTGAGATGGGAACAGGATGAGCTTGTCAGTCTGTGGTTTGTGGCGTTGAAATGGCAGTGAATGCACCGATCAATCAGCTCAGCTCATGCCGGTAATAATCAGATATTCCTCTCTGTCCTAGTAAAATATAAAAAATATAAGCACTTTACTTCTAAGCGGTTTCCGAAATGCTATTTTGTTCAACAATATCTAGTTTTAAATAAAAAGAGTTACATATTAGTTTGTTTAATAATAAATCTAGTAATAACAATTTTATATGATTATTTCTTTTCAATTTTTTTTATTAATAGTCAAAGTTACAAATATTTAATTTGGTACTATGGCCGAGTTTAGTTTTAAAATTTTTCTTTAAACTTTCAACTTTTCTATCACATCAAAACTTTTATACACACATAAATTTACAAATTTTTCATAACATCGTTTCAATTTCAACCAAACGTTTAATTTTAGCGTGAGCTAAATATATCTTATATTAAAAATGTTTATATTTTGGGACGAGGAATAGAGATAGTACGACAAGATGTTTGTGTCTCACTGTGTTTTGTACTGTGCGGTGTGTCTGTGACTCTGTGCCTGCCTGTTTGTCATTGACGAGAGATGACTTTGGAAAGTGACACGTCATGGCCGGGGTGTGGTTGTGGTGTAAGCGGTGATTACAACAAGAAAATGACATCTGAATTATGATCTGCTCGTCCGTCTCCGCGATAAACTGAAGCGGGGATGATATATTCTTTGCCAACTGCTGCAATTTTTAGTTTTAAAAAGAACTGCTGCATTTTTTTGGTCGCTGGTTTGGTCCGTTCAAGGGCATAAATCAAACCAAATAAAGCCCCTCACCAACCCTCTGCCACTGGGCCTTGCGTCACTTGATGAATCCATCACTCGTTGCCATTGATTGCTCTCGTCAATTCTTTACCTTCCAAAGCTGCCGCCTGCCGGATTGCCGGATGTGTGCTGGCGTGCAGGATCAGTACCGCGCGACGTCGCCACGGGTGCCCAGCACGGCCGTCACCTCGTCGCCTCGTCGGTCCTCTGCTGAAGTGATCCATCGTCAGCGTACGGTCCCGTGGATTTTGGGCGGCAGCCGATGGTAACAACCCATTTCGGCCCATCAGATTTTGGATCGCTGCGAGATATCCGATGGTGCATTCTCACTCTCTCTACTGCTCACACTGAGGGCCCGAGAAGCCTTCGCGGCCGGAACGGAAGAGCGAGACCGACATTGAAACAGCGATACGCCGATACCTGACGAATAAAAATTGAAAATATCCTTTTTTTTTTATTAATAATTTACGTTTATATACATACATGAGATGAATTTGCGAAAATATACCTAACCCGCGATGCCGGCATGTGGGAGCGACGGGCAAGCGCAGGTTGGTCAGAGCGGGACGAAGGCCCGAGCGGTCACGCAGGGCAGGGCGGCGGCACCGGCTCGGTCCCGCAGGGCTGTTGCGCGGTACCGGCCCAATCCCGTGGAGCAGCGGTGCCGCATCTCCGCCGCGCGGGACCGCTGGCGACGCCGCATGGTCGAGGCGCGGGAACGGCTCGTCAGAGCACTGATCAATAAAAAAAAAAAGCAAATCCTCCCGGCACTAACCACGTACTGAGCATGCTTCAAGCCCTAATCAATCAACTCCCGGCACTAACCACGTACTGAATCTATTGCATGCTTCAAGCACTAATCAATCAAAAGAATAGCAAATCCTCCGGCACTAACCACATATAAAAGAATCTCTTGCATGCTTCAGCTGTATCCAATGGCCAATGGTGGACAGGGTGCTGGGGGAGGGCGTCGCCAGCGGTCCCGCGTCACGGAGATGCGGCACCGCTGCTCCAAGGGATTGGGCCGGCCGGTGCCGCGCAACCATCCAGCGGGACCGAGCCGGTGCCGCGCTTCGGCTCTAAGGAACCGAGCCGGTACCGCGTGGCCCTCTCCTGTTCCGCGGGAGCGCGCCGGTTCCGTTTGTCTAAGCCGCGGGACCGACGCTGTCTACCCCACCCTGCGCGACCGCTCGAGCCTCCGGTCCCGCACATCCAACCTGCGCTTGCCCGTCGCTCCCGCATCCGGCGTCGCGTGTTAGTTATATTTTCGCAAATTCACCGCATGCATGTATATAAACGCAAATTATTAATAAAAAACGGATATTTTCAAAATTTTTTCGATACCTGACTGCCACCGAATCAATTAGTGATTAACTATCCTAATTAGCGATTAATTAATTATTAATTAATCACTAATTATTATTAGTTAATAGTAATTATGTACTTAATCACCAAATAAATGGAGCCGGTTGACACTGTCGCTGATTGTTTCAACGACTTTCGCCCGCGCGGTCTCGCACTTTCCTGGCGTGATACCGTCTGCGACATCTCGCTTACGTAATTTTCGTATAATGGTTGTACGAGATCGACGATATATTTTCGTCAAAAATTTTGCATCCGGAATATTCGTGAAAAAATAAATAAAAAGTATATTTTCAAATCTAATTCCACAAATATAGCTAGCCCCTTTATTATTTATTTATTTACTTATATATGCCTTGAAATGATGTTCAGGTTCTAGACGGTGCCCGCGCTGAATAATCCCTTTCTGAACACCCAATCCTCGATCATCTCCTGCGCCACGCGCCCCTGAGAATACGGCACGAAGTGCCCGGCACCATACACGGCCACATGCACGAGCGCGTCATGGCGCTGCACGTACCCGGCGAGCCCGCCTCCGCTTCGCCACACGGCGCGGCCGGCGTCCTGGAACGCGGCGAGGCCGTCCCACTCCAGCTCCCGCAGCCACGCCTCCGCGCACACCGGCCCGTTCCCCACGTCGCGGATCCCCTCGTACAGCAGCACGCGGGTCGGCGTCGGCGTCGCCGTCGGCGACGCCCCGCGGTGCAGCAGCGCCTCCACGTCACGCTTCGCGCTCTTCATCACGTCCTCCTCCTGCGCCGCGCCCACCGCCGCGGAGCACGCCTCCCACGCGACGTCGGGGCGGGCGCCCACCGCCGCCTTCACCTCGGCGGTGCTGAGGAAGTCCGCGAGCCCCGCGGCCATCACCGCCACCGACTGCTGAACTTCCACGTCGAGCAGCGTCACGACGCCCGTGGCGTTCTCCAGCCACGACATCAGCCGCGCACGCGCGGCGGACGCCTCGCGCCACCTCTCCTCCCTCGTCAGCGCCACTGCCTCCGCCTGCATCGCCTCGGCCGCGCGCTTCTGCTTCGCGTTGATCAGGCCCATGAAGTAGGCGATGTCCGCGTGCGTCGTCACCTCCGCGACGGGGTGCGTCATGCCGTTGCCGATGGCCACGCCGCGCAGGTTAATCCTCTTCTGCTCCGGCAACGTCGGGTTTGTTGCTACTATGAGCGCGCCGGCCGCGGGGATGGTCTTGCCGGCGTAGCTCTCGCCGGTGAGGTACAGAGGGCGGGCACGGAAGCTCGGTTCGAGAGAGAGAAACGACTGGAGCGCGGCGAGGACGTGGTCGGCGACGACGGACTGGTTGGTGGGGATGTTGGCGGGGGAAGGCGCGACGCTGAAGCCGGTGCCAAGCGGGCTGTCGATGAAGAGGAGACCAAAGCGGCGGTTCCACGCGAAGGGGTTGGGAGACAGTGAGCCGCCGGCGAAAAGGTAAGGGCCGATCTGGAGGAAGTTGCTGAGGAAGCCGGAGCAGCCGGGGCCGCCCTCTAGCCAGACGAGAAGCGGCGTCGTGGCCAGCGGTGTCACCGGCTCGGTTGCCTCGTAGAAGGCGAAGTAGAGCGAAGCGTTCGCCGCCGGTGGGATGGGGAGGTAGCCCGACTTGGTCGGCAGGGCTCCTCTGGGCAATACCGCCGCCGCGGTGGCAGTGGCAGCCGTGGCCGAGAGTGAGACGGCCACAAATATTACGACGTACACGAGGTAAAACGGCCGGGAAGGAGGTGCCATGGCTGGATGGAATGATTTGTACCTATGGGCAGTTCAGTTGTGCTTGAGAATGGCACTGTCACACACACAAAGCCTTAAGTAGGAGTATGTGTATTGTCGGAAATTCTCCGAAGCGTGTATTGTCGTGTAATAGCTGAGAATTTTCTCAGGTGCAAGTTCTTGGAAGTGTACCTGATGTGATATATGTAAGGAAATACAAATGTTTGAAGCTAAAGTACATTATCATCAAGTAGTCAATTGAGTATTTGTTCCAAGCTGACATCGTTACCCACAGCAAGTCAAACAAGTGACTAGTGAGCCAAAACGCGGCTGTTTTGCGCGTGACAGATCAAAGAAGGCCATACATATATGGACAGAACATATGTTCTCCGTTTCCTGGTCAGAGGAGAGCAGCATTTCTTAATTTCTTATTTGGTCAGGTCAAACAACAGATGTCAAGCCCCGCAAAAAAAAAAAATGTCAAGAGCCTAAACTGAATCACTACTAGTCATTAGCAACACATACTCTTTGTGACCCATACATATTGTTTACTGATATAAAAAACTTTGCATAATTTTTATAGGATTAGTATATTCAATCTCCGCTAGATTCCTGCAATAACTATACATTTAAAATGACCTTTAATTTGACATATATATTTTATATCTTTGAAAATTTTCAATTTTCTCTCTTGTTTTATAACATACTTATTAGAACTTAATTTTGTACATGTACTTCTGTAACCCTAAGATAAAATCTATGTATTATACTTATGTAAGTCTAGGGGGAAACTATTTTGATCCCTCGAGGAGATATCCCCTCGTTGTTTATATGTCACTTAAATGGTTATGAAAAAAATTGAGAAGATGTATTAACATGTGATATATCACTCGACTGTGGAACGAAGGCTGATTTTATATTAAAATTTGAATAGAGTGTTTGCATTACAAATCGGAGATAAATTCGATGCGGGGTTCAAAGAAGATCTTTCTTCTTTGCAAACGTTATTTTAAAAGTCAGCAACATCATTTATTAAAAGCCAGAGATAACAACAAGGTCCATCAAATGTACCTTGTAAAAAAATAGAGTAAATTTTAAAAAACAGCAACTTTTACTCATGCTATTATAAAAGTTATAGTTTTGTGGTAATTTCTCATGCTATTGTTGCAGCAAACTGAAATATGTCGCTAATGTTGTAGCAAACTAATAGTTTTATCACTAAAGTTGTAGTTTTCTGAAATTTACTCTAAAAAATATAGTGTCATATCACATAGAAGGATTTCTATTTGACCAATCAGGAGCTCATCAAGGAAAGTGGAATCCATTTGTAGCAATCGGGAGACTTCTAGAACTATAGATGGTCATATGGCCCGAGGCCCGTGGCCCGACCCAAGGCACGCCATTTTGGCTCGGCCCGACGGCACGGTGGGCTGGCCCGACACGGCCACGATTGAAGAAAAATAGTACAGGGATGCAAAATAGACTTAAATAACCATATAAGGCAAGGCCCAAAGAGTAGATTAATACAAAATAGACTTATTTCCAGCTATACGACACAACCGCTGAGTTGAGGGATGAAAAAATAGATTTATTATGTGGAGAAGTACGATGGGCTGTCGTGCCTTCGGGCTGGCCCGGCATGGCTTGAGTCGTATTGGGCCGTGTATGTAGCTCGTGGGCTAGCACAGCACAGCCCGGCGTGTCGGTCAGGCCGTGCCGGCCCAACTAACCTTGGCCCAAGCACGATCGGGCATGGGTCGTGCCGTGCCGGGCGGCCCATTTGGCCAACTATATCTAGAACTCACGTGCCTAGTCTTTTTAAAAGTATATTTGGTTGATGAATCGGCTAATCAAATAAAGAAAAAAAATAAATGAATGTGTCAATCTTGAATTTATAAGGATTATTAACCTCTATGATTAAGGAGAGAAATGGGAGGGAGGGAGGAGTCCATGCGGACCGGGAGGAAGAAAGGAGGATAGGGTAGCCCGTTTGGACAGTAACAGTTGGGAATTTTCATGGGAGAGTTTGTGAAAGAAATTTAATTATTTTGGAATTGGTTTAAATTCAAACTGGATTATTTGATAGGAGTATCAGGCAATCTTTGGTAAATTTTGGAAGGAAAAATCTGATGGACTTGGCATTGGATCCAAGGAGATATATATTTAGTGAATAATTTCGGTGGAAAAATTCGAATTGTGAAATTCAACCTTCGAGGTTAGAATTTGGATAGAAATTTTGGGATTAGATTTTTGGGCCTCAATGAGGGATTTTGAGATTCGTTGGCACTTAGGTCCTTTTCAAAACCATTCTGACAAGGAAAAACTGTAATTCTACTAGCTCCCACTGTAGGTTGACTCTAATTTATCCTCAAGTGAGTATATCGATTCATCCAACTACTAAAACCAGTTTTGTTACGCCGAGAAGACATTGCTGCCGAGATCCTACATGGCATCCAGTTCCAAGCGCGGACTTGGGGATGAACTTTGTGAGCTGAAATGATCTAGCATGTATACTACACCAAGGAACGATGGAAAGAGGCAAGGCGCATTGATCCAAAATTTTATTTATTTATTTATTTATCATAGGTGCTGAAATGATCTACGTATAAACTACAGAGCACAATACGGTGTGTACGGCCGTGGCAGCGGACTAACTACATATTCTCTCCGTTTCATAATGTAACACTTTCTAGACTTACTTCATATAGATATTAATAAATATAGATATATATATATATATGTATCTAGATTCATTAATATCTATATAGATATTAGCAATGCTAGAAAGTCTTACATTATGAAACGGAGAAAATACTCCCTACTATAAATGAAGAAACATTTTGCCTTACGCCTTCCCGCCGCTGGCGCCGAACAATCCCTTGCCGAACACCCAATCCTCGATCATCTCCTGCGCCGCGCGCCCTTGAGAAAACGGCACGAAGTGCCCCGCGCCATACACCGCAACGTTCACGAGCGCGCCGTGGCGCTGCACGCTCCCGGCGAGCTCGCCGCCTCGGTGTCGCCACACGGCGCGGTCGGCGTCCTGGAACGCGGCGAGGCCGTCCCACTCCAGCTCCCGAACCCACGCCTCCGTGGACACCGGCCCGTCCTTCACGTCGCGGATCCCGCCGTACAGCAGCACGCGCGTCGGCGTCGTCCCACGCCGCAGCAGCGCCTCCACCTCCGGCTTCACGCTCTTCATCACGTCCTTGTGCTGCGCCGCGCCCACCGCCGCGCTGCACATCTTCCACTCCGCGTCGCCCCGCGCGCCCAGCGCCGCCTTCGCCTCGGCGCCGTTCAGCAGCGGCGCGAGCGCCGCGGCCTCCGCCTCCAGCGACGTCGTCACCTCCACGTCGAACAGCGACGGCACACCGGAGGCGTTCTCCATCCACTTCAGAAGGCCCTCCCGCGCGACGTACGCCTCGCTCCACCTCTCCGCCTTGATCAGCTCCACCGCCCTCGCCTGCATCGCCTCCACCTCCCGCTTCTGCTTCCCGTTGATCAGGCCCATGAAGTAGGCGATGTCCGCGTGCGTGGTCACCTGCGTGACCGGGTGCGTCATCCCGTTGCCGATGGCCACGCCGCGCAGGTTAATCCTCTTCTTCTCCGGCAACGTCGGGTTTGTTGCTACTATGAGCGCGCCGGCCGCGGGGATGGTCTTGCCGGCGTAGCTCTCGCCGGTGAGGTACAGAGGGCGGGCACGGAAGCTCGGCTCGAGGGAGTACAAGGACTGGAGCGCGGCGAGGACGTGGTCGGCGACGACGGACTGGTTGGTGGGGATGGCGGCGGGGGAAGGCGCGACGCTGAAGCCGGTGCCGAGCGGGCTGTCGATGAAGAGGAGACCAAAGCGGCGGTTCCACGCGAAGGGGTTGGGAGACAGTGAGCCGCCGGCGAGAAGGTAAGGGCCGATCTGGAGGAAGTTGCTGAGGAAGCCGGAGCAGCCGGGGCCGCCCTCCAGCCAGACGAGAAGCGGCGTGGTGGCGGGCGGTGTCACCGGCTCGGTGGCCTCGTAGAAGGCGAAGTAGAGCGAAGCGTTTGCCGGCGGGATGGGGAGGTAGCCCGACTTGGTCGGGATGGCTCCTCTGGGCAATACCGACGCCGGTGCGGCGGCCGCCGAGGCCGAGAGCGAGACGGCCGCGAGGACGACGAAGACGAGGGACAGCGGCGAAGGAGGTGCCACTGCCATGGCGCGCCCGCGTCGGCTGTCGCGGGCTCAACGTGGCTTATCGGCTGAGTGATGTATTGCAAATTTGCAATTTTGCAAGGAGGTTTCGATTAGTGTTGACAGCTGATCGAGCCGGTGTGCTTGGGAAATGGAGGCATTCGGAGAGCCTTAAATAGGTTGGCATTTGGTGGTCTTAATTAAAAAATTGTGTACGTAAGTATGCTCCGGTAGAAATTCTCGGAAGCATACCTTGAACAGACGTTTCAAACGCATAGACTTCAATTATCATCGACTTGTCAAAAAGTAGTCGTCCCAAATCACGGCGTCACGTGCTGTAAACATTGAAGCCAGATGTCTTCAGCTGTGAGGAGAACGTACTTGCTTTGCGCGTAAACATCTCTGTTGTTCTAGTCTCTACTAGTAATAACTACAAGTAGCAAGGTGGAAGAGTGAAATTTCTGCTGACCTGTGTGATGTAGTATTTGTAATTTAGCAAGAAAGAGTATGTCGCTGGGTACATCTCTGTTGTTTGTCTGGTGCACAGAGAAGAAAGACAATTGTACCTAGCTGATCAGGTGAAACAACAAGTGGAAGAGGTCAAACTGAATCACCTCTAATAGTCGTCCTCATCCATCTGACCATCTTCCAGGCAAACTTCTCCGTTTATTACTGGTGGCTGGTAAATAATTAGGAGCCAATCCAGCAACGAAATCCAATATATGCCAATCAATTTAGGCTGTTAGCCACTACTAATACATCCTTGAGGTGCTGATGGGTACAGCACCAACCTTTCTGTTAGTACCAACGCCTGCCGAAGTCGCGGCAGCAACAATACCGTTAAGAGATCTTGTGTATATGTCAGTCTGTGTTACCATTCTATCTAACGAGCCGTTCTTTGATCCTGCTGAATGATGGAACGTGGATCCTCTCATGTCCAGAGCAACATCAGCCGTGACTTTGCTGTTCGGATAAGCATAGGCCTGCGTCTGTGACTGTGAATGCATTTTATAAGCATCCATGGCTTGTGATTGTTCAACACAGTTCATCCTTGCAGGCACTTGATGATAACCATATGCTTGTGAGATTTGTTGCTGGGGAGGATACCCTGAACTCATCACTGGTCCCCTTGGACCATAAGGATCATTGGTGCTTCCAGTCTCATAAGGAAATACTGACCCAACAGGTCTCCCTGGTGCCACTGTTAAGAAGGAAATATATTAGAAATATAAACAGAACATGTAGATATACTAGTATTAATAAATGAAACACAAGTGCACCTGGTTTTGCCACTTGTGAAACCTGAGAAGAAGTGGGAATATTTCCAGAAAATCCTCCCATGACCCAGGGGTTTTTACAAGGTTCATCAGAGACAGGCCTGCTGCTCTTCAATGAGGCCGCAAGAGGTTGTTCCTTGGGAGGAATTGGAGTAGAGTGAACAGTAGTAGACCTTACAAAATGTAGTTGTAGATTAGCAAAAAAACTCAAGGTTTAACTAAATCAAAGGGTATAACATTATGAATGCATGCTAATCAATTCTCGTCTAATGTCAAAATATCTAGACTGCAAAATTCTTTTGTAACATGACTCTAACTAACGTGCGAGTTCCTTTCTTCATCATATCATATACCAAGTCAAACGGAGAATTTGGCCATCTAGATAGCAGTTATATGCGCCAACTCTACAACATTGACAGAACCACAAATTCCTAGAGAAATCTCCATCCCTGTGCTTGGTGCAAGACCATGCACAAGATTTTGACACACTTCAGGAATAAAGCAGCTGTTTTCTTTGAACTCATGTGAGCCCCAGTTACTTCAGTCCAAAGTTTTATATAACCCAGTTTGCCATCTGGACAAGGAACCCCTGGCCTGATCTAGATGTTTCTTTCATCATTTGGCACCAAGGTTGCCTTGATATTGAGAAATCTTAAGATGACCTTCAAAGCACGCCTCAAAAAAAAAAAACACGAGATCAGAATTTGATGCCATATTACCTAGGAAGCGATGCATGTTTTCTTTCCATTGGAATTGCTGAGCCACTTCCATTGCTTTCTTCAAGATTAGAGAACTGCTTCTTAAACTGATCAACCGCACTGTATAATCATGACGACAAGTTATCACCGTCAATGAGACTTGATACAGTAAAAGAAACGTATAAATACATGGTACATGCATGTGCAAAAGCACCATACGTGTGCAAATACAGAAAAGCTAAAACCTTGGGTAGAGAAAGGTTGCTCTCTCTCTTCCATTTCTGTAGTTCTTCTGCAATTGTGGATGATATTCCAATATCTCCTGGAATATCAGCTCCCTTATATCTTCCTTAGACAATTTTTTCTGCTCAAATTCAAACTCCAGTTTTCTGATTGGCTGGCATGATGGTTCTCTATCAATCTTGGAAAGGCCTTTAAAGTATGGATCAGTCAATGCCTGACAAGTTTTAAGTATCAGGAGAATGCCACAACAATACAAAATACTTCACATACCAAACTAAAGTTGCAAGCAAAATCTTAACATATAAAAGAAATTGACATATCAGTTTATCACAGTGACAAAAGACACCAAACAGTTACCTCTTCAGCAGTTGGACGGTCCTTTGGATCAAAGGCTAATAACCGTTGCAAGAGTTTTAGTGCCAAAGGATCTGCATTAGGAAACTTTTGAGAGAAGGGGACTGGATCTTTCTTTCTCATGCTGCTCAAGTACCGTCTTGCTTTCTCATTCCGAACCTGGAAAGGAAGAGAACAATAAGACAAATGTTGGGGGTCACTGAAGTCTCCTCCCAGGAGGACCTACAAAAAACTTTTACCTAACAGTATTATCATACCCGGGAAATTGTATCCATGGAAGGTGTTCCTAGAAGATCAGTCATCAAGTCTAACTGATGGACAACATTTTTACCAGGAAACAAAGGCTTCCCTGTCAACACCTCAGCAAAGATGCACCCAATGCTCCAAATGTCAATAGCTGGTGTATACTGCAGTGAAATGATAATGCAAAACACATTAAGATGCTGCATATAACCACACCCTTGAAAAATTATGATAAGCATAAAAGCAGCACATTAGTTCACCAGGCATGTGAATTTTTTTTAAAAAAGCTTGTACTGTTCTAAGTTGCTTTTTTTTTACAGTAATCTGAATTGTTGTAAACGTTGCTATTCAGCAGGATATTGGTCCATATTTGCGTAAAACATGGAATTGATGGGAAATAATAATAAGTCCTTGAATTAAAATACAAAACAGAACAAAAAAATGATATCAGAACAAGATTGAACGGATATAAATCTAGCAAAAATGGATAAACAGTATCAAAGAAACACAAAGATGAATTGTATATGCTTTATAAAAACATATAAAAGAGAAAATACCAAATAAAACATAATATGACATCGTCAAGTCTAACAAGCACATTGTATTTCTGTCAGGATAAACATATGCATGAACTGCAAAGCTCACCTTTGAGAAGAAGGATCCACAGAGCTCTGGAGCCCTGTACCATCTTGTTGCTACATAATCCTGCAGAGCATACGTGTTATGTCCATAAATCATGGTGGTACTTCAACCAAATCAGTTGGTGTTGGGTTTGTGCTTCGTACTAACATACCGTCCAGAAGACAGTTGTTGGGGTATCATTGAATGCAACTCGTGCTAGTCCGAAATCACATATTTTCAGTTTGCAGTTAGAATTTGCTAAAATGTTCTTGGGCTTCAGATCACGGTGATAAACACTAGCTACAGTTATATAAACTCAGTGTTAGCACACATTATGGCAATAGAAAAATAAAAGAATAATATGCAATTGAGTCATAAGATTTTACACAGGGTGTCAATAAGGTAGAAAAACAACAGGGCATGGTTGATGTGTTTTTAGCAGTGGCCAGTGGCAAGTCAATACCTATGACAATTATTGGACAAGAATCCCCTCAAGCAATCAGACTGTGTCCTTATCAGAGTAGATACTACATAAATGTAATGAGGAAAATGACAAGAGTGCTAAATAAGTCACAAAGCTTCCATGAACTTACAGTCAGGTCTTATACCTTGACTGTTACAATTAAGTATAATTTACTTTCATGGTAATTTTAGAAGGCGTGTGGGCTAAAAGAAAGCTACTAGTTTGAACAAACTAAAAGGACGCAGACTGATATGTAAATGGATATGTTAAGTGGACATATTAAAATATAGAGGGATAGTAACAGGTATCATGGTTGGACCAGCTAGCACAAAGCAAGGAACCAGATTAATAATAGGTAAAATTATAATCTACAGAAATCATACACAAACCCATTGGTTAACTTGGTTTTACATCATAAAGGGGAAAGCCCCTGCTGCTAAATTGGTTTGCAAAAATATGGTGATTTATTATCTGCATTTGATTGACTGCACTCCAAGCAACCTTTGGTAAATAAAAATATTCTCACATTCACTGTAGATTATCTAGACATGGTCACCGAGGAAGCCATAACTACCCCATTACTTCACTTTCTTTTATAATTATACTGAAGCACAAACACATGGGGAGAGTGGTTGAAGGGCATGATGAGTAGGTGACTTCCCTCTATGCAATGAATATGCAATACATATAAGACTAACCACAGAATGCTGCATTGTGAAATGAGATCAAAGGGGGTAACTAATATACAGACTACAGATGCACACTATCTAAAAGGGGGAAATGGAACTAGAGCTGAAGGAGTTAATGTTTCCTACCAGTATGAATGTATTTGAGGGCCCGGAGTAATTGATAAAGGAAAAATTGGTAGTGCTCTTTTGTTAAGTCATCATTAGCCTTTATAACTTGGTGGAGATCAGATTCCATAAGCTCAAAAACAACATAAATATCTTTGAAGTCCCTTCTTGACGGAGGTAGCATAATGTGCTTGATCTCAACAATGTCCGGATGCCTTAGGAGTCTCAGAAGCTTGATCTCACGGAGAATACGCGCAGCATCCGAGACATGCTCAAAAATATTGTGCACCTTCTTGATCGCCACCTTCTGTCTAGTGTGCAAATCAATGGCAGAGCACACAACCCCATAGCTTCCCTTACCAATGACTTCTTGGATCCTGTACCGGTTCGCATCACCATACTCTGTAAAAAACTCCTCCGCAGAGCTCTGAAAAAAAAAAGAAATTTCACACACCGAATCAACAGCCCATCACTGAAGATTGCAATGAACTTCATATAATCAATCTCATAAAAAAAACGGCACCATATTGTTGAGGTCACAAAATTATTGCAATTCGAAACCGAACATTGAGAAGCTTCCATCTTCCACCAGCATTAAATCATGGACACAGCAACGAACTGTTGTTTTCGTTTTACCACCGAGATGGGTTTGCTTGTGGGCATTACCGAAGCCGGGAGCCCCACACGAGTACACGAGGTAAGGGAAAAGCTTTTTCCCACCGACAGGGCAAAGCAGCAGCATGCGGCGTTGTTTAGTTCGGCGCAGAAGCATCTCGCAGCGACACGGTAATGGTCAACTTTGGCATGTGAAGGATGAGCTGTTCGTAACTCACCGTTCGGTGCACATCGCATTTGGCCTTTTCAACCACATACTCCAGATTGCTAGCTGGATCGCACATTTCGTCCATGATGAACAACGCAATAACTAAATCCATTAGAACATGTAAAAAAAAGTAAAAAAAAAATCTCAAAAAAGTTTATGTAAAAATGGCGATGGGGAGTTAAAAAACTAGCCTATTTGCAAATCGCGCGCTAGAACTGAAATGAACAGCAACACCAGAACGCCATTAGACAATCCACAACTTATAAAGAACAAAATAACAAGACAAAAACATCGAAGGACACCGAGGCGATTCGCGCATCGCACCAACATCAACGGGCACCCATATACGTTCCAGAGAGCTACACAGAGAAACACGAGGGGGGAAGAGGGGCGAGAGATCGCCGGAACCCGGGAAACCCACCTTCTTCCGCTGCTCCTGCTGCATTCCGCTCCCTTACAGATCTCTCCCCCCAGACCAACTCCCACAGCGCCCCCCTCGAATCCGCCTCGCGACAACCCCAAACGCGCCGCCACTCGAATCCCCCCTGCCCCCCACAAATCCACACCGCGCGAGTCGCGAGCACCGCCGCTGCCGGCGCGCGGTCGGTGATGGTGAAGGCGATGGCGATGGCCGATGGCCTCTCCCGCCGCGTCCGCCTCCTCCCGATCTCGCGGCGTCCGCCTGAGAGGAGCACGAGAGAGAGGAAGGGGAAAGAGGAAGAGGAGGAGAGGAGTAACGGGGGGAAAGGCTCGAAATCAAAAGGAGGGGAGCGGATTAATTTCGCGAGAGATGGTGTGTGTGGATTCGTGGTGCCGTAAATCAAATACTGCAAGGATGGTTTTGTATGTGCGCTCCGGGCCACATGCGGCGGGTGGGATGCGGACCTCAGCAATACCCTGCTGGATTGCTCTTCGCCGTCCGATCCGCATCTTGACGGCCATCCTTCTTTGGAACGTATCAACCTCCCACACCCTCCTTTTATTACAGTTTTTTTTACTTTTTTTTTAAGTGTGAAATTGGGTGGAGTACAGTAAAAACATATTATTCATGTATCATATTTCGTATTTTTCTTCCAAGTCAGACCCGGGTGCGGGTGCAGCTAGTGCCGACAATATATCACTCATCATGTACCAAAATTTTTCTTTCTCAGAATTAGATTCAAAACGGATATCTAGTTGTGTCCCTAATCCATAAATAAATATCAAAGTAAGGGATACAATTCAATTAAAGTGTTAAAAAAAGTTCAATAATATATATATATATATATATATATATATATATATATAAGGAAAAAATGTGTAATATTATTTGTGAGCCCATAAAATAATCATTAATTAATCTTTTCATTAACATGTTTGATAATCAGAGACATACAGATGGATACAACTCTTTCTATATTCTAACTCATATTTTTAGTGGGTTTGAATCCGAACACGAATAGTAACCGATATTTATTTTCTCTCCTATATATTTTTCATGAGCCTCAGATTGGCGGACGGGTGAAAAATATCCGTCTCGTTTCCACCCATATTTTTTGAGAGAGAAAACCATAACTTAAATAGTATGGGAATAGTACGGGATGCTCATGAGCATGTAGAGATGGAGCTTCACGTGCTCGGATCTTGAGCCGTATATATTTAGAATTGAAGAATCTTATACTATAATATCATTTAAAAAAGAAATTTATGTATAATTCGAGAGATCTCTAAGAATGACTCTTATTTGATAATTAATCGGTGTGACTTTGTCACCTTTTCGTATCAAATATTTCTCAACATCATTAAGGGTGAGTAGTCATCTGGGAACTCAAAGGTAACTTTCTATGAACTTAATGGACCAACCATCTAGATTTCATTTTTTTCCTCATTTTCCTTTTGTTATGGTAGTAACCAGCAGTCCAGCAGTATTGGTTTTTGTTAATCTGGTGATGGATGTAGGTCAGGTTGGTAATGTGTGCCTTTTAGCACGGGGACTGTGTGGTTTAGGTGGCAGGCATTTTCTGACGGAATTGAGATGTGAACTAACCAGTTTGCCTTGAAGTCACAGCTTGCCTTTTGCAATCAGACTGTAGCCTTTTGTAATGTAAAAGAAAATTGTTCTTCATTGCCTACCTGCCAAAAAAACATCACCTTCCTTCCTGCATCAAGCAGCCTAATCTTTTAATAAGATGTACTACAAAGCGACAGCTCCACATCACATGTTAGGATTACAGGAGACGCGTCCATCGATCTTACGGCACGCACCGACACACACGGTGCCTCCTCTGCCACAATTAATTAACAAGTAAAACATGCTTTGACACTAGTAGTGAACTCCTGCATGATGGGAGAGTTTCTGTGCGTTACAATGTCCATCTCGCTATTCATATCGCATTAGATGTGTCCATTGACTAGCGTCATCACAAGTTGTTCCAGGACACTGTCCATGCTCTGAAAATTAGTGATAGCGATCACTGATTACAGGCTTACAGTACCATTCAAGTGCACAGACGGAGACATGATGGAATCTCGTAGCAGTATCACGTTATTCCAGAATCTAAATGCTGTTTTCCAATAATCGATAGGTGCCCATGTGACTCGCAGTGTGCTGGCTATAAAGTATAATCATGTTAATTAATTCATAGTCGTTCTCCAATGACAAATGAAATGGCAGAAAGGGGAGGGGAAAAAAATACTATTTCGTGTATCAAGAAGCTGAAACTACTATGAAATATACACTATGCTTCCTTAGTTCCTTTATCTGCCTTGTAGTTACATAAACTGCAAAATAGGATGCTATGATACATGTTGGTGGTGGATCCACAACAAAAAGTTGCTGCTTGTAATCATCTTCCCAAGATCGACATTATTCTAGCAAGATGAACTTCTTTGGGAGCTACTAACCCACATGGGTGCGAGCATCTTATATTCAGAGAAATCAAGTGATTCAGAGGAATCAAGTGAATCCATCAGTCAATCCTCTGAAGATTATATTTCACCACGTTCTCAAGGGTACTTCTGAACTGGCTCTTGGGAAGGCACTGCAAATTTTGGAGAGCCAAGTCACCTTTCTCCTTTGCAAGCTCCTGCGCCCTTCTTATTCCACCACTTCTGTGAACCAAGTCGATTGCAGTAGCCAATGAATCACTTTCACTGAACTCAGAATCGATTATCTCCCTTAGTTTGGGTTCATCTTGCAAAGCGAATATGACTGGAGCTGTCAGGTTTCCCTTTGCTAAGTCACTCCCTGCTGGTTTCCCAAGTTGCTCAGCTGATTGGGTAAAGTCAAGAATATCATCTACTACCTGGAACGAGAGCCCGAGATTCCTGCCGTATTCATACATTTGTTCGCATATAGTGGTGCTTACACCACTGAATATTGCAGCAGATCTTGTGCTTGAGGCGAGCAACGAAGCGGTTTTATAATAGCTCTTGAGCAAGTAATCATCAAGGGTGACGTCGCAGTCAAAAAGAGTAGATGCTTGTTTTATCTCACCACTGGCAAAGTCCTTGATCACCTGTGAACACATCATCTATAAGCAAACAATGCAGGAGCACAGTCTTAATGAAGAGATGGAAGTTTGCTCTTCATTCATTACCTGGCTGATGAGCTTAATAACTTCGATGTTTTCTAAGTTCGCTAGGAACCAAGAAGATTGTGCAAACATAAAATCACCAGCAAGTACGGCCACCCGTGTTCCATATAGCTGATGAATAGTTTCTTTCCCTGAATATAATCAGATGCGTTTCAGAATAAATTGGTCAATTGGTTCTTACCAATGTCCAAAGTACATGAACCACCCAAAAAGGCAAAAAGCAAAAGAAACCCACACATTCTGCCAGGCATAAAGAATATGTATAAATTGTTTCTAAGAGGCTATGAACCAAAATGAAAAGGAAAGAAACAGCGATATTTATTGACAGCGACTTGTTTGTAATAGAATGATATGTACCTCTCCTCATGCCACTATCATCTATGACATCATCATGTATTAAACTTGCTGTGTGAATCATCTCTATGATCTCTGCCAGGCGTTGATGCTCTGTAGTAAGCTCCCTGAATTGCAAAAAAAACAAAAGGATTGAGTGCATAATTGCAAAACACCTAATTATAAGTAGTAGAGCTGCAACACGAGTAACTTACAACAAACCAGCTAATTCAGCAGTTGCTCTGGACACCAGAAAAACTAATGCTGGTCTTAACCTTTTTCCACCAGCACCGAAAATTTGTTCTGCCGCAGAAACTAAAACTGGATTTTCTGCACCAACAAGCTATTAAAATTATGTCAGCTAGTTGCTGCGGTAGCCTGGTAGGTAGGAAAAACACAAAGAACTAGCCTAGCAAATTTTTCTCTACTCAAGTGCTCACACACTATATGAAGCAAATTAGTGAAGATATATGTATTCAATATGTAATGCTCTGAAGTATGCTCTCTTAATTATACAAAAAAATGATGATCTGTGGATGGAGTACAAACAAGAAACTGTTGTAGTTTTTGAGGGAGAATCGTGTGTTGTGCAGAACCACAAAAAATATGTATATTTTGGTCGGAGTAGGAAGACTAGTAGCAAACTAGCAATTCAACAACACGCGAGCCATTCAAAAGTATTATGGAGCCTACAGATATAGGAAATAAGAGCCAGAAAAATCTGTCCGCGTACTCCTGGTGATGCTAAGTCCAAGTCATCAAAACATGGGGCCAGCAAATAAAGACTGTAGGATGGTTTCTAGGGGATGCACGGGAGGCAACTGTACGGTACTTCTCTATATTCTCGTGCATTCAGCAGTCAACTTCATAAGTACATGTGCTAATCGAAAATGATGCTACTTCTTTCCTTTCAGAGTTTTGACATATTTTCCTTACAACTAAATGAACCAAGCATAGTAGCTTAAGTTGTTACTCATGATACTGAACTGATCGAACTATAGTCTGTGAGCGGCTTTGGTATATAAGGCGCAAGTGCCAAGTATTTACTAGCTATCAAGATGCTGGTTCTGCCAGTTTAAGAATCGAAATGAGTTAACTCTGATCATAGCTTCTTCCTGATTAGATTCTTAAATCTTAAGTAGACTTGACTCTCCCCATGACCGCTCAGCGGGTCACAGTTGTAAAAGTTTTTTCTTCTGCTAATATATCGGCATGCAAGGCTCTTGCGCATTCGAAGAAAAAAAAAAACTAGACTTAACTCATTTCAACCATGATAATGTATCAGACGAATTCACAGAAAGAGAAACTATTGAGTAAGAAATGTATAGCCTACATGAATGCATCTCTATTTAACGCAATTCTGAGTAAATCAAACAAAAGATGTGGCCTTCAGAAGAAGCTCACCGATTTCAGATTATTGTTGAGTTTCAGCAGGTCGTCGGAGACAACCTCCAAAAGTGAAGAAACAGAAATTCGCTCAGGGATCATTGTTGTTGTTCTCGCACTAGAAATCGCCTCTGCTGGCACATCAACTGCAGCAAGGCCTGCGCAAATACGCTAAGTCGTTAGCTCAGCTCACTCCAAAACACAGCGGCTCAACAGACCAATAGGAACAAGAGCTGCAGGATGAAGAACCTGGCTGGCTCGGTGAGGCCACGAAACAAACACATGGCATGCGCCGCCTCGGCGCCACCCGCATGCCGGACCGGCCAGCCCAACGGCACCGGCAGGAGGCCAGCTGACCGAAATCCAGCGCCTTCCTGCTCATGTACACTCTCGGGCAGCTCACAGACAACATCTCCCACAATCAGTACCGCCAATCCAAGAACCCAAAGAACCAAGAAATGAAGCTACAGCAACTTGGAGCTCCCTAGAACCGACAAATTCTTTGGACACCAAGAACCTCTTCCCCGGACAATAGCAGCCAAGAAATTAAACGAATGCTAGCTTGTGATTGGTTTCGTGTGAGAATCTTGCTCAATTTGGTGGCTATAGATTTTTTTTCCCCTCTTCCTTTTTGGAAGGAAGGAAGTGGCGGCTCCGGATGGAGGGACGGAGGGTGTGGGGGATTTAAATATGGAGCATGCGGAGGAGGAGAAAGGGGGATTTGTGGATCCATGAGGGCCATAGAACGAAGGCGATTGTGTGAGCTCAGGAGCAAAGCAGCGTGTGAGCTAGTCAGTCTATCACTTTGGAGTTTGGACTGGCTCTAGAAGTTCATGTACCTTTTGCTCTTTGGTCCCGCACATTTGGCTCTAATTGCAGTTTAGGACTATTAGGACTTGTGAACTTTTTTGTAATACGCCTTGGATTTCTTTATCTTTGTTGTATTATAAGAAGAGAGTTTGTATATTGCATTCACATATATTGAAAGGAGAAAAAAAAGACAAAATAGCAAATAATAAATTCCGTTAACGTCAGAATTTGGTACTGTTCTTTCCTGGATTCGGTTAAAGGAAAAAACGGATTAGATGGAAATGTATTTAGATTAGGGTGAGTTCAAAGAGAATCATAATACCAGGGCAAGGAAATTTCATATTTTCTTAGTATATCTTCTAAATAGGTAGGATTATTTATTTTTATTTTTAGGAAATCTTATTCATGTTAGAGTATAAATATGTACACCCGAGATCTTTGTAAGACATCTCCTCGTATTGATACAATTGTATTTCGGCACATCACCACCCTAGTTGTAGTTTATGTGGTTCATATTCTCGAGCGGGGCTGTATCGGTTAAATTCGATATTTGGCGAATGGGGTAAGTCATGTCACCCCGTCAATTGTACTGGTATAGTTAGGACTTTTTCGGGTTCCGCTCAATATTTTGACTAGGCTTTATGGTCATCAATTTATCTTGTTGTACCGGCTTCGACTAAGGCTGCATCGTTTTGATTTCTTAGTTAGATCTGGTATATCCATCACGTTTATATAGATCTATTGGCTAAATAGATTTTTCTTATTATCTTCAATCTTATATTGTTTTGGTTAGGTTCCAATCTATTAGATTATTGCTAATAAGTTTAATTCTACTAAGTGTATAGGTTTTTATGCAGCGTATGTTAGAGTTCTAGCTGATGAGTTATCATTACTCTAAACTTCAGTTATATGATGTATTGGTTAGTTAGCCCGTAGATATATCTACATTGGACCTCCAGCCAATGGCGGAAATAGGGAAAGGGCAGCTAGGACGGCTGCTCTACTCCTAAGCATAAATATTCATGCATTTCAAAAACTCATAACATGAAAGATAAAGGTAAATTATAATAGTTACTCCACTTCCTTTAGCCGATGTATATTTTAACCATCGGATCTGTATCTACTACACTATATATTAGTCGATTGGTTCATGGTTTGATTATTTTTATCATCATTGTTAGTTGCAGGAACAAACTAACCGGCACATTCTGAACCTGATTTTTGGCATGTCGTGAACCCGATTTCTAGGACCTGCACTAGAGCTAATTAGTAAACTCTCAAACCTTCGTGTATTGGATAAATTTGGTGATAACATACATAGGGCTATCTCTTGCGACATACTACCTCCGTTTTTTTAATAGATGACGCCGTTGACTTTTAAACATATGTTTGACCATTCGTCTTATTCAAAAAAAATTTATGTAAATGTATAGATATAAATCATGCTTAAAATACTTTGGGTGATAAAACAACTCACAACAAAATAAATTATAATTACGTAAATTTTTTGAATAAGACGAATGGTTAATCGTGTGATAAAAAGTCAACGGCGTCATCTATTAAAAAACGGAGGTAGTAGTTTATAATGTATCGACGCGGTGGATTGTTATCCTAACTTGACGGTTAACACTCCAGCTAAATGCATGAACGCGGCCTTCTCTGCAGCATGGCAAGTGATATTGTTGTAGCTTCTGCTTTGGTTGTTGAAAAGACGATGGTTCCCATTCTTCTCTTTCCAAAATGGAATCACGCTGCGAGAATTATTACGGTGTCGAAGCCTCGTCAATATGGCCTGTTGATTAATTTGTTTCCGGACACGGTTTCACCGCCAAAAGAAGTGTAAAATCAAAGGTGTTGACGGAGCGTGGGGCTCCTCACCGGGAGACCGCGCAGGCCCCCCTTTGCCGGTTCGGCCGGGGGCGCTAAGTGAGGTTCTTCGCCCTCGATCTGAGGAACGTCAGCGAGAGAGGAAATGCACAAGACACGGGCGACGTAGACAGGTTCGGGCCGCTGAGAAGCGTAACACCCTACTCCTGTGTTTTGGTGGATCTGTGTGTGAAGGAATACAGAGAGCCGGAGAGCGAGAGAGAGTTCAGGCTCTAGAACCCATTCGCCAGAGTCCCAACCCCTCTGCTTCCTCTTCCTCTTTTCTCTTTTTCTCTTTTTCTAGGCCTGGGCCTCCTTTTTATCTGTTCCGGGGTCACCACATGAGCCTCCTGCTGCCTAAGAAAGGAAACATGCTTTTTACAATGAGGGCTAGTCTACAGCCGGAAGTGACCTCTGACAAGCAGAGCACACGCCTCCTGCCCTGCTCGCCCGCTTTTCCGGTGGACGCCCATTTCAACCTTCATTTAATGGCCAGCGACTTCCTTGCCATACTTGCGCTGAAGCCTGGAATGGATCTGACCGGGACTGACATACCAACTCCAGGAGTTAGCACGCCAGCTCCGGCTAGGGACGAGAGCCAGGAAGCTCTCATCATTCCGACGGGACGGGGCGAGGCGTGTGACAGGCCGCCTGTTGCCACCTAACCCGCGATCTGACCGGTCACACACCGCGACCGGTCACGGACCGGATAAGCGTGCGCTGCGCCGCATTAAATGCGGCGTGGCGCGCTCGTCCAACCTGCTATAAATGCGGTTAGGTGAGCCCGCTGTGCTCACCTAACCCACACACGTGGCGCCAAAACCACAGGGGGTCGGGGCGCCCCAGCCCTCGGGGCCGAAACGGGAGCGGCCCGACCCTTCGGGGAGACAGAGGGAGGGGTGGCCACGTCACCCTCGGGCCCGACCCCCCTGAGGGGGTCAGGCCACGTGGGTGACCGCGGCTACCCAAGCCTCTAGTCACGATACCCTCGGCCCCATGTCACCGACAGTAGCCCCTGGCGTTACGCCAGGGCGATCGCCCCCCTTGAGGGAAGCGCTCGGGCGTGACGCCACTCCTTAGGCCCGGTGACAGGTGGGGCCGGTCCCTACAGGCGGGCAGAAACCCAGCGGTCGCAAATCGCGCGCATCGGCAAGGGAAAACCGGCCGACAATAATGAGCGGCCTCTTCAAGACCGCTACATTACTCGAGCAGCGCGCGAATCGGGACGAGCCGGTTCGTTTCGCCAGGGAGGTGGAGGAGGAGCGGGAGACTGCCCTCATCGCCACCGCCGTGCTCGACGAGGCGCGGGACGACCTCCGCCTCCAATACGGGAGCCGGGCGGCGGAGCTAGAGGAGAAGCTCGACGCCGCCCGGGAAGTCCTTGACGCCGCCGCTGCCCGGGAACGGCGGGCGGCGGAGAACGAGGCGGCGTCCCGGCAGCGCGAAGAGGCCCTTGAGGCTCGCGCCACGGCGCTGGAGGAGCGCCCCCACGCCCTGGACGCGAAGGAGAGAGACCTGGCGGACCGCGAGGCCGCCGTCGCCACCCGGGAGGCAACACTGGCGACGCACGAGGCCGCCTGCGCCGAAGAGGAGTCCGCACTCCGCCTCCGCGAGGACGCGCTCACCGAGCGGGGGCGAGCTCTCGAGGAGGCCGAGGCCGCGACGCAGCGGCTGGCGGACAGCCTGTTCCTCCGCGAGGCAGCGCGGGAGGAGCAGGCACGCCGCAATCTGGAAGGCGCCCGCGCCGAGAGGGCCGCACTGGATCAGCGGGCCACTGAGCTCGAGGCGCGGGCGAAGGAGCTGGACGCGAGAGCGCACAGTGGCGGGGCGGCCGCGGGCCACGGCGACCTAGCCGCCCGCCTCGCAGCCGCCGAACACACCATCGCCGAGCTGCAGGGCGCGCTGGACTCGTCCGCCGGGGAGGTCGAGGCCCTCCGCTTGGCGAGCGAGGTAGGGCCTGGCATGCTTCGGGACGCCGTCTCCCGTCTAGACCGCGCCGGGCGGCAGGCGGGCCTCTGGGGCGGGCGGTACGCGAAGTACGCCGCCAACCAGGGGGGCCTCGCCCAGCGCCTCTCAGAGATGGCCGGGGCCCTCGAGCGGCTCCCCGAGGAGCTCGAGGAGACGATCAAGTCATCCTCGAGGGACCTCGCCCGGGGTGCAGTGGAGCTCGTACTGGCAAGCTACCAGGCCAGGGACCCTGACTTCTCCCCGTGGGCAGCGCTGGAAGAGTTCCCTCTCGGAACCGAGGACGGCGCGCGCGCGCAGGTCCGGGACGCCGCCGACCACATCGTCCACAGCTTCGAGGGTACGGCCCCTCGGCTCGCGTTCGCGCTCGACTCCGACGAGGAGGGCGGTGACGACGGTGCGGACGACAGCGACGACGAGGCCGACGACCCGGGCGCGTCGGAGTGAGCCCCCAGGCCCCCGCCAATCTTAATAACTTTTCCTTCTTCTTCCGAGGCCTTCGGGCCCCCTTCTTGTATAGACTGATTTAATCTGCAATCAAGTAAAGAGGAAATTTCTGCGTCAGTTCTGTTTGTTGTGTGTATGAGACGAGGATGGTCTGTGCCGCGGTCCTTCTGTGTCTTGGCTTGAACAAGGGCTCGTGCCCAGGTCCCAGCCTCAAACGGCGCGGGTCGGGGCCTGCGTTACCCCGATACGCTGATACGGATACGGATACGCGATACGGTGTTACCGGGATACACCGTCTTCCTAAAAACATGGATACGGGGATACGCGAATATATACATATATACAATTTAAAAATACAAAAAAACTAAGTGTGAAATATGGACTTAAAAAATAGGAATCACAACACATGTGTTCTTCAAATAGATGGTAGATAAAATTGTTCACATAGTAGATAAATCAACAGTAGAGCATCACCACAGCGCTAAACTAATTAGAATTAATTAACTTGTCCTTGACTTCAAATTCAACTCAATAACTAGATTGCAAGACTAGATAAATTGATTGTTGATTTCATCCATTGGAACCGAAGTGGATGAAGGCCCGTTATCGCCTTGTATGTCCAATGCACCAAGATCTTCCAGTAGTCTCTCAAGGTCAGGCTCATCAAGTGTCAGTT